TTCACCGTCCAATTTGTAACCAAACCAATTGAAAAATCTGGAAAATTCTGCAATTCTCAAACTGAACTTTTTAACCAAACGAATTTGCAAAATGAAAATTCATGGAAGAGACAAGTCTGAACATTTGACACGAAAAAAAACAAAACGATTTGAAATTCGATCCAAACTTTAAAGCCAATCACTTATGAACAGCATTTCATGGGCATTCCTGAAATTCCTTCATGATATCACATTACAAATCCCAAACTCGAGTAAAGCGTCAAAAATAAAATGATTAAATTCAACATTTGCTTTATTTACTTTGATGAACAAAAAATATCAATTAGTCTATCAAATGGATCCAATTAACCTTATCAGTCCTCACTCGGAATGATTCATCTATTCGTGATTCTCATAAATCTGATTATCTCAGTTTCTTCCATTTTTGATTCTTCTTTCAGGCTCAATTAAGCTTATTAAATTTATCGCAACTAATCGAGTTAATAATTGAATAACAATAAAACCAAGTTAAACAAAAGGTAAATTCAAAGCTAATCCAATATTTAGTTGCACCAAGAAACATAACGATAATTTAATTTTACTGCTAACAATGGTAATAAATATCGTTATTTCATGGCATCATGTTAATGATGATATAATGAAAGAATGTAAAAAGTAAATGTTTTTCTTCAGAGGTCAGGTTAGACTTGGTTGTAATGAAAAAGAAAAGGAAAACAAGGCGAAAAATTTGACACTAAATACTTGTTACCATGGAAAGGAGAAAAGGCAATTCTGAATGAGCAAGAAAAGAGGTAAAATTGATCTTTTCTTGTGATAGAAATTTTCACTCAACTTTTTTTTCCTCCTTACCTGATGATAACACGGTACGATCAACATTATCAAAATACATCAACTATGATGAAGGGAATGAAGATTATGATGAAAAGTGTTTACCTGTTCCCAAAGATGGATGAAGATATGAGCTGGGAGTAAAAAGTCCAAGTAATGATAAAGTTGAAGATAGGAAGAGGAAAGTATAAGGAAAAAAGATGAAGATGAAGATGATGAAGAAAAGGAAACTTGAAATTGATTTTTGAAATACATTTGGTGGAAACGTTAAGGTAAAAATGGCTGCAATGATTGATTGATGATATAAATGGGTTCGACATTAGAAGAGTTGAAAGTAAACCATTTTGAATACAAATGTTGATCAAAGGAAACCTTTTCCTGTTATCATTTTTCCATCCCAAACAGCTATTATTATCGTCGAGATAAAAGCGTCCAACAATTGCTTCAATGATCACTCGATAATGGCAATGATTACGTGTAAATATTTCAACTGCCAAGTTGTTTGCAATCGATATCAAAGTGTTTTCCCTTTTCTTCAGGTAATCATCATTAATGAATTTTTAAAGGACAAAAAGTGATTTGAAGATTTGAAGGAAAAAATGAAAATTCATTTCACTGTTTATTGATTGATTTTTGTCTCTTTTCTTGTTCAACTTGTTTGACCATTTGTTTGCCTTTCCTTTACTGGCTTTGTAATAATGGTCAAGATGATAGTTAAGGTAAAGAGAAATGAAAAGATTATTGTTGCTATTATTGCCAACCATTTTGGATGAACATTTCAATTCTCAGAGACATTTATTCAAAACTGAAAATGTTTTCTTCTTTTTGCTTAAAAAATATCAATCGAACCTTTTCTCTTCATTTTCATTGTTGCTCTGCATTTGCCGATATTTTCAATTTCATGGTTCATCATTTTACTTTTGGTAAACCTTTACAAATCTCTTGACCCTCATGATAATTTGGGTTCATGATGATAATGACATTTGTCAAGGTGATGATGATGACCCTTCTTTATCCATCAATTTTGTCAACTTTTCATTTATTCATTTTCTTTCCCTTTCTCTTGATGACCCTTTTGTCCACCACAAATGGTTGTTGAAAACTTTCTCTCGATTCATATTCTGTCGATAATCTTGTCCAGTTGAAATGGCAATTTCATGATAAAACCATTTTCCCTTTCATTTTACCTCAACATTTTTCTTGTCTCATCTTGAAACAAGTAAACGAACAAAGAAGTGAAAAAAAATGTTGAACCTTTCAGACATTTGTTACAACTTGCTTTAGATTTCTCGTGAGATTAACTTTGCTTTACTTTTGGTCAATTCATTATTCAATATCTTGACCAGTCCCTTACAGACTAGTCCAGTTGATCAATTGTTTTTCATCACAACATTCATCTTAATAATGAACAAGTCACCAATTGTCATTTCTCATGTTCAGTTGAACTTTAAAGTTTCATCTCTTTTCAACTTTACCTTTGCGCTTTTCACTTCAATTCATGGTTCAATTAACATTGACAGTCCAAACAAAAAACTCTGTTTGCTCTTCAATTAACATTCATTCAGAATTGAAAGTTTTATTTCACTGTTTTTCGCTCCTTTTTTCATTCCATTTTGTTAATTAATAAACATTAAACATTGAAAGCTTTTCATTTAATATCTCATCCATTCAAATTAATTGGATGAAACAGCTTTTTCTATTCAATTAATTTGAACACTTTTATGGCCAAACATCAGCTTAACTCATGATTTAAAAATTGACTTTTCATGTAAACTTTCGTTTCGATTTTATTAATAAATTCAATTTCGATTAATTTTTCTGTCTCTCTTTCGATTCAAATGTTGAAACTGTTTGGATAAGTTGGAAGAGAATGAAATGTTTTCAATTATAATTCAATGGGAATTAAGTTGAATGGAGTAAAGAAGGAAAAAAGTAATCCGATTATTCCAAAAGATTGGAATCGCTTTTTGTCATCGATAAACTTGGTCATCAATTGGTCATATTGTTAGACTGGTTAACCAGTTGAATGGTACAATTGATTCATTGTCACAGTAATGATAATCCAATGATGAACATGAAACCAAAATTGGTTTGACTTGGAAGGTAAACCTGGATCACTCTGTAAATGAATTTTTCATATTTTCCAATGAAATGTTCATCAGCATGAAACTTGAACCATTTCTTGTCACAACAATAATGCAAAATAACTTGAATTGCTTCAAGAGTTAAGTTCATTTTAATCTGAAAATTCAAATAAACTTTAATCCTCAAGTTGCATCGTTTTATTTGCTTCATCAATTTTTAACCAAACTGCTTGATGATGATAGTTTTGCGTTAAATATTTAGACTTGGAGTTGCTTCACAGGTAAAGTAATTTTCATTTGTAACGTTAATTAGGATAAAATCAACTAGACTCATTCATTTGATCATTATTTAGATTATTAAAAGATATTTAAGGTTCTAGGTAAAAGTTGACCAAGTGTTCAACTTTGTCCAGAATTGCTATAAATTTTTCATTTACTGATTTGTTCCTTTAGCAACTTTTTGTATATTTGAGCGAAAATGGTTTCATAACTGAATTTTATATGAAAAAATTGTATACTAATGTTAGAAATGTTTCCACAAAACTTGTTTGAATTGGTCATTAGTACTTAAGTTGAGTAGATGAAGTAGGGACTAAAGTTTTGCGCTTTTTGGTACAAATGTGTTTCTTCATCCCTTCTTTTAGGCATTTCAAATCTTCGCAACTAATGATTGATAATAAATGTTTAACTTTGAATTTTGTAACTTAAAGACAACCGAAAGAAAATGTTTTTCCTTTTCTCTTTTTCACGTATATAAAAGTCAATCAGAGGCCGTCATTTTCCTCACTTGATATAACCCAAGCTATCACTGCACTTGCGATAGCAACGTGAGCACTGTCTGGTTGAGAATAGTTGTCATAGAATCGCGTGCACTTGCAATTGTCATAACGAATACATATGTTTATCAAGAGATCGCATTTTGCTAATAACATATAATGTTGAACATTTGCAATCATTTCATGCCTTCATCCTTTCTCTAATAATTAATCCTTATTTTGAACCCGTCATATTCAATATAAGTTAAGTTGACCATTAAAACTAAATTAAACCCAACAATTCTGATAATTATCTTCACCTACAGTTTCAGCAGACTCTGGATTCACTTATTGTGTTAATATGCATCTTGATAATGAACATGAAACTTTGAGCCAATCAAATGTTTTCCAAACCCTGAAAACCATCATTCGTTGACAAGCTGAAAGTTTATTTTCCGTTTAATTGCAATCTCAGCATTTTAAAAACAATTGCAATATTATAAACAACAACATGAATTATTGTTTATTCAGAGTAAATATTGAAAGTCATGGAATGATGATAATGATGATAGCAAGTAAATATGATTTGGAAAGAAGCACGAAACCCAAAGATTCGAACAACTTTTTCAAAAATACAGAAGATTGGAATCCACTGTCATTGGTCAACATTGCAGTTCCCATTGAGTTTTCCATGAAATTTAATATGCAATTTATGATAGATTTAGTGATTGAAATTAAAATGGTAAATCAAAGGGATTTATTCTGGTGAAAATTTCAGGTCTCCTCTTTAAATGGAAGGAAAATATGAAAAACTAGAGTTGTTATTCACTGGAGTATTGTGAATATTATGATTGTTAAGAAAGTTGACTCAATATTTAGATAATAAATCAATTGGAATGAGATTATTTTTTGCCTTTTCATGTTTGAAAACAGAAAAAATGTTCCAACATTCACCACAATCAATCTTAACAGTGAATACAGAGGAAAATATCTCATCCTTTAGCTTTGTTTATAACTTTATTAAAATAAGGTTTTTATTAGATTAAGTCTTGTGTCAAGTTTTTCATCTCATCTCGATCAATACAATGATAAATATCATGTAATAATCTTATTATTAAACAGTTGATTGCGATATTTTTGTCATCAAAATTGCAACAGACTCGATTCATTCTGAAAACTTTATTTCATCTTTGCTTCCACTCTTCACTCGGAAACGGAAATTTTAACTTTCTTAATGTTTTCCTTTTTTTCGACTCATTATTAATAACATATTTTGATGCTATTTTTTTGGTTCACTCAACTTTTTTTCATCCAATCCCTTCCATCTCTTCAGTGTAACTAGACCGTTAACTTACAGAGCAAGACGAACCACTAAAAAAGCTTGCATTATGATAGCAACAACATGGATCATATCCTTACTTTTGTGGCCTCCATGGATATTTAGGTAAGAATTATCATTATCATACGAATCATGTTTCAAGAACATGTTCATATTTGAGAAAACAAAAGGTTCAACTCATCCATTTCATACATCATGGTTCACTATAATTGGTAACTGAGCAGGAAATTTATTGTTGCACAGCAACTTGATAAATAAAAGTTCCGTTTTAAAAGACTAAAATCAATCCATTATCAGTATTCAATCAAAACCTAAAACAATCTGTTGTCACAATGATGCAAAATGACTCCAACTCTAACGCTAAGTTGTGCATGATTTACTTACAAGGGAAGTGACCTTACGTGTTTGTAGGATTTTTCAGGCTTATATCGTAGAGCACGAAAAGTAACGAGAAAAGTATTTTTGTTTTCTTACGTTAGTGCAGGGTCAATTATATTCAATGTGATTTTACTTCCTCTGAATGATCAAGTTTGAACATCTTTCCAATGTGGCCACTAGTACTCTGGATTGATCAGTCCGAAGTCCTCGCCCAGTCATTCAATCGGTAATACTTTTCAGTGACTGCAATGCATTACATTTATCTTTAACCGCACACTGGCTTAGCAAAAGCAAAAATACTTTCCTCGTTATTTTCGTCCTCTACAATACAAGCCCGAAACTTGCCTTGTTAGACTTTAGTCATTCAATACATACGATCGATTGTTTTTGTGTTTAAATCACTTTGTCACAATAATGCAAAATGGCCCAATGATTAACTTGAACATTTAGTCAGACCTTTGACTCTTTATCAACAGACAAAACATGTTTGTCAGGATCAAATCAACTTTAATCATCCATTCTAGTGACCGAGGTTATCCAAGATATTAGTTTATCATCTTTACAAACTTTTGTTAGTCAACTTGTAGTCTGGCTAAAGCGGACATTTTTCAATGCAAACCAGTTGACATTGTTCCTCATCTTCAATTCAAATATCAAGTTATTGAAAGGATTGCGATTTTTGTCAAACAACTTTGCACCTCAATGGTTATCTTTCATTTGATCTTTTTGTGTGTCGCCCTGAACAAAATGAATAACAGAAGCAAGGAGGAACGTTAAAGGCAATATTCAAATTAAGTCAACTTGAATAATGTTGGATGTGAAGGGAACGGGAAGGGAAGCGAAAAAAATGTATTGAATTTCATTTCTTTTTCCTTCCTATTCTTTTATCAGTAAACATTGATTCTGACATAAAATTTTATTCCTTCGCCTTTTCAACCTTGTATAATGTATTTATATTATCGTAGCAACGAAATAATAATGCCAATAATGATAATAATAACAGTAATAAGAACAAAATGAAACAAGTTTTAAACAATCGCTGGCTTTGATTCAAGTTCAATATAACATATCACATTATTCAATTTATTTTGAACAATCTTTTCCTAGACGAATCACTATTATTTTATACTTTTTTTACTTGTAATGTTATTCATCTTTCAATTGAATAATAATTTCCATTCCTTTTCAATCACAATTTGAATGCACATTTTTGGACAGACCAGAGTAACAAATTGATTTTATTATCATTATTATTGCTATTAAAGTCAGTTTAAGGAGTAAAACATTGCGTTATTAAAAAGCAAAATGTTCAATTGATTGTAAATGCTTGTGATTTTGGGCTAGAAACAGACGTTGAAAGACCAGAAAGAGTTGAACAATTGAATGTTTACCAGAAATGGGTAAAGCTATTCATTATTATTTAACCGTTTTTAATGTTTTCTGGTTTTAAGTAGCTTTACACTTGCCAGCAAAATTTTACCTCAATTTTGTAGAATCGCAAATTTGGTTGAATTTAAATAACTTCAATTCTTGAAATCATTTATAAGCAGTTTAACCATTTGACTGGAACAAAAAGAGAAACTTATTGAAACTGGAAAATTGTTGCAATGTTGAACAAGTTAATTTGAATCATTGATAGGAATTATTTCAAGTGAACCATTGAACCAACTTATCTGAATCGTCAACAAATGAGAGTTCATCTTTGCCTGGATAAAATGAGAGAACTACTCAACCTTTTCAAGTGTAATAATTGGTGAAATGAACTTTTCAAGTCAAGACTTGCCAAGTGTTACAGAACTTCTCAGAATTTCATTTCAAAAGTCAATGAAACCTTGCTAAACGCCTTCATCAAGTGTCTCAGACGCTTCAATGCAAAACCTTGATGGAAATGTTAGTTTGTTCAGTTTCTTCATCAAATTATAAAAATCATTTCAATAGTTGAACTTGAACGAAACATTTCTGACAGAAAAGGTAAGATTTTGAAAGGATGAAGGACAAAACTTATTAGCAGGGAATTTTTCTTCATGAACATTTTAGATGTAAAATTACCAATTATTAAGAATGAACGCTCGGATTGAGATCTCGAGTTGAGATCTCCGAGATCTCATATTGAGGCTCCGAGATCTCATATTGAGAACCCGAGATCTCAGATTGAGAACCCGAGGTCTCCTATTGAGATCTCAGTAAACTAACTCCTTAAAGGATTAAAGAAAAGCTGAAAGTAAGATTAAAGAATGACCTGGACAATGAGTCCTCGCTGTGTTCAAGCAAAGAGTCCTCGTTGTGGTCATGCAAAGTATAAGTATAAAAAGAAAATTGTAAACCTAAGAACCTTAAGACTAATAAAAGTACGTTTGTACCGAGACCTTCTCTATCTACTTATTTTACTAACAGGTTATGGGCCCAGCTCGCTCAAGTTTAAGTGATTGATTTAAGTAGTGTTCCTCTTGTTTATTGTATCCAACATCATTGTATTCTGTGTATTGAAAGCTTCTTTTGAATTGTTAAATTTGAGATCTCAATTTTTGGAAACATCATGGAAAAGGAAAACCACCGTGTTGCTATGTTAACTTCAACGTCTTTCCAGCGATGGAAATATGAAATCTCTGCAATTTTGGAGTCAAAAGACCTTTTGGAAATTGTTTTGGGTAAAGAGAGTAAACCAGTCGAAGGTACAGACCAGAAGTCTTGGAAGATGAGAGATGCAAGTGCTCGGTCTTTGATATCAGTGACTCTTGACGAAGAGCATCATGCTCTTATTAGACCTTGTGCAACAGCGGCACATATGTGGAAAGAGCTGCTAAATCATCGAGAGCATACTAGTGTAACGAATGAATTCACAAGTACACAAGCATTTCACAACCTAAAGTTCAAACCTGGTATGTCTGTCAGTGCGTATCTTAGTGAGCTCTCACGTGTTAGAAAGCAACTGAAGGACTTTGACCAAGAGCCATCTGAAGCTATGATAATGGCTAAAGTCTTGGATGACTTACCAAAGAGGTTTGATGTGTTCAGGAGACAATGGAAATTGGCAGCTATTGGAGGTCTCAAATTGAGATTAGAGGATCTGCAATCTCAACTTATGGCAACAGAACAAGAATTTGGTTCGGATTCGCAATCGGAAGTGACACCTCATGGAGAGGCTTTGGTAATAAAAAATAAAAAGCCTGGTAGACCAAAGAAACGCGTCGTAAAGTGTTGGCATTGTGGAAAAGATCATTACAAAAGAGACTGTCCTGACTTGAAGAGAAATCAAGATAACTTAAGTGGTCTCATGTTGAGATATCAATGTGAAAACTATGATAGTTCGAATAGTGATTGGATATTGGATTCTGGAGCATCATATCACTTTTGCCGTGATCTGAAATTGTTTTCAGAATATGAGACTTTGGATAAACCTGAAAAGTTCGAAATTGGTGATGGTAAATTTATCCAAGCTATAGGTATTGGTAAAGTGGCAGTTGACATCTTTAATGGCTCTGAGTGGAAACCGAATTACTTAATGGAAGTAAGACATGTCCCGAATTTGGCAGTGCCTCATATTATTTCTATGGGAAAATTGACTTCACGGAGTTTGGAGGTGATCGCAAAATCCAACAACACTCTTGAAGTGAGATCTCAAGCTGGTGAAGTAATATTGGTCGGTGTGAAGAACAACAGCAACAATATGTACAAGTTGAAAATGAGATCTCGAGATGAGATCTCAAAGTGTATGATCAATAAGAAAATAACGAATACTCTCATGGATTGGCATCAAAGACTCGGGCATGTCGGTGTTGACAAGGTTATTTTAATGAGCGAAATCGGTATGATACCGAATTTGGAAAACCTGAAAGAGCAGAAGTCACAGTTCTTTTGCCATGGATGTGCGCTTGGAAAACAAACAAAATTACCAAGTGGGATCTCAAAAGTTAGAGCAACTTTACCTGGTACACACATTCACACAGATTTGATGGGACCAATGGAAGTTCCGTCTTTAAGTGGAGCCCATTATGTGGCTGTGTTTAAGTGTGAGCTGAGTTCATATCGGAAATTGTATTACCTCAAGCACAAGAATGAAATATCGAGTGTCTTGCCTATAGTTATTGGTGAAATTAAAATGGAGACTGGTAACTCGATAAAAGTGATTCGTAGTGACAATGGACGGGAATATAAAAACAAAGAAGTTGCAGATTTGCTATTTAACAACCACATTATGCAGGAATTTAGTGCACCATACGCTCATGAACAAAATGGACGGGTTGAGAGGGATAATCGTTCTCTTGCTGATCTGGCTCGATCTATGTTGTACTCTAAAGGACTCCCGAAGAAACTTTGGGCTGAAGCTTTAAACACTGCAGCATTCTTTATGAATAGAGTACCTCGAAAGGAGATCTCAAATCGAACTCCCTTTGAGTTGTGGTTTGGTTCCAAGCCTGAAATTGACCACGTTAAACCGTTTGGCACGATGGCATATGCTCTGATTCCTAAAGAGCGACGGAAAAAGTGGGATCCGAAGAGTAAACCTGGAATTCTTGTTGGCTATACCAGTACTTCAAAGAACTATCGGATATACTTTGAGAGCTCAGGCAAAGTGGAAATTGTGCGACATGTCAAATTCAATGAGTCTCAATGTGAGATCTCACCTTTGAAAGATAGTGCTGATAGTTCTGAAGAATTTGTGAATGTTACTGATTTGTTTGGTAACTTGGACCTGGAAATTCAAGAAGGACCCCAATCGCCGGAGCAAGATATGTCTGATGAATTGCCGACTATTCCAAATGAACAAGAAGAAGAGTCTGATGAGGAAACTATTATTGTTTCGCAAAGTGAAGACGAAGGAGAATCTCAGATGGAGATTCCGAGATCTCAGAGTGAGACTCCGAGATCTCAGAGTGAGACTCCGAGATCTCAGATTGAGACTCCGAGATCTCAGATTTCGATTCCGAGATCTCAGATTGAGAACTCAAGATCTCAGTTTGAGATCTCAAATGATGGTTACGATTTGAGGAAACTTCCGAAGCGAAACTATCTCTACATAATGAGAGAGGAGCCATCGACAGTGGAAGAAGCAATGGCAAGTGATGACAAACGACACTGGCACGAGGCCATGGAAAGTGAGATCTCTTCTCTTAAGAAGAACAAAACATGGACACTAGTTGATCTCCCGAATGGAAGAAAAGCAATTAAATGTCGCTGGATTTTTAAAATTAAAGAGAATCCGGATGGAAGCATAGAGAGATATAAGGCCAGATTGGTGGCCAAAGGCTTTGCACAAAAAGCTGGTGAAGACTACAATGATACCTTCGCTCCGGTTGTAAGGTATGAGTCAATTAGGATGGTTCTGGCATTGAGCAGTTACTACAAGATGAAGATATCTCAGTTTGATGTCAAAACAGCTTTCTTGTATGGAGATCTCAATGAAGAGCTGTATATGGAGCAACCACCAGGTTTTGAAGAAGAAAGTGGTAAAGTCTGTCGTCTACACAAAGGCCTATACGGATTGAAACAAGCGCCACGACAGTGGAACCTAAAGTTCTCAATGTTTCTACAAAGATTTGGATTCGGTAAGCTGATGTCTGATCAGGGTATCTATATTTCACACAGCAATAATGCAGTATCGATCCTGGTATTATATGTGGATGATGGACTTCTCTTTAGCAACAGCGTTGAGTATGCGGACAAGGTACTCAAATTTTTGGGATCTCACTTTGAGATGAAAATTGGAAACGCGGAATGCTTCTTGGGAATGAAGATTCATAAGGATTCAAAGACAGGAGCTCTCACTCTGAGCTCTCAACGCTACATAGAAAGAATTTTGAGTCGATTCAAAATGACAGATTGTAAGCCAGCTTGTACGCCATTCGACGTTAATCAAAAATTGGAAGTAATGGCCGATGACGCGAAAGTTATTGCTCCCTACCAAGAAGCAGTGGGAGCTTTGATGTTCCTAGCAATAACAACTAGACCAGACATCATGTTTGCTGTCTCTAGATGTGCAAGATTTTGTGGTAATTTTTCTGATTCTCACTGGAAGTCTGTCAAACGAATCATGAGATTTTTGAAAGGAACATCTCAATATGGGATCTCATATGGAGGCACTGATAAGTTGGAACTGAGTGCTTACTGTGACTCGGACTATGCATCCGATACATTAAGTCGCCGATCAACGACTGGATATGTTGTCCTACTGAACAATGGACCGATTGCCTGGGCCTCAAGATGTCAAAGAACAGTAGCACAGAGCACCACAGAGGCCGAGTATATGGCGATGGCTGACTGTACAAAGGAAATACTTTGGTGTCGGCAATTGATCAAGGAGCTAGGATCTAAACAATTATGCTCAACAAAGATGTTTTGTGACAATCAAGGAGCGATAAAGTTGGTTGAAAATCCAGTATACCATCAAAGAACTAAGCACATTGATGTTCGCTACCATTTCATTCGAGAAGCGAATGAGCAGGATCATATTTCTATTGAATATGTCTCAACTAAAGAACAGGCAGCTGATTTTCTCACAAAACCATTATGCTCTGAAGCCTTTCAAAGATGCGCTAAAACTATTGGTATAGTTAATCCTCGCGAGTGGGAGTATTAAGAATGAACGCTCGGATTGAGATCTCGAGTTGAGATCTCCGAGATCTCATATTGAGGCTCCGAGATCTCATATTGAGAACCCGAGATCTCAGATTGAGAACCCGAGGTCTCCTATTGAGATCTCAGTAAACTAACTCCTTAAAGGATTAAAGAAAAGCTGAAAGTAAGATTAAAGAATGACCTGGACAATGAGTCCTCGCTGTGTTCAAGCAAAGAGTCCTCGTTGTGGTCATGCAAAGTATAAGTATAAAAAGAAAATTGTAAACCTAAGAACCTTAAGACTAATAAAAGTACGTTTGTACCGAGACCTTCTCTATCTACTTATTTTACTAACACCAATATCGATGATCGTCTTTCGGTCTTCATACTTTTATTAACTTAATAAATTGTTAGGCCTTTCAAAAGATATGAAACTTGAAATGAACTAATATCGCCAACCGAGAAAGCCTTTTAATCTGTTGGATAACAATAAAAATGAAAAGCTACCTTTTTCAATTGCTTTTTATAATTGTTTCTGATTTACGTGAAACAATTTCAAATTAAATCCTTTATCCAATTGACTCACAGTCAATCAGTTGAAGTAAAGAAAGTTTATTTACTCTCATTTAATCTGAAGATATAAGAATTTAATAGAAGAAGATGATGAAGATGGAAGAAGAGTAAAGTTTACTGTCATTCAATAGTAAACACTAAATCTGAGCTTTTCCCATCTTATTTTATACTTTCATCACAACTTCATTTCTTCCCAATCATTTTATCTACTCACTCTTACATGTTCATCTTGACCATCATCATGCTTGGACTTTTAACTCCCTGTTTGGCTTCTAATTCCCTATCTTGTTCTCATCTTCATTGTGCCTCAATAAAAATGTAATCCTGGATGAACGGAATAACGATTAGTAATCGTTGATCTAGAACGATATTTGATCTTTACTTTTGGATAAACTGAAACAGTCAAAAGTAGAGTAAAAATATGAACAAATATTTTACCAGAAAATAGTTATTTATTGAATGGTGAACAGTAAAGTTATCAATTTTATTTCTTTATGTAATAACACTATTCCAGTTTCATGATAAGTTCGTAATGAGTTTTATCTTTTTTTCACTTTCATTCCCTGCAGTTCAATGCATGCAATGTATCAAAATGCGTCCGAAAAATGTGATAATTCAGTTTCAACTTCCATGGTTACCACAGATTTATCTGGTCAACTTGATTATCTTTTATAAGTTATTTTTTCCTGTTTATCTTTTCACTTTACTCTTGGCTTCATCATTATCTTTGAGCAACATTCAGTTGATTCAGTTCAAGTCTTTTTACTTTTATTATTTTTTCCCTCTTTTTCAATCACTTCAAATGAATAAAATGAAATGATGAAAATATTTCTCTTCATTCCTAATGTTTATTAATGCTTTTTTTTGTTTCATCATTTCACTTGCCACTTTCAACTGTTTGTTGTTTCACCCTTTTTTGCTCAATTTTACATTTACATTAAATTTTTACACTTTAAACAGTTTCTTTGAGCTTCAAAAGTCAAGTTTCCACTCTTTCAGTAAACTAAGTTTCAATGAAGATATAAAAACAAAATTTACTCTTCAACATTATTAGACTGTATTATTGGACTTTTAGTTACTTTACTGTATTTACTTGTTTACTTTTCATCAACTCAACTGATTGATTCCAATTTTATTTACTCAATTTTCCTTTTCGAGCATTTCCATTATTTTAAAACACTAAACTAGAGTCTAAGAGTTGACACTTACATTAACTTGAGCAAATGTCCGTTTAAACGCTTTGCAGGTTTTCATTTTTGTTCAGAAAAAAACAAAAGTCTAGTTAAAAATCATTTCCATCAATGAATCAGTGGAATCTTTAATCTAATTCACACTCAAATAACTGATTTGAATGATTACGAACCAAGAAATCCAAATATCGGCTTATAACCAGAGTTAGTATCATTGGATTTGAGTGAATCTTTGACTTTGATAATGGATGAAAATTTTAGAGCAAATCTTCAAATCTTAATAAAATGATGTTATGAAAAATGAAAGGTTTGTTTTAATGGTTTGATGATTAAATGCTTGTTTTGTTTACTTTGATAGCTGGCCTTATATTGAAGGTAAACGGACAGTGCCACATGACCAATGTTATATTCAATTTATTGAAACCAATTCATATATTACCTTTGGCACTGCAATTGCTGCCTTTTATATACCATTATTTGTGATGATTGCGCTTTATTGGAGGATTTGGCGTGAAACTGAGAAACGTTATCGCGATTTAACCACACTTTTCCTGGTATCAACTGTCGGTGCTTCCAAGGGCAGCTCTGGTAATGGGTTTTCAGGTGGTGCTCGAGGAATCGGTGGCAGTGGAATGGTCGTGCTCTCAAGGAAAAATACATCCTCATCATCAGAGGGTCAGGTTATAACGACAACCACAACAACCACTTCAAATGATAAAAGATCAGCTTCTTTTGAGGCTAAATCTTTGTCTTGTAAATCAACTAGTTGGTGGCTTTGTTGGACCAAATCAAAAAGTCATTTTACTGATTGTGATTGTGATCAAAGTGAAACTGTTTCAACTGGCAAGGGAAATCGTAATTTTAGATACAGATTGTCTCATCGGAAAAACAAGACACATTACGACCGTAATCACAGTGGTTATACTTGTTCAAAGAATAACAAAAATTTAAACAATATTAATATTAATGATAATAATGATAGTGTTAATAATAATAATAATGATAATAATAATAATCAACATCAGCTTCGTAAGAGTAGTAAAGATAATACAGTGAAAAATGTTTCTTCTGTCAATGTTGCATCTCATAATAATAGTAATAAGATTGTTTCAAGGGAAGATGATATTTCACCGAGTCAAACATCAACTGGAACTGGTGAACTTGCAGATTCACTGAAGGGCAGTGAATCAATTTATACAATTGTTATTAAATTATACGGTGACGAGGATCATAATCATACAATTAAAATGATTGAACACAGTGATACTCTTGAATCGGATAAAAATTTGTATTGTCCCGGGTCAACTGTTGCTGATGTACAGCAACGACAGCAGCACCATCAACCTTTACAATTTCAATCACATCATTACAATGTTAAAACACGCCATTCCAATCAGTTTAACCATCAACACAGCCTTGAACAAGGTTCAACCTCCAGTGGTTCCACCATTGCCAAATCTCCTGGTAACCTCTCCATATCTGGTTCTGGTTCCAATCCGCGTAGATTAACCTCTAATCCATCCGGAACTTCAATTCATCCACAGCAACCTAAAAGTGAAAGGAAAGCTGCTAAAACCTTGTCAGCCATTCTACTTGCTTTTGCCATCACTTGGACTCCTTATAATGTTTTAGTTTTAATTAATTCACTTTCAGGTAAGAAGATTAATTAATCAATCATCTTCCTTGTTTAATCCTCTCATCAAATTTTGTTGCTTCTCTCATTGTTGATACAAGTTTTGTTCTGAAACAAACTCACTATCCACAAATCCTTATGCTTGAACCATGTGTTCATTAGTTGAGGCGCGTAATTAGTAATTGGATTTTTGGTTCCTAAATGAGCTTTTTAAATTTAGATAAATTTTAGGCAAACATTTTTACCCAAAAAATTAGCTAAGGCTTTCAATTATTGTAAATTCAAGTTAAGGCTTGTAAATATCTTAAAGTTAAGAGCTTATTAACCATTGTTTAAATTGATCTTTCACTGCCTATTGATATTTTACTATTCAATATTGATACTCTCTTCAAATCAAATTAAGATCAAATGTTTAGGCAATATATTGATGAAATTAGGTTTTAAATTAGTAAATTGTTTGATAATGAACTAAAATTGTATTAACTTGAAATGGTCAATGTCAATCATCTTATTAAACATTCAATTATTAAGAGTCACTTGGCTTGTTGGTTATCTTGTATCCTTACTGCAAATTGAATTATTGTTGGATAATTTAGAGTTTCATCATGTTCAACTCAATCTAATTTAGCTGTAGTTATTTTAATATCAATATAAAAGAATTAGAAACAGAATTTCAAATATAATCATTTCTAATTCTAGCAAATACAATACCTAAATCAATACTTTTGCCTTGATTTTCAGGATTAATTGAATATTACGTAAATAGTAGAACAATGAAAATGAGAATATTCATATTTGATTTTGGCTTGGTAACTATTTATTATGATGATTATTTAATCATTTGGTTAATTCAATCAATTTTGTTAATTTATCACACTCAAGAAGATAATTCAATTTTACTCTTTCTCTGTTTAATATTTATGCGGTCTACCGGTATTTCATGTATTAATTTGGTGTATTTACTGGTATAGTTTAGTATTGAGTTGCTTTCATGCTCAATGTTTAATGGAATGGAAATGAAGGAAAAATTTAAAGATTTTTCTAGAGACACTTCCTTCAGGCTATTTGGTTGCATTTGATTGAGAAAGTTATTCTTATGCTCATTGACCAAACTGAACTCTTTTGCAAGTGAAAATCAAGTTAATGTCATCATTAAGTCAATTACGATTGAGTTAACTAGTTGACATTCAGTATAACAGTACAGGGAAAGTGTTCAACATTTGAAGCAACATTATCAAATGGTTGATAAAACAATGTATTTTGAACAAAATAAAACTAATGTCTTTTTTTTCTTCACCTTTTTCAGGTAGATCAGATGATGGCGAAAAAATTGTCCCCAAGTCATTATGGGACTTCTGTTATTACCTTTGTTACATCAATTCAACCATTAATCCTCTCTGTTATGCACTTTGTAATGCCACTTTTAGACGGACTTACATAAGGATACTCAAATGTAAATGGAGTTCAAAGAAAAACAAGCAACATCGAAGACAGAAACATTGGAACTTGGAATAAAGATTTATGATTCAAATGGATAATCATAATTGATTTGCGTGACCATAAGTTGGCAAATTTAAACAGAGAAACATGAATACTGATTTGCTGGAGATACTTTTAGGAGATATTTGGATTCCAAACAAGACGCAAATTCGGCAAAACCTGGAGAAATAATCAATTACATTAATGATTGATTATTGATCAAGTATTTCTCAATACAAATCGACAGTCAACTAAAAGAAACATGGAATCGTCAAGATATTGATTTATAATCAAATAGATTACTAAAGAATCAACTATGCAGTCAACTCGAGTCATCTTTTTTGTACTTCCATTGATATTTGGATTTCATATTTGTTGATTATCCAGTTAACTGTTATCAATTAGCCTTTTTTGACAATAATTGATGTCAACAATTTCTTCTCCCTACTTTCCTTGGATTACAATTACTACACTTGAAGCTATGGATCCAGATAGATTTACATAACAACACAAGTCAACAGAACCAAAGCCAAACTGAACGTTATTACGATGTAATTGTGCTCACAAAAGCACAAATGTTGGAATAAATTTCTTTGCTCAATCGAAATCAATTGGAATTTTTTTCTACAATCAAGTCATATGTTATTATTTCATGATGACCATTTTAGTATTTGGCAGCTGATCAAGAATTAAAGTCTGGATGGTTACAAGGGATTTAAAGAAGACGAATTGGATATTTCACTTAATTGTCCAGTTTAACAATTGAACAAATACAAAGACAAGTAAATGGAAAAAACACAATTTTCATTTCATTAGAGACAAAAAAGGCAATTACAATTGTTCGAGCTTCAACTACAAATCGATGCCTTAACTTAATTCTAACTTGATCATTTTGTAATGCAATTCAATGCTCTAATTTTACTCGACATTTAAATCGTTAAAATTTACCGTTAATTTAACTGACCTGATCAACTGATATCATTATTTGTCCCCTGTTAATTTCATTTTTTGCCAATCAATATATTACAATTTTAGTTCTGGCTAATCAAATCGAAAAAAAGTATCAAACAAACAAACAAACAAATTTTTCTCCTTCAAACCTTCAATGTCTTTTCACTAATCACCTCACATCTCTTGATCAGATCTGATTTAACAATTACTCTTTACCCTTTTGTTTACTGTTACCTTTTAATGTACAACAAAACAATTAATGTTAACCAATTTACGAATTCATTTCCATCAGATCAAATTAACTAACCAATAACATTAACCATCAATTGACTTGAAAACTCACTAGTCTTTTGATTTGACTCCTTATTTTTACTTGTCAGTATCAACTTGAATATTGTTAAGACATTAAGCAAGAAAACAATTAATATCATTAACACGAAAAGATAATATCTTTGTAGATACAAATTCCGTTCCAAAACAAGCCCATTGTAATCCTCTTATTTAAAATTAAAATGATTCAATAAATTACAGCTCTTTAAAAAAACGAATTCATCTCTTTATTTTGTATCTTTCAATAGATAAGTACAGTAGAGTCTCCACTTAAGTTGTACCCACTTAGGTTGTATATTAAGGGTTAGAAAAAGTGTAAAAGGTTAACTTTTTGAATCAGGTAATTGGCAAAATTGAAAAAGCTTTTAAGAAACAATTTAAATCTTGCTAATTTTACCTAATTTAAGCTTATTTAAGCTTTTGCCTTTGGCATTTTAAGCATTTAAGTTTCACTGAATTCAAACCTGTTGGCGGTTAATCAACTATCGCCCTCTTTTGGTTTGACAATAAATTTCTATTAATTTTCAAGTAAATTTGACTCTCGTTGTTGTTGTTTTTAATCCAGTGTTTTATTATCTTAACAATTCAAGTCAACTTTCTTCGTTTTTCATATATGCTAACCAGTTTGTCATAAAAATGGTGGACGACGCCTGTACTGATACTTTGGTTAAGTATTGTAAATCAAAAAATATTGTATTCAAAGTGTACCCAACATGTTTCAAGAACGGAGAACCAGTGGCTAACCCAACCGCCATCAGACGAAAAAAGATACCTCGTAAGCTTAATGATAATGTTATCTCGGATCATGAAACATCAACATCTTGTTCTGAAGGATCTGACGATGAAGCATACATTAAAGCCATCAAGTCTGGTAGCAATTTGGACAAAAATAAAAGCAAAGGTTCAATCCCACCATCAATCCCACCATCAGTGCCATCATCAGTGCCACTGTCATTGCCACCAATACCAATTGCAGCACCACCAACTTTCACACCAATCTCTACTCCAACTGTGACACAAATACCTGAAACACCTAGTACACCTGGTCAAGCTCAAATCTAAGTGCCTTAAATTTATTTACTGATTAACATATGGTTAATATACGCGACTGTGATGTTTCCTACTATTCATCATTCATTTCATTTGAGCCTTCATTTCTGATCTCTAATTACAAAAATAGGTGTTTTATGTATTGTGATTTCATTTATTCAATTTTCTTTAAAAAAGATTGTTATATGAATTTACATAATTAGCAATTATTAAAATGAAGCAAAGTTTTGAAAAGATAAATGTGAAAATTTTCTATGCAAATTGTACATTTTAGTTATCTCTGACATTCAAGTCAGTCATTAAGTTCTAAACGTTTGAATTTTTCTACATCATAAAAGCTTATTTTTACTATTCTTCCTCCAAAATATCGACCATTCAAGTCGACTACAGCCTTTATCGCAGCCTCGACTCGCTTGAATTCTACGAAAATTCTTACAGCATCTTCGGGATGACCTCCATGGATCTCATAAATAACGCATTTTACAACCTCGCCATATTTTGAGCATTCTTCTTTAACTTCTGGCTCTAAATCATCATCTACTTCACCTGGGCCAACCATATTCCTTAACAAGACTACTTTAGTTGGATTTTTCATCAATTCCGTGATTGATTCAACACTCGTTGCCTCTCCTGAACTTGGACCTGGCATCATCTCTGAAACTGATTGAGAGGAAGAAATCGGTGCCGGGGGTGGAGGAGGGGGTAATAAAGCCGTTGAAACATTCTTTGTTCCAGCTATGATCTTGCCTCCCCTTTTGCTTGTTTTTTCAACCTCGAGAGCTCGACTTATTCCTTGTTCTTCTTTACCCAAACCTTGACCCTCCTTGTATCCCATTCGCGCCATTATCTTAGCGGCAACAGATCCTTTAGGACCACTAGAAGAACTTGATGTGGAAGCATCCATTTCGTTTGTTGATGATTTGACAACTGTTGATTCAATCAAAGATGGTGGAGGTGCTATTGCAGCACCACGGGCTACAACAGGAGCTGATTTGCCGAATCCAGCGTAAGGTTTTACATCTTCTTCTTCATCATCACTATATGCATCAACTAAAGACCTGGCAAACATTGTTCCACCAGTTGGATTTACAATTATTCCTGATGTTGAAGTTGATGCAACTGTAGCAGTAGACGGCTTGTCAGAACGCCGTCTTTTATCGTGATCATCTAAATCACGGCTTTTGTCACTCTCAACCTTCACTTTATCTGGGTTCCCGCTTCTCTCTTTTGCAATTTTTTCATAGTCATTTGGAAATAATGGATCATATTCTTGAGTTACGTCCCAATCACCACCTAATAAAGAACCATTTGTATTCTGTAAAAGATTATAGTAAATATTGTAGATTTTTTGTTATTGCAAAGCAATAGCTAAAATAGTTCGCGTTCGGTTCCAAATTTATCACCTTTCCATGATAGTCTAAAATCGAAGAAATTGGAGTTTCATCGACAATCGTTTTAGATTTAAATCCAAACCCAGGTCCGCCAAATGAATTTACCGGTCTACGAGGAAGATTTTCCCTCTGTCAAAAAAATAGAAAAGGCTTAGTTTTAATGATCAGCTTGCATGAAAATAAAAAGGTAACGACTTACTTTGGCTTGATTTTTCTTTTTTGATAATAAATGAGTCTCCAAAAGTTTGATACCAGACCAATCTGAAGGTTTAGAGTCCTTAATTGAATCACCTTTGTCATTCGAAGTTATTATATCATCATAAAGAGACATGATTATTGATCTAACACAAATTGAAATAGAAAAATCCCAACTTAGTCAAGAAAAAATATTCAAAAAGCCACTTCTAAATGACAGAAAAGGGACATCGAGTTTGAATATTTAAATAATGTATAATTAATTGATTTCATTACAATAGAACAAGAGAGAAGAAAAAATAAATTCATTTAGTTGAATTGTATGAAATTAAACACTTTCATGCTAACAAAAAATGTTTACCTGTTAGCAGATCTTTCCAATAATAGATGGAGCTCCAGTAAAGAAAAAATCAAATAAAAGTGGCGCCTTAAAGCTTCTCAAACATCTGAATAAAAAGACTAAAAATGATTAAACAAATATTTTAAATAATCAAATTGATTCATTTAATTGACTCCTAATGATCTGTTTCCCTAGAATCATTATAACAATCGTTATAACAATCCATGCAATCAGTAAAATCTTGAAATAATATCTTAACATACAATCAGTGTTTATTTAAATGCATTTAGAGGTCGATTTTTGATAAAAATTGTTCAAAACAACAAGCTAAAGACCAGATTGATCCAACCAAAGCGTAAGTTTATCTCCGATTTTTGATTATCACTGGACAAAATCTGGTTAATATGAGTTTTTTTTATTTGTTCAATCTCGTTTTTTCAAGTTTCAACTCCTCAGATCAACAAGTAAAAATAATTTAAGCCATAAATTTAAATATTGAACAATCGGCCAACATACATTTATGGATACCTGATTTTGATAAACTCATCATTTAACTTGAGATGATTAAAACAAAGGCAGCTTTTATTGATTCAAAGTGCATTCTTAATTACCCTGAGTAAAAATACACAAGCAATTTATATTAAAAATTCAATTCAATTGCTGTAATTTTTCCCGTGAAAATTCAGAATCACAACTGCAAAATCATGGATAACAATCTCATACAGAAAATAAAAGCTTCAGAATGAGTTTTTTGCATAATAAATGACTCGAATCTGAATACAGAAATTGTAAATTCACATCCATAGGCAATTAACTTTATCTGACGTCAGAATTCATCAGAATTTAATTCCAAATGATAATGAAAACTAGTTTTTCAACTCTGTCTAAACTCTAACAATTAGCTTGGTTGAAATACTAGGTTGGAGTACATTCGTATAAATATCTTTAGGTAACACATCTTGGGTTGAAGCTTAGAATGACTTGAATCACAATAGAACTGCAATTTATTACAATTCTAATTAGATGTAAATTTCGACCCATGTTGATCGTATAATCTGGTTATTCTGGTATAGATGAGTTTCTATTTTGATACATTTCAAGTGTCAATGTAAAATGGGTAAATGGGTATCTTTTTGTCTTCTGGTAACCTTCTTAGCATGAAACTATTTCTACCTCAAATTTTGGTCAATTATGATTGTCGCCCTAATTTTGTCAAACAAAAGTTCAAGGTAAATGGATAAATGATTTAAGAAAGGTTTAGAAAGATTTAGGAAAGGTTTAGTAAAAGTGAATCAGTCATAATTAGCGATACAAAACAACTAATTCGAGCTCCAATTTTCTTTCTTTCTTTCTTCTTCATTTGTGTTCCAATAAATTGTAATTAAGGAAAAAAGGTTTCAATATATAATTATATCTGTACAAATGTTGAGTCTTTTCAACCAACATTGTAACAATCAGCTCGATCCTTGGGAATTTAAAAAATCACAGAGAAAAATAAATGTAAGCGAAAGTAAATCAAAACAAAACATAAAATAACGTTCACTTGCATAAAATGATCACCAAAGAAAGCAAGTTGACTTGAAGAAAGTTTCAAAACTAAATTAACCCGAAAACATACGCAATTAACAACAATCAATTATGATTTACCTTTAAGGCATTAGATTGATGATGATTAAAACAGTGAGAGTAAATGATGATGATTATAATGAAGGTGGTCCAATCCTTTCAAGGAAAGTAAAAAATGGTTGTCAGTGAAGTTTTTGTATATTAACCTTGACTGGGTAACATCAAGTGTTTACTGATTGGTCAGTTTTTGTAGACGCGCCAATTTTTGAAAGCAAAAAGTGGCCACTTTAACGATTATTATGATCATTTGGTTAGCTGGTTTTAATTTTATCACTCAAAGTTATCATGTTTTTGAAGGATTAACAGTGCAATAGAAAACAAGTTAAGTTCGGTTTTAACTAATAAATAATCATGATTATGATTATTCTTAACTTTGTCACGTGGTAAAGCTATCTGGTAACTCAAGAAACTGTTGGAAGGATGTCCCGCTAAAAACCATGAGGTCTTTCAAGATAATCATAAGTTAATTGTAGCTGTTTTCTTATGAAGACAATCCAGTCTGATGTTAATCTAAACTGATTCAAATCTTTATAAATAATTTGTCTGACCATCATTGGACTCTCAGTTCATTCAATAACATCGACTCATCTGTTTCAACGTGATTCACCGCAAATACAAATCTTTGATACTGTTCACCCCGAACAACTACCTTAGCTTTATTTGTTTCCCTGCATCTTCGTATTACTGTGATTTAAACATTTATAATCAAAATGAATTACTTTACATTTATAAGTTTAACTATTATCCTGTGCTCTGTTAATCAATCAAGTAAGCAAATACAATTTATTGTACCTTTTTTGATACTCATTTACAGTTTTGCTTTCTTCTCTTTTCCTCTTCTGCTCTTGCTGCGTATTGTCATTCCTCAATTTTAAAGGTGGACAAAACTGTGATCAACAGGAAAACGGAATCGACGGAACAGTTAAACAAGTGCTATTAATGAATCATGACATTCCACTTCCTGTTAATGCCAGTATCATGAATGATTGGTGCAGGTATGTATATTTGGTCAGCCATTTTTCTCAAGTTCAATTTTATGAGCCTTACACTCATCTTGGCTCATAAAATTATGCATCAGTTATCAAGCGAGCCTTTCTATGGCACAATTGATTCGAGTCGTTTGATTAATTATATTCTTTGTTCTGTCCTTCCAACAGCCCTTTCAAAACTCTCAGTCGCCGTGTATCAAAGTTCAGTAAATGTATGCCTCCATTTTTAGCTCAAGTTATTGTCGTCTTGGGAAGTGGAATCAAAAAGCCAGTGAAATATATTTGCAAAGCAAATAAGCAAAGTAAGTTTATCGATCTTTTCATTGTTTCTATTCCTTTTCTATCTGAAATGTTCATAAATTGTAGCTTTTTATGATAACAGTTTAATAGTTCAGTTTTAGGTTAATATCATGTTTGTTGACAACTACAGAAATAAAGTCGCATTAATCTGTAAACTTAATGAAATTCAATATTCCTGCCAACCTTGAAATTTTGACCTTAATTTCGGCTAACCTAATGATCAATCATTAACGATTTGACTTAAAATTAACATCAAGATTAATAACATTTTCAACTTCCTTAACCTTACTACATTTCGAGCATGTTAGAGGGATAATAATTCCTTGATTGTAAACATGCCATGTTTTTGATCGTAAAATCTAATTTAATCTCATTTCCATTTTCAACAGAGGCTATTGAAAATTATGCTTGTATGACAACCAAATATTTGGAAAGATTCAACAGAAGAGAAGCATTTTTCCTTGATTCACTCCAAATAATATCTAAAAATGTTACTGATGATCAAATCTTGCCTCACTTCTGTTGTGCTGTTAATACACTTCTTCATGACATCTACAACCTTGAAAAACCTCGGTGCAAGGATCCTTCAATCAACACTAATAACTTCATTGGAGATATGGTCAGTTTAGCTGTTTCGGATGTTCTCGATTTAATGTGCGGAAGCTTCAGAAGTCATAAGTCATGCCAAGATAAGGCTCCTCAAGCTCTGAAATTTTTGGCAGCTAAAGGAGTTGATTCAGTTGATTTACGAAAATATAACTTCGTATCAAGCATACTCAAAGTTGTCGGTCGATTGTCATAATTTAAACTTCATTCACTATCACTACTACAATCATTTTAATTATCACCATCTTCACCATCATTACTATCATTTTTATCATTTTTTCATACTTTTATGATATATTAATAGGAATCAATCAACTACTTACCATTTATCAACTACCAGTACACTGATCTTTCCAATGTACCTCATACCAATCATTCATACTGTTTCATATTTCTTATCAAATCATTTGAAATCGAAAAGCTAATTCAGTGATAATGGTTTTTAATCAGACAAATTTTCGAACTGCTAAATATATTACACTAGTAGTCAGGGTTAAGTTAAGAAAATTGGAGATTTTTTTCATAGTCGCCATCTAACAAGAAATAAAAGTACCTTTAAGATCGAATTTAATACCTCATACCAATCATTCATACTGTTTCATATTTCTTATCAAATCATTTGAAATTGAAAAGCTAATTCAGTGATAATGGTTTTTAATCAGACAAATTTTCGAACTGCTAAATATATTAACAATATTTAAATGTTTGTTATGGTAGTAATTCAAGAATTGAAAGTCAAGAAATGGTTAAATCATCAGTTTATTTTGTTATTTCCTAAAGTCAATTTTTACTATTGAAAAATGACATTCACGGAGTTACATTATGTATCCAATATAAATGGAAGTACAGAGAGAAATTCAATTGTAAATAACATTCCTAGTTATTTAGGTAAATTAGGTAGATTTTCCTCCATTCCTGGTGTATTACCCATTCCTGGCGTGTTACCCATTCCTTGCATATTAGTATCAACTCGATTACCACTGAAAGCTCTTCTTATATCATTCATAATCTCTCTCAGACGACCAAAGAAATGTCTAATTCCGTCAACTGAAAACAAACGAAAAAGTATTAAAATATTTATTAACACACTAAACTGATTTGCTCATTTAAAATATTTTTATTATTTGTAATACTAACCCGAATTGTTTCCCATTGGTCGATCACCTGGTCCCATTGGTGGACCTTGACCATTCCCGGGATTAGGCATTCCATATGAATCAGCTTGGCGTTTATTACGAAGTAACAATTTCAAATGATTAGCTGACTTGCCATGGTTTACAGCTGGTCCCGGTCTGGTAAATAGTAAATGTTTTCTTTCAAAATCGGGCTTGTGTATAATCCAGTCAACAGCACCGATAAAACGGGATCGAATGAGCAAATTGTTCGCTGGTAATTTGTAGGCTTCGATGTTGCTGAGGATAAATGAGCGACGATCTTTACTCTCTTTGTGGTAAATATTGTTTGATTTGTCAATCAATTTAACAATAAAAGGTTTTTGTGTGAACGGGATTTCACCATCTCCTGAATCAGCCAAAGATGTTGTTATAACTGCTGGCTGTGTTGCTGCAGGAGCTTGATCATCTTGGTTAATCGGAGTGTTCACTGGGTCTTCAGATTGTCCAGTTTGTCCATCATCACCACCATCTTCAACCGATGGCATGTAAACTTGAGCATCGCCAGAAACAATGTATAAAAAGGTTAACGAGTAAATTAGTCCTATCAACGAGTTCATTTTGATTGCTGAATCAAAATCTAATATGGAAATGAGCCGCACTTAACCGAACCTTTATTATTCTAGTTATTCAAATCAATATTGGAACAGCTTAATTGCAATAAAAATGAAATTTCACTTATATTTCATATTCAAAGCTCTTATTTACCCAACAGGCAAATAATGATTTCTATCTATGGTATAAACTAAAATGATTTATTTAGAGGTCAGATATGCAATTAACGTTCACTGAGACTTACTAAGTAAATAGAGTATTTATATAATTATGTATTTTGAAATCATTAATTTAATCAAATATTATGATTTGATTTTGTTTGAACTCTTGGATATGACTTTGATTGGTATTTGTTTAGATTGATTTTTTAGCTTGTCAACAAACTACAAAGATAGTATGGTTGGAGATTCAAAATTGTATAATAAAGTACAAGGATATAATGGAAGGTCAAGATTTAGCTGGGATTGTTATAATTTAACTGAATAGAGTTGAGTTTATTCAGCTCTTCTCGATAATAATGAATGTTAACAGCAGAGTAGTATCTTCTTGGATGATTAACAATTGAGAAAAGAAAATATTATTAGTTTGATTTGAGAAAATTGAAATCAATTGAAATTTAAAAGTAAACAGAGTTGAGCAGAAAAAATGCGAAGACGTGACTTTTTCTGAATGATAATCGGATAAATTGGCATAAATCAGTTGTACTATGAACCTTATTTCGAATCTAGACTTTAGTTATAAACAATCTGAGTGAGCTGGACTGATTATGAGATTAAAGATTGAGTCAATTATCATATTATAACCAAATTTCTTGAATAGCTTGAAAAGCAAAATTGAAGATAAAACATGATACTTGAAAAGTCAAATGAAGTTCAAACTTGTAAAGGTTTTGAGTTTATTATTATAGTTTTGCACTGGATAGGCCTGTAATAAAATAATAACACAAACTGAATCGACAAAATAATCTAAATCATAGAAAATGATAATACAGATAAATTGAAGATAATTTAAAATTGTACTTAAAACAAATCCCCTTTCTTCGTACGAAGGCCATTCGTTATGTTGTACTAAATGAATTAATAATGCGATAATGGAAATATTGAAATGAGATCATATCATTCTGGTAACAGCGCCGATGAAATAATTAGCGAATTCCTCTTTATCGATTGAAAATCCTTTTGGTGGAGGAGTCCTTAGAATGCTCATCATTGGTCCATTTTTCTCTTCGCAGGTTTTCACACTTTTGTAAGATGAACATACAAGATCAATAACATCAGCACTTCCTGAATATTGGCGTTGGTGAACAAATTTACTAGCATCAGAAGATTTTGATGAGCATTTTGGTGATTCAAGTTTACTCAAGTTGTCAAAATAGTCAACCAAAGTACAACAGAATAAAGGAAGAGCATCGGCACTAGTGGCATTTTTACTGACGTATTTAAGGTTCTTGACCAAGTAAGCTTCTTTTTCATTAACCTGGTCCAAGAAAGCGTCGTTCATGCAGGCGAAATTTGCAATGGAAGCTATTTGGACAAAGAAAATGCAACAATTAGTCAATTTATGCCATCGTTTAAATTTAAAAGAATCTGTTATTACCTTGTTTTTGTTCATTGCAGACATATTTGATTGGTTTTTTGACACCATTGGAAAGGATGGTCAAAACTTGAGCAGCAAATGCCTTTTCACACTTGGAGTAACGAGCCACTTTTTTCCCCAACGACGTGATTTCTCTGTAACAATTTAAAAAAGATGAACACCCATTGAGTTATCAACATAATCATATTCAAACAATGAACAGAAATAAATAAGTAAACAAAGAGAACAGTCAAATTTTGATAAAGAACCACAAATTTATCAAAAAAGAGTTAACAAAATACTCGAGTCAAATGTTAATCACAATTATCAGTCAACAAAAATGATCGTAAATCATATGTGAACCAGACGCGCCATCTAATGTTTCCAAATCAAAAGATTCGAAACAAAAGAGTTGAACTTAAATTGTTGAAGTTTTGAACTCTTAACTAAATTGCAATTTTTAAGTGAATTACATCATATAATTAAACGTAATTTAATAAAAAATGACTTACTTGCAATATTGAGCATGTTTTGCTTCATCACTAGCAACAAGCCTTTGCTTGTTCATAAGAAGCAATACTTTGAAAATTCTGTCCACTTCTTTCAATTGATCAGGGCATGATAAATTTCCTATTAAAATATCAAATAAGAATTGAAAATGTTCAGAAGATGAAAACTGGGTTGATAGATAATTGAAATTAAACTAAACCTTTTGATTTGTTGGGTGCACCAAATGATTGATTCACAATGGCAAAAGCAATTAAAACCAGAGACACAATTTTAACAGACATTATGAAGTGAAATATCACAACGGCAAAATGTATTCAGTTTAACAGTTGAATTAAATGGTTAGATCAGATGTCTACTAGTTAATAAAACTCAATTGGTCATTGGTAATGTATTTATACGAATAAACTGGCCAGTTGGCGAAATTAACAAAGACAAAATTGATGACTCTAAGAGGCGTTCAGTTAGTTCAACTTCAAGGGCGGAATCAACATGGAAAAATCTGATAAATATATTTAAGAACATTTTTTCTGTCTTAATGATGCTGATGATGTTAATAATTGAGATGAGGTTGACTGGCTCATTTGGTAAACCTTTACATTGATACTCAATCATTAAATTTCAATCTACACTGGCTCATAATGACTACATTTTTCTACATTATTTGTTCCATTGCCCTGAAGGAAAAGTTTAAATTTCATGGGGATATTTCCCAATGCAAATTGGTCAGTTGAGTAATATGCTGATTGCTTTGAAATGTAAGAAGAGTGCATCAAAATGCAGTAAACATATTATTGATCAGATAATTAATCATTTGGTTTTGTTTTGCTTGTCAATTATTATTATTGGAATCTGCTGATATTTGCGTTCATTATTTTCATGTCAATTCAATCTGATAGAAATAATTTTGATTATTGTTTCTCAACATTGTGGTGAAGTTATTGATTAAAATCTGAGAAACCTTGAATGAATTTGATAAATTTGAACCCAAGGTTGCAAATGGACTACAGTGATAGATTCAATGATTTTATCGCAGCTGGGCCCATCGAAGGTTACAATTTTAACCAAATCATATTGGTTTGATCAATTTTCTGATTATTTATGAATAGTATTTATCAGTTATTAATCAAAAATCACATTGTGATTGTTCGTGAAAATTCAAAGTTCAACTGAATTGAGCCATAGTACATTATAAGATGAAATAATAATGTAAATCCAAGCAAAGCAAAAATTACTCCAATTGCTAATATCAGTAGAAAAACTTGAATAAAATTCTGTCAAGTTGACTGATTGTAGGTTAATTATTTCAATGGACAAGTATAGACAATTAGAAATTATTACATGTGTGTATTTGTGAGGGAATAGACAAGTTTCAGGTATTCAAGATTTTATTCAAGTCGATCACTTATTGAGATTTGAGATATCCATTAAAAGTTGGTGTTGATGAATAGCAAATAAATTTAATTATTTGAGTGACAATAAACTCATTTCTGGTTTATTAAGGTCAAATGATGATTTGGTTGTTGGATGTTTTCAGAAGATAAATAAGCCATCAGTTCAATTGTGTGATTCTCCATTGATTATTCAGAGAGACTCAGCAATACTTGAAGCAATTTGATTACAAATGTCTCATTTCGTAGATCTCTTGGACCTTTTTCAAAGGATTTGAATGTTTGAAAGATTTGAGGAACCTTTTCAAAACAGGCTTTGGTAGTAGGATAAGGACCACACACTAGATCGACAACATCACGAATCGATTCATGGACACGAGCATGAAGAAATTCATTTGGTTTCGCAGTTGGATCAGGACACTTTTTGTGAACGATTGCTTTGATTGAATCGAGCATTCGGTTAGTGGTACAGCACAGACCAGGAACAACCATATCACGGGGAACACCGTTGACACTGTTTAATGCTGTTAATGAATCCAAGAATTGTGCTTCAATCGTCAATAATTTATCAATGTATTCATCATCCATGCAAATGTAATGCTTCTTGATGCCTATTAAAAATAATTGGGAGAAATTAGTGTCTTTAAAATATAAAATTTCACTTAATTTATCACTAAGGTTATCACTTGTTGATGTTTGATCAACCTTCTGAATCATGGCTGATCTAATAATGATAACTTCTCTAGTAGACGAAATTATTCAATTTCCCTTCATAAATGACAGCAACAACGAAAATAAGATCTAATCATTGGCCTTAATCTTAGTTTTGGTAATCTGGTATTTAGTTAACCACAAAACCAGCATCTAATGATTTGATTTTCAAGATTCCATATTTCTTGATTTGGCGTAATTCAGTGTACTTCAAAATAGTATTCAAACGATCGACTTATTCAGAGAAACATCAGGATTGGATCAACTTACTATCAATAGATGCTTTGCATATGTGTTTGATCGGCTTTTTGAGACCATTGATCAAAATGGTTGCTGTTTGTCCGATGAAAGGTGTGGTACATTTTAAATAGACCCCAGCTTGCCTTGATAATTGTTTCAGAGGTCTGGTGGAAAATGTGTGAAAGTAAACTTTATTAGACTTTATTACTTTATAACTTTATTATGGTATTGAGATTGAATAAAATAATAATAACTTACCCACAAAATTGGTCTCTAAGTGGTTCATTTTTAGGCAGAATACGTTTCCCGTCCATCAACAGGACTGATTTTGAATTTGCATCAAGCTGTTTGAGAGACTCGACACATTTTGGACTATTGTCCGTAAGTATTCCAGCATAAATGCCAGGAGCTGAAAATAAACCAAAAAAAGGAGAGAAATAAATTATCAAGTTACACAGAAGACAAAGAATCACAACAAAAACAAAATGAACACTTGTTACACATAGGAAACAAAAAATTAAAACAATGGAAAGGGTGAATAAAATGGCTAAAGATGAACATAAATAACACAGAATTTACTTGAAATCCGATTTATTCAATTCTTTTTGATAATGAATTTTTCTAGATACCCTTACCTGAATTTTGGCAATTAATTTGAATTAAATTAACAATCGAAATGGAAAAAATGACGAAACACGTGTTAATGATTGGTTGGAAATACATTTTCGACCAGCTGGTGGTTAAAGATGAAATGAACTAAACCAAAGGAAACAATCAGTGGTCAATGGGTAACAAAGAGTATTGGAAATGGAATTGGTAAAGTGAGTAAACTAATTAAGGGAATTTCAAGTGCTGATCGGATTAAATTAAGTCGCTGAGAGATTTTTATGGACCTTGAGTGAACCAGAGTCACTGAGGATTATTTTTCTCGCCTTTCCCTTAATCCTTAGTTACCTATCAACGGGTGATTTTGCTGGAATCCTAACGCTATCCATTTCAAATTAACCAGGTATGTACACATTCATTTAAAGTATTATTAATTAAACTGATAAATCTAAGATGCTGATATAATCTCGGTGAAAATTAATCGCCTGAGATTAAGATTGTACCAATTGTCTCATGGCCATTGATTTCTGAGATTTCTGCGTTTTACCAAAACCAACATTAAGATTCTGCTAATGATTTTTAATTTATTTTCGTTAATTTCTTTATTACAGAACCATGTGAATATCAAGATTTAATAGTGAACATTTCAAAGATGGAATCCCATGAATTGCCAAAGCCAAGTGAACTTATGACTTGAAAGATGTAACCTGGAGACTATTTAATCACGCCATTGAACTCATCAACATTCAAGTTGCCATTGAAGGTTAACCAGATGATGATTATTTAATTGGTGATAATTAGCTTTCGTTTGGAAGAGCCGGACAATTAATAATGAATATTTCAATGCAATGACAGTTTTAATGGACGTCAGGTTTTTGTCCGTGATATTGTGGTGAAGTCCTTGGACCAACTGTCTATTTAACTGATTACTCAGAGGATTCACCGCATTCATTATTCATCAGTTGAATTGTTAATGGATCTATTTCATGATCGAGCTTCTCACCATTTCACCCGTTGAATCTTACCAATGCTTATCAATCTAATCAAGAGAAACATTCATTAGCAGATTTGCGTTTTACACCTTTAATCTTACTCGTATTATGGTCATGTCGATATCAGCATTAATGTCCGGACTGACTGGTAAATTGGTGGCTTGGATAATCAAATGATTTAGATGAACAAAATTGCATGATTGACTTTTGGATAAGATCGTCATCAAGTGTATTAATATTACAATCATGATTCTCTTCCGCTTTGCTTACCTGCATTCAGAAATAAGGTGAAGCTGATTCTTTGAATTTTACATTTAAATGAACATTAAAAAGATGTTTGGCCTCGAAAAAAAAGGATCATTTTTGGACGAATAACGTATTTGGTGGTTTTCATTTCAAATGGATTGGGTCCATACAGATTATACTGATTGGTGATGTTAACATATTTATCATCTTCAGTCAACATTGATGACATTAAATGATTACGCCCCAAGATACACCTTTAACCTTGTGATTAACTCGTGACATTTTAATTAAAATATCAATCAGCCTTAATTGTCATCATGTTTTTCAACTTCACCCTCAATATATTACACACTGAATTACATCAGAACTGGTCAATTAATGGAAGTGAAGGTCAGTTGACTAATGTTTGCTGGTCTTTGGTGTGTTTGTTAATATTGATTAAAATACATTTAATGGTTGATTATAATTTGAATCGTTTTGGCATAAAAAAAGATATTTACATTTAATAGTTGAAATAATGTGAAACGGGGAATCGAAGCTAATCATGAAAAGATGAATGCAACCAGCAAGCAAAAAAAAACATGATTATTCAGCAACATACATGGTTACAAATTGACCTGACGATCGAAAACTGTTGCCGCTAGGAAATAATTAACAATCTTGATTTGTATATTAACAAAATGATGATCAACATGAAAACAACAACAATTTAACCGAGTTTAATCCTGATTTCCGTTTTTATTTTACTTTCACCTTTTTAATATCACTTTCTCTTCCCGCCTTTAGCTTCTTTCTACCGTTTGTTTATGCCAATTATGCTTTCTCCTCTTTTAGCCTTTCACCTTCCCTCAATAAGATGGGTTAATAAGCCAAACAAGTTTAACCGTTTCTGCTGTCTTATTCACCTCTTCATCATCTGAATTAATTATTATCAATCGAAGAACAGCCTTCGAAATGTTTGATCTTCCCATCAAAAAATTGTGTATAAAAGCGAAGAGGTCATCAAATGAAAATCTGTTCTTGTTAATCAGTTAGTCGCTTCAACACTAAATAATATTTACCTTTTGTGTCTTACCTCACAACCAAATAATCTCAACATGCGTTTCTTGGTAAGTTCATATTCTGTTGACCAATTCATGTGACTGTGTTACTGTTTCTCAATCAAATTATTTACCTTAGTTTTGCTTCTCCAATCTGTGTATAGATTGGCAAAGCATATTGTCAATATAACCAAGATGGATTACGATAGAGTTATAGTGGTTTGTTCATTGCATGATTTTACATGTTAGCAGCTTTTAAAGATGAAAATTATTAAAATTTGAACAATTTCCATTCGTGTGTAAAATGTATCTGAACATTTGAATCTAATCAGCTTCCATTTATCCACCATTTTAGGTTATTGTTGCTGTCACCATCATGTGCTTTGATTTCATTGTTGAGGCCGGCCATATTCCTTACATCCCAGACAAACTTCTTGGAAAATTAGCTCCACCACTTCTTTTCCTTGGAGGTGCTTACGGTACTGCTGCTGTTGGTGCTGCCATTGGAGCCGGTTTGGCCAAGCAAAAGCGTCACGGAGGTCACGGAGGTATGGGTGGTATGGGTGGTATGCACCTTTTCGCCGTTCACCCTGGTCTTCAATACGGTCATGTTGCTCCTCTTGATCATCAAATCTAAGCTGTTAAGGTCTTAAAATAATTAATTTGATATTGTTATTTCACTCCTTCGCTCTTTTTTTGACTGAATCTTTTTTATTGCTTCCTGGATCAATGGAAACTTTGTTTGAAGCTTAGTAAATTATTATTACTCTCCATCATCTTCATCGTCATCACCATCATCAATGGAGTGCAACCTTTCATCAACATCAATCATTATTTAAACAATGTCACAATCATCGTTATTTATTATGATTTACATCCAGTTCGTAGTCATTAAATTAAAATAAATTATATTAACTGGCATTTCTTGTTTAATAATTTTCTTTCGATCCTTAAAATTTGAACATTTTTTAAATTTAATGGCAATGGCGCGTATTTTGTAAAGTTTGTAGAGATGTAAATTGAATCATTTTTTTCAAGTTAAGATTTGATTTCAAAGTCAACCCAAAAGATTCCAATTTATTTGTTCAATCGCGTTAAACTATGTTCATTTGATTACGGAAGTTATTAGACTGACTTTGTAGGAAGAGGATATTTGACAGATGACCCAAGAAGCAATAAAAGGAGAAAAATTGAAAGATTAAGTTTCAAATTTTCTTTAATGAACCAGTTTTTATTCTTAAATTTTGTCCCCTGGAGCTTCAGACCAAACAGCGAACAAAAAGATTTCTGATAATGAGATAGAAAGTGAGAAAATTTGATGAAGTGATAGTTTGATCAAAGTAAGAAGCTGAATGATGCCAAATGCATATCCTGAGGCTCAATCAATCCACTTATGAGGTGTATTTTACGTTAATGTTGCGTTCCTTGATTTCGATCCATTATTCGGACAATCAGTTGTTTTAACTTTATTCTAGCAAATTCAAGAAGCTCAATTATCAGGCCGGAAAAAAGACAACAGAAATTAAAATATTTAATAGAGACCTGAATTATCATGAAAAAGATAAGCATTTAAATCACCTGAGTAAATATTGAGTGCTGTCACAATTTAATCGATCTTTGTTGCGTTTATCATTTGAAATTAGAAAAATTGATACTCCTTTGATTTTTGATCTTTCTTGCTTGTTTTATTGTCCATTACATTGAGCCACATTATTATAAAAAAGGAAAGCGAAACTGTAAATTGATTAGGTAATAATCTTTACTTAATTATTTACAGCTAAAAGCCTGATAAAATTCAGCATTTTAAGCAATTTATACAATTGTCATATTTAAATTTGAATTTACAGGTTAAATATTTAGTGAGAATGCATGAATTAACAAATATCGTTAAAACTGCTCCCATGATAAATTTTTAATTAGAAATAGCAAGTAGAGTAACCGATAAAAATATTCTTGATTTTTTTGGATCAAAGATGCGCGGTTTCCACAATCATGGAATGAGAAAGATGAAAGCAAGGATTACAAGAACCATTGTCAAAAACGGTAACCAGGTTTTGACGAAACCCAATAAATTGACATATTTTCCACAGAAAAACATCCAAGCCGCGAGAATAACCATATTCCAAGAATCACGTCCATTGTAGCGCATAGTTGATAGTGCGAGGGCAACATGAGAATGACAATTATCCAAAATTAAGTTATGCTAAGAGTAAAGAAACGAGATTTTCAGTTACATTGTAATAGAAAAACACTTTTGGGTGATTGCACACCAATATTCACTCACCGTTCTTTGAGAGTAAACCTCACATGCATGAGATGTTGCTTGATCCCAGGCATCCTTATCACCATCAACCAAATGAGGGTCAAGTTGTAAATATCTTGTAGGATTACCAAAAGCTATATTATCCGTCTGGCATTGAATAAAGGAGAAACATGACATTAATAAATTATCCTGGAACAGCTGATCGACTGAAACGTCTTGGTAAAATGAGCTACATTACCGAGATTGTATGGGACATGGCGAAATCTTTGATTATACCTTGACTTGTGGTTATACCCATATGACCAATAAAAGGGAAAAGCCATCTGAAATCAAAATTGAAAGGCACCAGGTAAGACAAAAGTCAAATTTTAAATATGAAGTAAACTTACGTTAATATGGGAATTGGTGTCCAGACAATACAGAAAGGATATCGGTTTCTTTTAATGTCAATAGACATCTTCAAGAATATATTTAATATTAGATTTATTGATGAGAACAATTGCAGGGTAACTGAAACGAAATAAAGAAAGAAAATATAAGTAAGGCCCAAGCAAAAGCTATGAGTAAAATCAAATTATTGAATAAATCCAATTGATATCGATGTAGGTGAAAGATCACTCACTAAGTCAGGATCAAAGAGTAGATTACCTTAATCTTTGGTCAGGATGTCATTCATGCATTGTGAAGGATGACCAAAATAATTCAATCAAATGATATTATGATTAGATTGAGCATAAATAAATTTTACACAAGTGATAAACACTACACACAAAAGAAACGGGTTGTAAATCTCCAGGTAAACAAACAAAACAAAAGGATCAACCAATTCACGTTTTACGGTTATGATTCAAAATTCACTAATTTTATATTTAAAATAAATGTACATGTATTATTGTTTGAAGGTTTAATTTTGTTGCATATTTGCTCTAAAAATGTTTGGGTTGTCATCAGCTGAAGAAGAGCAAAAATGAAAATGAGAAGGAAAACAAGACTATGTTTTGGTTTTGGATGGGAAACATGTCACGTTGGAAACTGCCTTCAACATCAATCAATTATGAGGTTTTTGCGTTAATCTTGAACTGACATGAGCCTTTCTTATGTTTTCACCTATTTTTATGAAAACCTTTGTTTTTGAATATCTTAGTGCTATAATTTGCTAATAAATATCTGCAAATTGCGCACCTTTTGATTTTGATGTCATTCTAAACATTGATGTTCCGTTGAAGATAACTGTTGCATGAAATTTGATTGAGTTTCGGAAAGAAATCTGTGAAATTAAATGTAACATCTCTTCATTGGTTCACTCATTCGTTGTTAAAATACATGAGTTAGTAATCAATTTCATGTTCGGAAAAATTTGTCAAGTAAAGTCATGAAATGTCATCAAATTACAACTTAAAAATACAGTAGCAAAGCTCGTCAACATTACTAGTATCATCACCACCATCATAAAATTTGGTGTATGGCCAAAGATAATGAAGATAAAAAATATAAGATTTCTGGTTAACCAGACTTATTTGGACTCACGAAAAGTAAAAATTTGGTCTTTTTTTAATTTCAAATCTTAATCCTTGGGAATCTTGTTCATCAACGTCAACCAGTGTCATACACTTGTCTTAACCTTTAAAATAAAAGTTTTCAAGAGATGTTTTATCCAAAATCAATAAACGATTGTTGAAAAATCTTGCAAATCAGATCCATGCCATGAATTGAACCCAATAATGAAAACGAGAATCACTAAAAATAATTGTAAAACGTTTAATTATATCAAATATAAACAATCAAGTAAAATCAATGCAATAAAATATACAAACTGATTCACTCGACACTTCAAATTCTTGTGAATTAGACCAATTTAATATTGGAGTTTCTCGCACTCCAAGCCTAAAACATTATCCATAAAATGAATGGAATTCCATGAATATTTCGAGGTATCAATATTAAATCATAAGCTGTTCATAACCAAGATGTAAATTTAGCAAAACAAGCTAAATTTAACTAATTTAAAAGTTCAGTTATACAGTAAATATTTGATAAAAATATGTAAATTAGATTTTTTTGGTCTCTTTCCAGTGTCATTGATCCAAGGTCTTTATTAAAGAGTACAGCAAAAAGATTTACAATTTAATATTGACAATTAAAATTGAAATCTTATTTATTACAAGAAGGATGCGAAAAAATCAAACTTTGAAATCATTTTAACAAAATAGAAAACATTTGAATGAGAATTCCAGAACACAGAAACATGAATACAAAATGTCGATAAAAAATGGTTGATGAGTCGAAAAGAAAATTGTAAAAGCAAGAAAATGAAATGCATATTAGTGAATTAACAAGATGAAAGCTATTGTTGTTAGATTAATTTCAGGTTGCTTCTGAAATTATCTAAATTCTCCTTTGATTTTCCAAACACCGGCACCATCAGATCTACGATGAAAATCACTGATCTTCCAAAGAAGTGACTTAAATATGGGCGTTAGTTGAGCTGGAATCCTATCCTTGAATTTCTCTAAAATCTCTTGCGTTGTAGCTTCACCGTCAACATTAGCTTGGAAGGCAATAAAATTTCTTATATCATTGAGCAGTTCATTATGTTCAGATGAAATCGTAGATGTTGCAGGGGTCGGCCGAGCATTATCATCTTCTTCATTCTCTTCGGGAGTTTGAAATTTATTTCGCTCTCTGATTGATTGTATAATTGAAGCACTTGATGGTGCAGAATCACTAGATCCACTAGCAGCTCCAGGTAAACGATCTCGGCGTCCTTTACCAAATCTACTGGCTGTAGGAAGTGTTGAACTGCTTCCAGTCCAAGTTGGTATTCCGAGTGATGGAGCAAAACACATTTGTCGAGATCGGCGTAAGGCTTTAATTGCTTCATTGGCAACTTTATCTGCTTCACTTTCAATTAAAATGAAATCAGAATTGGTTTTACCCTCAATAACATCATGCTGTAACGCACTGTGCATATTTGATTTTTTAAATAACTTTTTAAGCACATAATCATCTTGTTGCTTATTTAAATCAGCATCACCTTCTGATTTTTCATCTTTTACCGGATTATATGTATCACTTTTAACAAGATATTTGATTCGTTTGCCTTCAAAAACTGTTCCTTTGTGTTTCTTTGATTTACTTGCATTTTTGGTTGGAATCGAGTTTGAATCGTGGTTATGTTTATTATAAGATGATGATGAGGCAGATGAATTAGCTGATTTATTTTTAAGATGATTAGTTGAATCTCGGATGAGTTGACTATCACTTGTACTTATTAATGATTTGAATTCAGATGAGTTAGATGAATTAGATGAACTGTTGTTAGCAAACTTTTGACCAATCATTTGACTAAGCTTTTTAGCCCTTTCGTGCAACTCTTTTATCTTTTCAGGTGGCAGTGTAATCTTATCTGGAGGTAGAATTTGAGATTTTTTACTCGATTTGTCCTTTTTGGTGGCGTTTTTGGCAGATTTGTTAATGTTAACTTTAGATCCTGTTCCTGCAAACAGAGCACTTGATTCCGTTGCTGATGAATCATTTCCAAGAGTGAACAATTCGTGTAAATTATTTGTTTTGAAAAATCTTTGTTGCTTGGGATCTTTGAGAACACGGTTTGTTAAATATTGTTTGAAAACTTGTCGGTGGTAAATTTTTTCTTCCACTGTTCCTGCTGTCAATAACCTGTGATCAAAATAGATTCGATTAGATTTCAGGATCAATTTGCATAAAAATAAACAAATTAACTAACCGATAGATGGTTACTTGTTTATCTTGACCTATTCTCCAAGCTCTTTCTCGAGCTTGCATATCAGTTGTTGGATTCCAATCAGGATCATAAATTAAAACACGATTTGCTCCAATCAAGTTTAAACCTACGCCACCCACTTTAGTAGTCAATAGGAAAACAAAGATATTGGGATTCTAAAAAGAAAACAAAGAAAAAATTATATCATTGAGCATTTTCATTTTTTGATAAAGATCATGAACTGATTTATATAATACTTACGGAGTTAAATTCTTTAACAGTTTGTTGACGAGATCCTATGGGTGAACTCCCATCCATTGTAAGATAAGCATATTCACGATATCGTAGGAAAATTTCTAGGATAGCCATCATCTGTGTCAACAAAATTTGGAAACAAATATGATTAACTAATTCAATATTTTGATGAAACAGATAACTTACCTGTTTTCCTTGAGTAAATAACAAAACTTTGTGTCCTTGTTTGTGCCAAAGGCTGAGTAAAACATCAACAACCTTCATTTTACCCGATCTTTTATAGTAACCAAAGGTATCTTTAATATCACCAGTTTCTTCTTTTGGACCATTAGTGAACAGGTCGGGATGGTTACATATTTTTCTTAAATTAATAAGGCCAACAAATATTTGTGTTTTTCCTTTAAAAATATCACGAATTGTGTTGGACTCTAAATAACCTTTGTAAACATCACGCTGTTCATCAGTTAATCGACAAAACAAAACTTGTTCATTTTTGCTAGGCAAATTGAGTGCCATTTGAACTTCATCTTTGACTCGACGTAAAAGATATGGCTTAATCGCATCTCGAAGAACGGTGGCACATCGGTAGGCAATTTCAACCTAATATGAGTCAAAGATAAAAAATGATTTAGAACAATGATTGATATGAGAAAGATAAAAAATCAAAGTTTACCTGAATCTGAGAGGCATTAGCATAACCTCCTTGAGTTATTGGAACTGAAAATTTTTCCATGAAAACTGGCAAGGTTCCGAGTTTGCCAGGGTAGATGAAATCAAAAAGTGACCAAAGTTCTTTGAGGTTATTTTGGATAGGAGAGCCAGAGAGAATAATACGATGTGGGGTTCGGAACTAAATTTAAGGATAATTTTGTAATTTTAAATTTATCAACTACTTTTTGCAATCAATTTACCCTTTTACATGCAATTGTTGTCTGAGCGTCGGGATTTCGTATCTTATGTCCTTCATCAAGAATAACATAGTGCCAATCAAAGTCGTATAAAAAGTCTTGATAAGCAACAATGCTACAATAGGAAGTTATTAATATGCCATTAGACCTATTAATCAATCGAATCAGATTTTTCTGAATGAGAAAAAAGAAAATAATATTAATAACAGCAAATATTGAAAAACAAATTCAATCAGATTATTTCATATTAAGACCGAAATGTTACCTTTTTCCCGATATACGATCCTGTGTGGTGTAAAATAGCAACTCTAAAAAATGGCCACCAAGCATGGAATTCAGAAACCCATTGTTGCATTACAGTAGCTGGAGTGACTAAAATTACTGGACCCAATTTTTTCCTCCTAGAAAGTATGAAATTAAACAAATTAATTGTGAGATATCGGCAATAATTTGAATAAATACAAGTAATTTACAAAAACTAATGCAGAAAAAAACAAGCAGAAATCTTGTTCAAATCAAACCAGAGAGTTTTTAGTTGTATTTTATGTACTTACTCGTCTCGAAAATTTGATACCTCACTAACGCTGAGGCCTGCAAGAAAAGCAATCACTTGGATAGTTTTACCCAAACCCATTTCATCACCCAAAATTCCACCACAACCGAGTTGATGCAATTCCCACAACCATTGAACTCCTCTTTGTTGATAACTAAATTAAAATACAAAATAAAATTCAGAATTATAATTTGAGTTAAATCCATCTTAATTTTCGAGCCTACTTGTACAACTTCGACCATATATGAAGAGGTACTTTGAAATCATCACCAATAATGTGAAAATCTTGATAAACGTCCACCTCTCCTGAACTTGCTTCTTGTTGAGCATTCAATTTGACATATCTGGAAAAGAATAAAATTTATTAAATTCAAATTGTTTCTTTAATTTAATTTAACCAAAATTCACCTCATTCTTTTTTGATAGGCAGCTTCATCACCATCATCGATTATCTTTTTCTTTGTCACTTTTTCTGGACCAGAATCGAGTTTCATTTTCTTGTGAAGTAATTCCTTTTTTTCAGCTTTCCTCCTTTTCTTTTCATTTTCAAATTCTTCGTCCTCATATTCTTCCCTTTCTTCTTCTGATGGGATGTATTCGTCATTATCTTCTGTTCTCTGAAAAGATTTATGTCTGATCTTTGAAACATCTTCATCACCATCGTCATCATAGTCATCATCAGGATTATGTTGACGGCTCGCATGGAAGTCATGGACTTTTTGAACAACCTCTTGACTTTTGGTACTGGCAATGTTAAAAGCATTCTCAGTACACCCAAATGCGGATGTCGAAGGTTGTTGGTTTTGATAATCAAAACTTTCTCTTTCAGATTCATCAGGAGAGGGTTCATTTTCAAATGAAAGAATGGCCGCGATTCTTTTCTTATGAATATCAGCTCCAGCTCTAGTCACCTGATTATTGATAACATCATCAACTTGTTTTAAAACTCCTTTCTCGTAAGATTGCTGCTCATAAGCTACAACACCAAGCTCTTGTAACTCAGAAAACTGTTGATCAGTAGGAATACAAGGTATTGATGACATATCAATGTGCAATTTGATCGGACCCCTTTGAGGTTGATCTTCAGTTGTACTTTCCGCATCTGATTCTTCATTCTCATCATCATGCAACTCTTCATCTTCAACATCACCATCACCAGTTTTGTCAAAAGAATCGGGTAGATCACTTTGTGTATCTATTGATACTGGAGCATACAATGATGTATCAAGAGCATCAGATGGTTCCTCGTTTGCAGGCATTTCAGCTGAACATGTGTAATTCAATAGATGAAAACTTAACTCAATGGTATAGTGGATGTTTTTTTGATAGACAAGCAGTTAAAATGGTCCAATTAAACCAAAAAAAAAATATAAGCTTGATAAGATGGGCCAAAAGACACTATTTCATCATCCAAAAAACGAGCATTAAGTTAGGCCTGATGATAAAGATGGATAGATGAAAAACGTTAATAATTGTGGAGCTAAATGCCCAGTACAGAATAAATAATGTAAAACTAAGAACTTAAATATAAAAAAAATAAATAAATTAAATAGTTGAAGTAATTAACACAAAATACAATTTCCTACCTTTTTTTGTTGGAAGGGTCTGCTTTTAATATCAAAATAGGGAACAAGAAAAAAAGAAAGAAAGAAAGAAAGAAAGGGAGGAAAAAATCAGCTGTTACCGGTTTTTTAAATGAAAACATTTGGGTTTATTTATTTCTGGTGCGTTTGCTGCTTAAATGGTGATTTTCAGCATGATTCTGTCAAAAGGTAAGTTGTTATCTTCATTGTAATTATTTATCCATAATCTCTATTATCTGAATACTTTTCTTGAGTTGAACTATTTGATAGACAATCGAAGTTTGGTTTACTTTTTCTTTAGAATCAAACCAAGGAGGTGAAACTGGCTGGAAGAAAGGACTTTACGAACCTCAAATTTATCCAGACAATTACATTCCACCGACATTTCTACAGGATCTTCGTAAAAACGGTTGGTTGAAAAGTTTCAAAATCACTTTTAACTTCAGATTAAATTGTTCTCAACGGATGACATTGATTAACTGAAAATTTCTCTTCATTTTACTCACCCATATTTAGTTAACTTACAGTATTACACATTGAAAGAAGCAATAATCCATTCTGGTGCTTTGACTCAGGAGATAAATTGTATTATTATTTTTATACAAGTTTTCAACCTTCTACAATCAGATGATAAATCTTCAAGCTACACCTGTGTTTATATAGGAATAATAACATTACTTCTTTACACCACACTGATTTTATCTTCAAAAAGTGACGATGGTAATAATAAATCTTTGGTTCAATATTTGAGACGAATTTACAATTTTCATTTCTGATCTTTACAGTTATTGGTGAACTAAAAACTGGAATAATTTTGATCTTCAGTGGATTTGCAGTTTCACCGATTCTCAAAACGCTAACTGAAACTATTAGCACCGACACAATTTACGCCATGGTTACACTGATGATGATTATTCACTTGATATTTTTCGATTATGGAGTCAAAGTCGCAATAGTTAGTCCATCATTATCTTTAAATAGTGCCATTTTTGCTGGAGTGTGTCTTGCATCTCGCTTAGCATCGAGTTACCAAGCGTTTGCTCTATTAACCTTCGCCACTGACATTTTTGTCCTATTCACAATCTGCCGATCCAAGCTGAGGGATATTATTCCAGTCTGGGTCAATTATTTTATCACTTGCTTGTTGACATTTATTTCATTAATTCTTCTTTTAAAACTTAGCAGTCCAATTTTTTCAATAATTTATATTATTTTGCTTATATTTGTAAATCTAATTCTTCCGTATAATTTTTGGTCATTACAATCGTACAAAGAAAATATTTATGGTCCCTGGGATGAAGCAGTAATTAAAAAAGATGACTTGGATAACTAGAAAGTAATGAGATCTTTGTACGTCAATTAATTTTATACTATTAATAAATGAAAAAAGTATTTTTGATGAAAAGCTATCAGTATTTAAATGATTCAAAATCGATTATTAGATTTACTTCGTTGGTCTCACTTTGCAGTTGAATTGGCGATTTGGCATCAAAGAAATGATTTGGTCATTTGATTATCCAGACAAATGCGATGTAAAGTGAATAAGCCAAGGAATCACCTTTTTAGATATGGAAATGATGAAAGTAATGAAGTTTTAGTGCTTGAATCAATTCACTATTATTTATTGTATACTATTGATAAATGAAAAAAATCATTTGTGGTGAAAAGTTAATCAGTATGAAAATGATGAAAAATTGATTATTAGATACAAGTCGTGGATCAAAACAAATACAGAATAATTTAAGGGTAATATAGTTACAATATTTTAGAACACAATGAATTGAGAACTAGTTAACTATAAATATTAGGAAGCAATTGGTACAATTTAAAATTAAATTAGAAACATAGAAATGACGTAGACAAGGTAAAGAAAAGAAGAAAAGGAACAATATTTTATCGGTGAATGAGTGTGCAATTGAGAGATTTTCTCTGTTCTTTTTTTGGTTCGTTATTTAATAAATATTGGTGGTAAGTACCAGCAAAACTGGTAAAGTCATGGCAAGTTTCTTTTGCTTCATAAAAGAACAGATTTTGTTCCAAACTGAACAAATTTAATTTAACAGTCTCTGAGTTCCAACTTGAATATTACAACATGCTATTGTGATTTCTGTGTTGCATTTTATTTGTACTGTTACAGTCAACACGAGAAGTTTTTAATTGATTTGGAAGTGAGAGCAAAACTGATTTTACAAAAATCTAGTTTTAAGAGGTTTTTCAATTGATGGTGGAAAAAGTGTCTTGAATTGTGTTTCTATCTGACTGGAAACCCTGTAATTATTTTAAATAAATTAATAAAACATGATAGTTGATTCATTTTGAACAATTAAGGACCTATGATGTTAATTTGGACAATCACTTTCACGTTCAATGCCAACAAATTTAAGTTGTTCTGTCAGGCCATATCGATAATCAAAGAAAAGCTCTTCTCCAGGCTGAATTTGTCTACGAGCAAAAATACCAATACGATGATCACCATTGACCATTAATACTTTGGCGTAGCAATTAGGGTTAACTGAATGATTAGCAAACCTAATTTTATTACCCTTTCGAGTAGCATCAACCACATAATCGTTGTTGAGGTTAAATAAGAAACTACATTTGTGCTTATCATAGACTTTACCTCGGCGATCAGCTTCATCTTGAGATATTATTTCACCACAATATTCGGAGATAAATTCATTTTTGGCTGCATAATCTCTGAGAAAAATTCCCCAGCCAACAACATCTGATGGAGCAAGAAGCAAGTGTTTCTTTAATCCTCTTTGAATTGAAACATTTTGACAAGTGATTTGTTTAATATCCTCTTGGTGAGAACCACAGGTTTGACAAAGATCAGGATCACATTCTCGAACGGCTAGATAACATGCACACTGCTTTGTAGCGCATTGAGCTTTACATCGACATCCAGGAAATCTTTGTGGACATTCAGGGCTACAGTTACAATATTTTTCACAAAAATTGTTTGTTGATACACAGATACAGTTAAGGTCACAAGGTTGACCAGGATGATCACAAGGAATATAATTGTAAACACTATTGGCTAATCCATCTTTCTTTTGGTGTAATTTTCGATGTTGCAAAGCCCAATATCTATTTTTTTTCTTCTTTTTACGAGGCGGAGAAAAAGTTAAATCGATTTCTTCTAGTCCACCATATGAGAGTTCTTGCTGAGCGAAAAAGTAAACTTGCTTACAAGTTTTGGTGTATAAAGCTTCCGCTACAGCACAATAGTTACGATAGAAGCTTTTCCATAGAACACGGAACAATGATTTTTCAGAACCCGTCCATTCATCACAATTTGAATTATCACTAGTTTCTTCAAGTTGAGACATATTTTCTTGGTTAATTTCAGTTCGAGAGTCTGTCTCATCTTCTGAGACTGGTGGTTGAAGGGGTAAAGGGAAATGGATGTCGTGATTTGTGAGGTAAAGTTGATTATTAGTTGAAATTTGATGATGAATATCATCTCGTGCTTGGCTTTTATTTGACTTGGTTTTCCATTCTTTCATTTGATCATGTGGAGTTCTGGTTATAAAGTTTGAAGATATATTTCGATTCTTGTGATGCTTTGTATGATGAGAGTGATGATGTTTACCAAATTGATGCGTTTTCAAACTATCATTACTGTCCTCACTACTTGCATCATTACCACTACTGGCATTACAATAAGATAATTTCTTCGTCTCCTGAATAAGTATTTCACCATCTTGTTTTTCTTGCTTAATTTTTAATCTCATACCATCCATATGAAGGTAACAGTCAGGTCCACAGGGTTCAAAAGCTGGTTTGATATCCGAAGGTTTGGGCTGTGGCTTTGTATAATTATCTGAAATACAAAGAGATAAACAATCAACTAAATGTCACCAAAAGTGTAGAGAAAAGATATAGACTATCAATTTGTTGAGTTAGTACTTACGATGAAGAAAACAATCATATTTGTAACATCGGCGGCAGAAAAGGGTATGAAATGAATGCATTGTTTGCTCACGAGAGGCTGATGAAGCATGAGGTCCATCTATGTTAGGCGTGAATTCAATATGACCAGGAATTATAACATTTCTTTTAGCAATTAGATTCAGGTATCTAAATTTGGAAATAATAGGAAAGAAAAGTAAAGTAAGAAATGGAGCCATTGAATCAAATTCAAAGTAAAATACCTTTCTTCCAATTCTTTCGGAGTTCCTTTATCGGGATAAGCAGAATAGATGGCCTCAAATATTAAAAATGGAATATGACACTTCACATTCGTACCAGTCTTGACAATAGATTCTGAATTTCAAAACAATAAAAATTTAAGATTAATCTTAAATATCACACATTGATATCTTCTAAAAAATTACCTGCTGAGACATTTGAGTCATTTAAGTCTGTAGTAGAAATAAGGGGCTCAGGTTCACTATTTGGTCTATGTTGATCCTTTAACAATTCTGATTTGCTTAGAGATTCAACAACTTCTACAAAAATTTCATCTTCATAAGCATTGAGTTCCTTTATACCATGGACTTTACCATCATAATTTTTTAGCAGCTCTTCAATAAATCCCTGTTCAACTTCATCACCCATATAAGGAATATTGTGAAGCTCAGTTTCATCTTCGACCAGAAAATTTTGTTGAATAGGTGCCCAAGTGCACATTGGAGGAATAGAAGTTACAGAATAAAATGTTTTGATGAAGCATTTTTGGTTAACTTTGGTAGATTCACACTTTAAATAAGCTCGTTTGGAGGGCAAATCATTTGGACAGTATTCACCAAATTTATAATTAACTGAAACAGCTCTATCAGAATCCTTATTGGCGTTTAATAGTTGCTCTAAATATTTACGATTATTTGCATAAGATGCTTTTAAGGTATCTTTATAGCGGAATCGTTTCCTTGCTCTGATTTTGTTAAACTCTGAAATCACTTTCTTTCTCCAATTTTGGGATACCAATGAAGGAGAAGACAATGAAGATACTATGGACGAGGAAGATGTTGATGGTGATTCAGGTAGTATTAGCATTGGTGTTTGAGTTGATGAAGAGCATAAATTAGTAGACTTGAGACCATCGATACCATTGGAATTAATAGCATCATCTCCAACACAAATGCTGATGTTGCTGCAGCTGCTGACATTGTTTTCAGCTATTCTGGTGTCCAAATTTGAATCCAGTTCAATAGGTTCTTCTCTTTGGCCAGCAATAAATCCTTTCTCCATTTTTCCAATATACAGGACAACACAAAATCACATATTAAAGTGTTATTAACTAAACATTGTTAAAGATTATTAATTTATAAAAAAAAACAATAAAAATGGAGAAGAATATTTTAAAACCTAAACCAGAGACTTTGTGTTTACAAATTCCCGGTCATTACTATTCTCTTTATTCAAGCTATCTTTCATTCTCACTCTCTCTCCTTCAAGTCTCTTTTCCTTTTTTCTTCTTTTCTTTTCTCTTTTTACTTCCTCTTTTTTCTCTCTCTTTCTCCTTCTTTCTCATCAATGAGCTTCTCATCTTTTCACTTTGAATTACGAGCGCAATTTGTGTTCAACTATTGTAGCTGGAAAGGAAAAACGTGTAAAATTTGAACGCAAATGTGACTATTTTACCAAAAATAAGAAACAATCAAAAGCTCATTATTGAACTCTTAAACAAAATCCATTAAAAGCATTCAGAATCAAACATTTTCATTGAAGTCTATGAATTTGATTAGAAAGGATCTTCCATTATCATTTAATCAGGGAATCTACTATAAATAAATAAAAGCAATAAGCTTAAGTCGATTGAATATGCCAGGGTTTTGCGTTTAATAAGATAACTGACCGGATTGTAGGTTGGAGATAAAGATGATGTCCACAAGACAATTAAAATATTGTGTTTTGTTATTTTTTACATTGTAATTCCTTCATCATCAACTAACTTGGTCTTTATCACTTTATCAATATTTCGCTAAGTGATTACTTGCAGCTTATTAAATTAATGCCCTTTGTATCAAATTGTATGGACTGATATGGGGCTTATATGCTTTTAAACGTGAGCTTGTACAATGATCTTCCTAGCATGCTTGGTTCGTGAGATATTGAAGCAAACGTGAAGTAAATTAGTTTGAATTTGCCTGAACTATCTGTTTGTGTTTTCATTTTTGTTGGCTAATAAGGCGCAAACATAATTGTAATTTTATTTGTAACACGTCTGATTTTCACACAGATCTTTAACAGCTTTAGACCATTAGATTTCAATAGCTCTCAGAATAATTGTAAGACTTGTAGCTCTTATTACATCAGTTGGACAACAAAACAATTAGATTTCAACATTTACCAGGAAAACCTAACAATCTTTTGCAGCCTTAATAGTTTTTCCCATGATTATGCATTATGCATATGCAGTATATTTGATTTTATGAATAGTCAATTTTCACTAAGAGTTTTCAAATCGATCCAATTATTAATTTTTTCATTCCATCAGAATTTAAGGTCGCAATATTGAAAAACAGTTTCTCAAAAAAAATTGATCTTTTCTGAACTCTACGCTAATGGAATGAAAATTTTTACTCACATTAAGTGTTGAGTGTTTTTCAGACACAAAAGGATTGTTTCAATTCATCGCAAAACATGAAGAGATGAAACAACATCAAAAGCAAAATATTATTCATATGAAAATTGCTCTTAATCAGTTAATCCAACTAACATAGTCCATAGTCTCATATCGCTATGAATCTAAATTTTCAGTTCAAAATTGGTTTCATCGACAGGACGCCAACCGCAGTCTATAATCCAATCAAACATAAATTTACCGGTGGGATCGGTGAATATTATAATAAACAACTGGAATTGTATGATTCGATTAATTACACTGTTGTTTTGCATGATCAGCGTTCTTATGGAAAATGTGATCTTGCTAATTGTACTGGTCTGATTGGACTAATCCAACAAGGTGAAGTTGATTTTGGTGAGAAATCATATTCATTCGCAACAATCCCTGACTCAATCACTGGACTTAAACCAGGATCAGTGTTAAGTGATGTTTCTTGTACCATAACATCAGCTTTGCCCAAAGTTGGAATAATTCGTGAAGATGTCGTCAAATCGCTATCAATTTTCACCACAGAAGCAATTATATTCTTGACATTTCTTTATCTCTTTCTTTTTTCAATTCCTTTCCTTCTGTGGTACTTTAAATATAAATTTTGTGACATTAGGTCCAACTCTCCATCGATCATTTGGTCCTTGGTTGGAACCATTCTTCTTCAAGATATATCAAGAAGTGCTCTTTTCTATAACCACTCTCTGCGATTCGTTTGGCTGTCAATCATGTTCACTGTTTTTTTCACAATAGCACTCTATTCTAGTTCCTTCAAAACCGATCTTGCATCTAGTGCGCCCATCAAAACAATTGATTCCCTGGAAGATGTGGCAAAAAGCGATAGGATGCCGTTGTGGATGGAAGAGCCTTTATGCAAAATCATGGTGGAGAACGGTCCTAAACTAGCTAAACAAGAGGTACTAAGGCGAGGACAGTACAAGCCGGCTGGAGATTTTGTCGCTGAATTGGAAAAAGAATCGATCATAGAAAATTATGTTTTTATTATTACTGAAGAAGAGGCTGATAACATACAATTGAGCTATTGTAATGTTTTGCCGGATTCACCAGCACCTCAATGGTATTCGGCAAAAAGATCATTCCCCGTCTATCTATTGTTTTCTGTATTGAATTCAAAGCTGCCTCTTCATGCTACCAAGGTTATCAATCTATTACACGAGAAGCGATTTGAAGGTGGCTTCGAGTTTTATATTCAACGTAAATGGAAACATTTTTATGAGAAGTTGCTGGATCGAGCACTACTTCTTCATGAAACGCACGGCTGTTTACACAAAACTTCCATCAGTTTTCATCCTGCTTTGTACAGCTTTGATGAACTAGATATGCAGAATTACGAGCTACTTTTTAAGTACTTCTTATACTTCATTCCGATTTGCATTCTTAGTCTGATTGGTGAACATTTGTATTTCAGGATAACTCATGTCATAATTGTAAAAAAATATTAGTTATTTCTGGAGTCATATTTGAGTAATGAATGTAAGATCAAAGTTGTTCAAACGCTAGTAAACAATAAATTTAATTGATAACATCATTTTTATGCATAAATTCGTTGATTTATTTTCGTTTCTTATTGTTTCTAATGGTTCTGCTTTATTCAATTCCATTGACCCTCGAATCTATTCATTTTTTATTCGCACAATATAGTTAGGCATTGAAATTATGCATCACTAAACCTACAAATGAGTCGAGGAAAAGGTTGTTACTAAAAAAGACACAATTAACAGAAAAATCACATTGATGCACAAATTGACAAAACCCTGAGAGAAAACGAGAAGAAAACGGGTGAAAATGTATTTTTTCAAATTTAGACTCATAGGTTTTGTAGAGATATGAAAACTCTGTCTATTCGTGCGATTTGAAGATTCTTCATATCAACAGTTTTCGAGAAAATTTCGGTCAAAGTTTAAAACTTCGATCGCTTTTTGTACAATAATAAAAGCAGATTTTTTTACGAAATGCATTTTGCTGATTTAACTTTTGATGGACAACCAGAAAATGCACTTATTTCGTGAACTGAACTTTTGTGTTTCTGTAAAACAGATCAAATTGCATTTACAGCTAAACCGACCTTATGCTGTGGCCATAAGAGTTAGCGAGCTTAAACTTATCCTTTGTCCATAAAAATTGATGGTACACACGATGGACAAAATACTTTAAACAATTTAACAACTGTTTTCTTTATTTTGGCCATTGGTCTTTAAACTTTGAACTTCGATATTCCGAGAATGGCATAACCTACAGCAATCATTCTTTCACCAAATTGATTATTTGCTAAATAATAATGCAATGCAATTTAAAAACTTTTCATTAGCGCATTCGGGACATAATATTTGGGCTGTAAATGCACGAGAAACAACTTATTTAACAAAACAAACTCATATTAACCCATTTCTTGGCAAATGCAGCAATTTTCTGGTTAAACTTATAAATCAAATGCAAAGAGGACTGCTAAAAGCTCGAGTATTTGAGTAAAGATTTCAGACTTGGTTGAATTTGTAGGGGCATAAAAACTGAATCCATTGCAGCTATTAAATACTTTATCCAATGGACAGTTTTCGAGAAAATCGAGGTCAAAGTCGGAACTTCGATCGCCTTTTGTACAGCTACGGAAGCACATTTTTCAATGAAACTCATGTTACTCATGTAAAATTTAATGGCCAATCATAAAATGTACCTATTTCGAGAAATGGACCTTTTCTTTGTCTTTCAAACAGATTAGTACAAATTTTTGTTAAACCGATCGTTCTTTTTGACCATCAACGCTAGCGAGCTGAAACTTATTATTTGTCCATTAATAATGTTGGTACTCATCATGGATTAAATAATTTTTCAAAGTTATCAATAGTTCTCTTGATTTTGGCCATTAGCCTCAAAACTTTGAACCGCGATATTTCGAGTATGATATCACCTAAAATCACTATTCTTTGGCCAAACTTTAGATCTCATTATGTACTATAATATATTGAAATATCAAATTATTCAAAGTTCTTCAAAATAAGTTATAGCATTGGGTTATTTATGTTGCCAGATTTTAGACTTGGTATATAAAGTTGAATGGTAACCAAACACAAATCTTATCAGTTAGAAGCATCTCTATTATTAAACGAAATAGCTCAGGTTTTATTTGGTATTCAGTCATATGCTATTACAGCCCATGATAATATCTAATGTTTGGCCAAAGAATAGTGATTGTAGGTGATATCATACTCGAAATATCGCGGTTCAAAGTTTTGAGGCCAATGGCCAAAATCAAGAGAACTATTGATAACTTTGAAAAATTATTTAATCCATGATGAGTACCAACATTATTAATGGACAAATAATAAGTTTCAGCTCGCTAGCGTTGATGGTCAAAAAGAACGATCGGTTTAACAAAAATTTGTACTAATCTGTTTGAAAGACAAAGAAAAGGTCCATTTCTCGAAATAGGTACATTTTATGATTGGCCATTAAATTTTACATGAGTAACATGAGTTTCATTGAAAAATGTGCTTCCGTAGCTGTACAAAAGGCGATCGAAGTTCCGACTTTGACCTCGATTTTCTCGAAAACTGTCCATTGGATAAAGTATTTAATAGCTGCAATGGATTCAGTTTTTATGCCCCTACAAATTCAACCAAGTCTGAAATCTTTACTCAAATACTCGAGCTTTTAGCAGTCCTCTTTGCATTTGATTTATAAGTTTAACCAGAAAATTGCTGCATTTGCCAAGAAATGGGTTAATATGAGTTTGTTTTGTTAAATAAGTTGTTTCTCGTGCATTTACAGCCCAAATATTATGTCCCGAATGCGCTAATGAAAAGTTTTTAAATTGCATTGCATTATTATTTAGCAAATAATCAATTTGGTGAAAGAATGATTGCTGTAGGTTATGCCATTCTCGGAATATCGAAGTTCAAAGTTTAAAGACCAATGGCCAAAATAAAGAAAACAGTTGTTAAATTGTTTAAAGTATTTTGTCCATCGTGTGTACCATCAATTTTTATGGACAAAGGATAAGTTTAAGCTCGCTAACTCTTATGGCCACAGCATAAGGTCGGTTTAGCTGTAAATGCAATTTGATCTGTTTTACAGAAACACAAAAGTTTATTTCACGAAATAAGTGCATTTTCTGGTCAGACATCAAAAGTTAAATCAGCAAAATGCATTTCGTAAAAAAATCTGCTTTTATTATTGTACAAAAAGCGATCGAAGTTTTAAACTTTGACCGAAATTTTCTCGAAAACTGTTGATATGAAGAATCTTCAAATCGCACGAATAAACAGAGTTTTTTAGTTCTCATAAACTAAAGGAGTTTAAATTTTAAAGAAATAAATTTTCACCCGTTTTTGACCATTTGTGTCATTTTGTGCACAAATGTGATAATTGTTTCTTTTTACTACGGAACCCCAAGAATTGAAAAATCGATATCGAGATTTCAGTGGTGGCTATCGGTAGATTGAGTCTCGTCAAAGACCAGTATAACAGAACTAGCTGCCACCTTTTCGATTCCAGCATTTTTCGCCTTTCTTCTGAAAAAATTTAATTGTTTGATTTTAATAGACATTTATTAAAATCCCACATTTGAATCATCATTCCATTGTGATGTTCGGAACTATTCCTTGTAAGATAGATATAAAAGTGAAGATTCTAAAGAACATTTTCTGCTAACTATTAATAATAAAGTAAAAACAATTGAATGAAAAATAATGTTTATTTTATTAAGTTAAAAGTTGGAAATGAAATAGTAACGTGTGCGAAATTGGTATTGAATAATAGATTTGCAGATTAAATTACAGAATATAAGGGATAATCGCTTTTCTTCGGGCCGGATATCGACTTCCAAAGGCTTGTTTGTACCATTTATGGTTTAACAGAGATGCCACAATCTGATTAGAATAAACCCAAATCAATATAGCCAACCAGTTGGCATTTAAATTAGTCAACATGTATAGTCCAGAATAAATTACTAATTCAGAGAAATAGTTTGGACATGATACAAATTCAAATAAGCCTCCGTGTGGAAGGTAGTAACCAGCTTTTCCTCTTGGTTTATCTGGAAAAAAATTCAGATGTAAATGTAAAACTTTCAATGCTAATGATTTTCAAGTTAATTTGAATAATTGATCAAAATTTACCATTTCTTCTTCTTAATTCGGATAAAATTTTGTGACTATGGAATTGAAGGACTTGGCCAATCACATAAAAAATCAATCCAACGGTATAGAGATAGGGACGGTCTAATTGAAGAGAAATGGTGACAATAATTAGACTGATTTTGAAAATGAAACAAGCGAATAATTGATCGAACCTTGAGTGATTAAGACTGTGGAAAATAAGTTATTTGCATTGTACAAAGCTATGCTTATATAAAATCCAATGCCAGTTAAATAATGAATCAGATTAATCTTCGCAAATGATGGAACAGCGATAAAGACACTTTCAATGAACCGCCGAAAAATGTGAATCATGGAGAGAAGGAAAAATAAATAAACGTTGACGCCATCTAGTTGAGATAAATAAGATTCAGATTAGCGTAAATTGAAATATCTGAGTAACTATAACAATCTCATTCATAATTATAAAACTAACCATATTTATAAGCGCCAAAAAGAAGATTCAATGGTGTATTGAGGATTTGACGTACACTATCCACATGAAATAAACTGGACAACAGCACTATTAAATGAAGTATCACAGCGATGCCATAAAAATGTGAGAAATATCTAGAAGAATGAGAAAGACAAATTTCAATAAGTTGACCAAAAAGATTCAGCAAGAATATTCTGAAAAAAAGATGAAAGCAACATATAAAACATACCTTTTAGGAACTTGAATCCATCTGATAAGTAGTAAGCCAGAGACTGATCGCTCCTCATTGTTCAAATCACGGAGCAATTTACCATACTTATAAATTACTGTAAGCCAAGGTGGCAACTTTTTACCATCAAAAAATAGAATCAAACCAAATAGACCAATGACCAAGGATGCAATTAACCATAAAACAATGAATAACGTCATGACAACAACGAGTTAAATCAATAACTAAAAAATAGCAACAAAGTATGAGGAAATTAAATTAGAAAAACAGCAATTTTAAATGTTTAACAATAACAATGACAGGTAAAAAATGAGACTTACAAACCTTGTAATTAATTTTTTAGCCAATTTATAAATCAAATTGGACTGTTAATCAACACCTATTAAACAATTAAGAAGTAGATTTATTCATCTTTCTTAGCATTAATAATCTTTGTTATTTTTTGTTAAAAAATGTACACAATGTGTCAGTAGCACCATCTATGGAGCTAGCTAAAGCAAGGAGGGAGATTGACAAAGGGAGTCAAAGAGAGGGAAGAATCTGTTGTTTATGTGACCGCGAGAATCTTCGCGCCAGTTTATCCATTTAAGTCAAGTCAGTGGTTTAAAACCAAGATCTTTAGTTTTCTTGTACTTTTAAACAAAGCCTTTTAATTATTTATTTGTGTGTCATTATTTAATTTTTATTTTACATTTTAATCCATTTTAACTGAGTGTCTTAATTAAATATCAACATGGTAGTTGAAACAAGAAACAGATCTCTTAAAAGACATAAACCAGAGGACTCGCCAATAAAGGCACCAGTGACCAGAAAACGTTCCAATGTAACTCCTATTAAAAGGAGGGTTGCTCGGAACTTGTTGGATGAATTTAACGGCTATGATGACTCACCTCCACCTTCCCCTGAACCAGATATCTACATGGATACCTTCATCAGTTCACCACCGATAACTAACCCGATAGCTGAAGCTAAAAGACTCCTGTCAATAGGTGCTGTAGATGGTATTGTGGGTAGAGATAAAGAGATTACTGAATTATCTGGTTTTCTTGAAGATTGTATTCTAGAACATGAATCTTCTACAATCTTTGTCTCTGGTCCTCCTGGAACTGGTAAATCGATGTCAGTACTTTCAATTGTGTCAAAACTCTCTAATCAATACACACTCACCATTCTTCCATACAACTCAATGGACTTCAGAAAAGGCACCATGATCTACTCCAAGATTGCTAAAGATCTTGGTATTAAAGACTCGACTAGGTAAGCTTTAGTAATCTAAATTGAAAATTGTGAGCAGCTTTTTATAACTTTAATCTTTACTGTTTAGATATCGAGACAAAATAATTGGTTCCATTGAAAACTATATTATTGCCTCCAAAAAAATGGTTATCTTAATAATCGACGAAATTGACAAACTGGACAAAGATCTGGTCGATACTATGTTGGATTGGCCCAGAGCGAAAAAATCAAAGTTAATTTTAATCGGTATTGCTAATACCATCACTTCTTCAAGTCTAACAAAAATGTGCTCCTTTGAAATGAATTGTGTCAAGAAGGTCTCTTTCCGACCTTATAGTAAGGATCAGCTAGTTGACATCATCCAATCTAGACTCAAATACCTTTCAAAAACCTGTGATTTAATCTCAAAGCCTGCACTAGACTTATGTGCTCGCAAAGTTTCATCGTACAGTGGAGATGCCAGAAAAGCTTTGGATATCTGTCGACAAGCAATTGAAATGGCGGAACGAGAAAAATACTCTTATCAATTAGGTCTTACTGCCACTGCAGATGATGGAAACAATATGGGCTCACCAAGAAAATCTCCGAGAATGTCACCAAGAATGACCTCAAGGATGTCACCGAAAATGTCTCCGAGACTAGGAATCAGGAGATCTCCACGTAAAGAAAATTTTGACAAACCTTTAGTTGAACCAAGACACATCATATCTATCTTGAACTCAGTGTTTGGAAACAAATTATTTAAGGAAGAAAGTGTTGCGGATTTGACTCTTCATCAACAAGTAATTTTGTGCTGTATACTTTGTTATGGAAAAGAGAAAAAGAACAAAGAAATCGTTATCCCGATGCTGTATAGATTGTTCGTAAAAGCCTGCGACAAATGTAAAATAACCTCAACTTTGATCAGCAATTCTGACTTTCTCTGTATATGTCAGATTCTCGAGTCTCTTGGACTTGTAAGGATAAAACAAGCTCGAGAAATGCGTTTAACCAAAATTTCATTATCTGTGAATGAGGATGAAGTTGCTCAGCGGCTTGCAGAAAAATCGCTTATAAAAAATTTAATGAACCAAATTCCACTAATTCTATAAAATACATTTAACCTTTTCCAATCCAATCAACTTTTCCTGGACAGAGCTTTTTTACAATGTATTTTCTGTCTGTTTGTACATCTTTTTAAAGCAATCAAAGAATCCAAGCTTGATCTTATCAATGTATATTAAAACACCAAAAATCAATTCATTTTAATTGATGAATCTCGAATCATTTTCCCACGCGAAATTACTTTATATCTTGTATTCAAGTTTAAAAGTCTCTAAAATAAATTACGATTTGACTTATTACCCTTCTAACTGAACTATTGCGAACAAAATTTAATTTTAAACAATTTCAGGTCAAATTTTTGAAAAATTATCTCACAATTGCAGTTTCATTAGTCATTTGAAACTCTAGAAAAGTATTTATAAATCAACTTTTGTAATGAGAAAAAAATCTTGGAAAAATTAACACAATTTGATTTCGATTATCACTTAAATTGAAATTTATCATTCGTCTTTATGTTAACTGAAAATGTGATGACACTCAATTATCAGACCATCAAAACGATCAGGTGATGATTGCTGTGAGATTATAAAGATAGAAAACACGAAATTAATCAGCGAACAACGGATATCGAGTTTTAGATTCTACGATAAATTATATTTCAATATCATGGATCATATTTATCTCTGATCAGACGATTCTGAATTTTGTTTTACGTTAATTAGCCTTTTTTTCAAGCTCACGTTCAATTAAATCCAAACATAACTGCATCAAAACCTCTTCCGATGTTTCTTCAGAGATATCAACAGGAAGATCTAGCTGATTGTTTCCAAATTTTTTCAACAATTCTTTTCTGATCAGAGATAATTCCTTGCCGTTAACTTTTATCAGATTATTGGTCATTATTTTGCTAGCACATTGACGTAAAACGTTATCGAATCTATGAGAAGAGTTACTAGCTGTGATCTTTCTACTGATATCTCGGTACAGTTTATTACAAGACTCATCTGGATGACTTTCTATTGGATTGTCTATAGCTTTGTTAATGATTTGTAAAGCTTTTATAAATTGGTCATCGTAGTGATTAATATTATCAAAATTAATCTCCATCAATTGTACTTTATTCTCATAGCTGATTCCAAATTCATCTGCTTTCGGTTTCTCATATAATTGAGCCATTCTCTGAATAATTTCATCGTTAACTGAATTTGGTCTTTGAGTATTCCTTTGTATACAAATGTCAATTGCAATATTGAAAGAGATGAGGGCGAATCCAATATTAAATTGTTTGGCTAAGCGAAAAAATTCTTCTCGCATTGATTTGTAATAAAAGTTGTCTTCGACGATTAAACAAAAACGAGAGTTGTTTAGACAGTAATTCTGGATGGAACATTTATCCAGAGATAATTGGTCGAGGATGGAATTCAAATATTTTCCTTGAGTTGAAGGTTCTGATTGTTCCTTGGAGCAGCTTTGTGATTTCAACATAAGTTCAAGAAAATTGTGACAAGACGAGACGAAATCTTTTCTACATTGCCTCCAAGATGAATCTTCACGATGCACAAGAAGTTTTTGATCCTCCAATGGAATCACTTTATCAAAATTAATGTAAAACGGATCAATATCAATCTTATTGAGCTGCATGTAATTTACCAATTCTGTGGTGAATACTGTTTTACCCGAAGCAGGAAGACCACTGATTAAAACAATACAACATCTGTTCATGTTTAAGCCAAACAGTAACACAAGTTTAAATGGCAAGTATTGATCGATAACTTAACATCTATGAAACAGCTGATTGATTTAAGGAGGAGGAAATTATAGCAAAACCAGATGTAGTGATAATTTCCTTCTTAAGTTAATATTGAATAGATTAAGCCAAACTAATATTAATATGCCGTTTGAGGATCACGAATGTCAACTGTTTTACAAATTTCTCTATGTAGATAAATCACACAAGTTTCGTTGCTTTTATGTCTTTTTATATGATACATTTAGATGAATTAGGTGATTTTTTGATGAGTTTTGGATACGTCAAACTTGTGATTTAAATGGATATTGTAATTTTTTAAAAAAAAGAGAAAAAACAAAATTTGGCTGATAAGGATAAACCTTTCTTTACCAGTTCATCACGTGGTGTTCCTCTTCTGAAGAAGTAAAACATCAACTCCGGTTGATTCTTTCACTGGCATTTTGCCTTCTTCCTTCCTTCTTTTCTTTTTCATACTCCCTTTCTCTTTCCTTCTCACTTACTCTATACACATAAATATATTATAACTATATTAAAATATATAGATAGTTCTAACATTTGATCAAAATCAATTGGCGGAAGTAGACCACCAGCTCCGGATGCTTGTTGTTCAGCTTCGGGCTCATCATTAGCCGGGTATCTTTTTAAACAGGTTTACCCAGAAAAATTTGTTTCTCCATTGCTTTGGATTTCTTTACAATTGTGTAGTAATTTTATGTGTATATGTTTCTGTTTTTGTATGGGTTGTATGAAGGGGATTTGTCGATGAGCAATGATGTTGCTTTCATCAATTTAATCATAAGAGGGTCATGAGTTGGTGTCTTCCTCTTCAGGGTTCTCCGTATCAATGAATTCAACATGGTTGAAAGGAAAATGTCCAATTTTTCCATTCAATTCTCCCTCCCATTGTCCATCCAATTTTGTTTTTATTACTTTTATGATATCTCCTACCTAATAAGAGAAAAAGAGAAATACAAAAATGTGTTATAAGCTTGTAATTGAAAACTTGAAATATAAAATATAGTAATGTATCAAAATTGAGTTATACCTCCAATTTCAAGGCTGTTTTGTCATATGCATTGGGCACTCTTGCTTGTGTTACTTTGGCCATGGCAGGCAACTGTCGCTGTATTTGTGGTGTGTTGTATTGCGGCTTAGCTGGTAATTGTTTTGTTTGACTAGGAATCGGACTTGAAGTTCTAGTTGTGTTTTCAATTTGACTATCGTCATACTGAAAAAAGAACGATTAGAACCCCAGGCATGAAAAAAAAGATAAATGATGGTTTTAAGCAAAAAAAATTTTGTAAAGATGATAGCAAGCTCTAAGTTAATTAATTATCCTTACCGGCTCAACGTAATTAACAGGAATACAACCAGTTTTGCCCAGCCTATTTTTAGCTGTCCACCAATGGTCTTCATCTTTTGAGATAATTGTCAATATCTCATTTCTTTTAAAAGGAAGATCTTCATCATCGCCACTTCCTGCAAAATCGTATTTAGCTCGAACTTTTTCAGATCTTTTAGTGGCCTAATAATTGAAAAAGCAGTAAAGATTAATAAAGAAGAATTGAAAGATAAGCAGAGTAAATAATGCAGTAGTTTTATCTTACAGGTCTTTTAAGTTTAGTTGTATCCAATAGATGAATCTTGTAAAAGCTCAGTAATGAGGGGATATCAGGAAACATTTGATCACCCATCCGAAAACGAGTTTGGTCAAATTGTTGAACTTTATTAATAATATAATGGCTAACTTTCATGTTCTCTCTGTTAATAATGAACAAAAAAATTGTCGAAAACGATAAGAAAGTGTAATTTTTTTTCATCAAATATATAAGAAAAAATTAGAGAATATTAATTACCTAACACAGAGGACAAGATCTCCAATAATTGAGCTACTGTTACGCACCAAAAATACTCCCACTTCATTTTCAGCATTTAATAAATCAATAGCTTCTTGTCTTGTCATGGAACCAAAATACCAACTAGAAAAATTGAACAAGAAATGCAATGTTTTAAAATGAAACAAAAAACATAAACAAATGAGTAATTCATGAAAAGTCAATAACATAAATAAGATGGATTAAATGTGCATGAATGAAAATAAGAGGATAAAATAAAAATTCAATACAAAAAATAAACAGTAATAATCCATTATAATGAAAATGGACAACTTGATAGATAAGAAACAATAAGAAAATGAAAAATAAAAATCTCAAGTGAAAAAGATAATATGGACAGAGGAAAGAAATGGATGAGCGAAAAAGCATTTACCTGTTTTTGTCATAAGGATCAAAATTTGCTGCCATTGCGGATGGAAGCAGGACTTGACAGTGACATACAAATCAATCTAATAATTAATCAATGGTTAAACAAATTTAAAAGTCAATTAAGAAAGATTGTTCAATGAAATTGAATAAATGAGCTTAAATTTTACTGGATTATTATTTCAAAAACTCAACCTTCACATCTGAACATCAGAGACGAGAGAAATCCAGAGTAAGAGGCTCCATCTTTTGTTCTAAATGGTTAAATCTTCTTAAAGCTTGCAGTAAACAAATCACAGCTTTTATTAGGTAACAGTCCCCAGAGATCAGACCAAACTTTTTTAGAAACTTGATAAACTTGTGGTTACAATTGATTGTCATTTGGTCTCCCGGTTTTCATTTCTTCAATTATTTCATCAATTTATACCTATTTTTAAACACGGAGAAGCTAATTTCACTTAAAAATGGATGAAGATCTATTCAGAATTGAGAATAGACGGAATATGGTAAGTTTGTTTGCCCCTTGTGCTAATCTTTCTCTCTCTATTATTTTTATTTTTACTCTTCTTTCTCTCTCTCTCTCTATCTATTTTGCTGTCTTTTGACTCTCCCCTCCCTTTTGACAACACTTATTATGGTGTTAAACGGTGAGGTTTATCTACATTTTGTTTTCATTGTAATCACCATTGCTTGGTTATAAATCATTTTCTCACTGTATAGTATTGATTTCAAAAGTTTATCACTTTTTATTAGCCCATAACTGATGGATTAATCACTAACGCTTTTCTTATATTTAACAAAAACGGTTGCACCTTTCTTGCCTTTCTTGCTTGTTGACTGGACAGAATTTTCGGTTCATGGTAGACTATGAATTCACTTATTAAACATTCTGTGATTTGCAGTTTTCTTGACTATTTCAGCCCTTGAGTTTGCTTTCTTTTGATTCAATCTTTGATAAAAATTGTTTTTATTTTTGTTTTATCTATAGCGTAACATGAATAATGAAAACGGCGACGATGAAGATGATGAAGATGATGAAATTTCAGAGTTTAAAGCTGAAGTGACAGAAGCTCTGGGATGGATTCTTGACGCAGAAGAAAAATTGATTGATATTGATCTGATGGATAAAAGTTTACCAGAGGTTAAAGAAATTTTCAGAGCCCATGAGGAGTTCATCAATAAGCTTGGAGATATTCAAATTGAAGTTGGTAAACTATTGTCTTATGGTCAAGATATTGTTGATTCGGAAGAATGTCCACCTGATGAAATACCTGAACTTGAACTACAAATGAACCTGTTGAATGAACGTCTGGAACAGTTGAGTCTTAAAGCCTTAGAGTTTCGTAAAAATATCCATGAAACATTAATGATAATGCAACAAAAACAAATCAATCATCTTAGAAATTGGTTATTTTCTGCCGAAGATAGATTGAGTAAATTTACTGATTTTGGATCCGATCTAGCCTCGTTAAAAAAACAAATGGCAGACTACCAGGTAAGTAATAAATACAGTAGAGTACTCCAGAAGTTGGTAAAATTTCGTGTTGGCACCACCTATTGGATTAAACATTTCAGAACCATTTTTATCCAATTATTTGCTTGTTGCAATCGAAATAGCTTAAAATTTAGCCAAAAAGGTTGAATTAGTGAGTCAACTCATCATAAAAAAGGGGTTTCCTGCGGTTATAATCAGCCTATTTTCCTAATAACTAAAATGTCTTTTTTTCAATGTAGCTCTTGACTTTTGTAAAGATGCAAAAATGATCCATTCTACTGAATAATCAAACTATTGTGTTACTGACTTATTCTGATTTGTTTAGCAATAAATTTTTATTGATTCTAGTAAAGTTGACTCGCTAATTTAAATTTTAAACTAAAATTTGAGTAATTTTGGTTAAAACAATTAGAAAATCTCATTAAATGGTTCCCGGTTAATATAAATCCAATAGGTAGTGCCAACACGAAATTCTACCAAGTTATGGAGTACTCTACTGTATACCCATTTTACTCATAATGGATTTTCATTTTGTTGTCCTATTTATTCTTCTTTAACAGAACTTCCAACAAGATGTCAATGTCCAAGAAGAAATTGTCGACTCATTGCGTAACCTTGTCTGGATTTATGATGATTTTGAAGGATCATCTAGTCCTACAGTGGACAACCCACCTGATGAATTACAGGACCAATTAGCACCTTTAGCAGAAAAATGGAATAACGTTCGCACGTTTATTAGTGAAAGAACTGAAATTTTGGAAGAAATTGTGAATGAATGGGAAAAATTTGAAGAAGGAGATAAAAAATTCAACCATTGGAGAGCTAAATTAGATCGACGATTACGAGAGATGGAAGAGGCAGCTGCTGATATGCATATCGGTTCTTCTTTTGTGGGTGAACTAGTTAAACGACTTGAACGAATGGAGGCTGAAATGGATCGTCAACGGTCTTTATATGTGAAATTAGGTGAAAATGCTTCTCAACTAATGGATAAAGTTGGTCGTGAATCAGCAGCTGGTTCTGTTATTGCTAAAAAAATGGAAACCCTAAAAGAGGTTTGGGATGCAACGGTTCAAAGGATGGGTACATTAAGTCATGTTGTTACAAAAATCAATGAGGCCTCACTTGATGAGCTGTCCACCGATGATACTGGGGAGGAGTCCATGACAGAAGGTAATGAACAGGAACAGGTTGAGGGGAAATCACATCACCTCCAGCAACAGCAGCAGAAACAAAAAACAACGCCTACGACTTCAAATATGAGTAGTTCAAGTTCAAAGAAACGTCGGCTTGATAGTTGGCTGATTCAGGAGTGGCAAAAAGCTCTTGATGTGTTTACAACCTGGTTAAGCAGTGTTGAAGAAGTATTATGCGTTGAAGATGAAAATGAAAGCTGTTCAACTTCATGGGATCAGATGCCATTAGATGAGCAACAAATAATTTTAGAAGATACAGAAAGCGATTTAGAACTGAGGAAACAAGAATTTGATTCACTTGTTACTCAAGGAAATGAATTTGTTGAAGATCTCGATAAATATGGCGAAGACGGTTCACGGATACATGAAATTGTCGAAGGAATCAGTGAGAGATGGTGTGAAGTTAATCGTACTTTACGTTCACGAAAATTACGACACAAAGCGCTAGTTAGACTTGATCAGATGGTCAGTGAAACAGATGCCATGTCTCGCGCTCTGGAATCAGCAAAAAAGTTTGTTGAAACCACCGATACAAGTGATAAATCACCCGATGTCTTGAAAAAAATTGATAAAAATTGTAAATTACGGCTAAATGCTTTATCAACCAAAGAAGATAAAGTGTCCAAACTCCGTAAAGAGCTGGAAGATCTGAAACAGACATTACCAACTGCTACCAAAGAACCTTCATATCAAACAATTGTAAATTTCTTTGACTTCCGAGAAGATGTATATGGCCAATTATGTGATCTGGATAAAAAAGTTAGTGAAGGCTTGGACAACATCAAAATATCCGACGAATTACCATCAGAAACTGTGCAAGATTTACCATCTAATGAAAATGGTGCTCCTAGTGAAGTTTATGATTCCGTTAAATCATTACATCAGTGGTTAAGCAGATTAAAGGAGACCAAATTTTCTGCAAAATCAGAAGTTTTCTTTGATCTGATGCAGAATAAGAATCAACTTGAACAATATTACCGTCTTCGTAAAGAACTTGACAATGAAGGAAAAAATTTGAAAGTTTTACAAGAAACGTGTAAGGATATTTTAAAGGAAGGATTAAAAGATGATTGGGTGACAGATATGAAAGATAAATTACACTCTTCTCAAGAGATTTGGGACTTTTGCCACAATGAATTAGAAAACAAAGTGAAAAAGTTATCAAGATTGGAATCAAGCCTAACTTCTTTTCAAGAGGAAATATCAACATTAGAAGAAGAAATAATGCAATTAAATTCATTCCTCGATGCATTGTGTCCAGCTATGGGTGATGTTCAAACCATTGAAAGTGACGTTGAACAATGTAACAAGGTTTTAAATGATATTGAAGGCACTTTGGAAAGCAATTGTTCAGAAATTGTTCTTAAAGGCCAAGAAATGATTGCTGAATTTGGTGTTGATACCGATGCTGATTCTGACAAAGATAATGACAACGATAAAAATGCTACTCAACGTTTTGAGGAAAGATTGGATAAATTGAAAGAAAAATGTTCCACGGTTAGAATCAAGGCTTTCGACAAAAAACTCGAACTCGAAACTGCTTTGATCCAGAGTAAAAATGTTTGTAAGGCCTTTGAAAAACTTGAAAGAGATTTCGAGTCGTTAAGCTTTGAAACCGATGAAGTGAGACACTCTGTTGTTGAAGATTATCAAAAAAATTTCAAAAGTGGTCGCTCATTACAGGATAAAATACGAAAATCACTCCAAGATGCAAATAAATTGCAAAGACAACTAAACTCTTTGGCACCTAGTCCACAACCAACCACAGAATCATTGGAAGAAATGAAAAATAAGACCAAAACAATAAAAGAAAGTTTACAGACTTTGGTGGAAAATATTGAAGAGTATCTCACAACTCTAAAACAAAACCACAGCAAATTTGGTGAATTCACCAGGTTAATCATGATGGAAAAAGATTGGTTGGATAAATTGGATAGGAAACTGAAAAGATCACCTCAAACAGATGCCGATGCTGAAGAGATTTCTGGAAATATGGATGTAAGTTTATTTTCTTTAAATTTTATTCTTTCATGCATTCAACTAATTTTCTCATCTCACTTTTTAGGATCTTGAAACATATTTAAGACATCGACCTGCTAACAGATCGGAACGTATTCATAAACTAGCCAACGAATTAATCACTGTAGGATTTTTTTCGGATAGTGTCGAAGCAGAAATTGCAAAGGTTGATCAACGTTGGAAGAATCTGCAACATCAAGCCCAACAACGACTTCAAGACTTAGAAGCATCAATTAAAGACGCTCAACAATGTGATTCTCAGATTTTAAAAGTTCAAAGGTGGATTCAAGATGTCGATTACTTACTCCAACAGCGTTTTGATGATGATATTTTAGCAGAAGATATGCCTGATGAAGTTGAGGTATTTATTCATAAAACATTGATCACTCTAACCATTTCTTTATTTTATATTTTCTTGAAAAAAAACTAAATTATCATTTTTTATTTATAGAAATTGGATAATGAATTCAAATCTAATAAAGAAATTTTGGATAAATTGACTGAAAGCATTGAAAATTATCGCTCCCAAGAAAGATTGGAAGCTGCATCTAGACTTGGAGAGCAACTCGCTATATTGAAAGTAAGTCTTTTGTAGTTTAAATTTTTGTGATTCTCTTTGTTAAATTTAATTTTCCTCTATTTCAGACACAATATGAGGAGCTTGTTATGAAATTCAAAAGATATCAAAATCCAACCGACTTTGAGACTCGTCTCAATAAGTTGTCGAAAACTCTAAATGAATTGATGGATAGCCTAATTGATCTCAAGGTTACATCTCATGAGTTTGAGGAGCTAGATGATTGTTTGAAAGTGATAAAAGAGATTGATAATTTACGTGAAGAAATAGATAAAGTTAAGAAGCAAGCAAAACTTGCTCTCGATTGTAGTGATGAACCTGATGAATTGCGCCGTAAAGTTGATGAATTAGAAGAAATATATGATAATCTTCATAGAATGGCAATTGAAAGAAAAGATGAAATGGAAAATGCAATGGAAACCAGCAAAACTGTAATGAATCTTATGGTCGATCTAAAAACCTGGTTGAATCATCAAGAGGATCCTTCGTCAGTTGATCCTTTTGAATTGTCTCGAAAGAAAGAAAATTTAAAAGATTTAAATGAAAAAGTGCAATCTTTATACAGCATTGTCATAAATGGCGATAATAAGCTGAAAGAAAACATTGAAACGATCCAATCAGATTTTGAAATTTTGGAGGAAAAGATGTCTCGTAAAACAAGAAGCGTCGATAAGATCAAGGATGATCATGAAAAATTTGATGTACTACAAGTGAAAAAACAGTCAGAAACAATGAAATCTTCTGGATCAATCAGTAAACATATGCAATTAGGACATCAACGTTCAATCGATTTATCTGAAGGAATTGACTCTAATCAATCATCTCCAAAGTCAACTACTAGTCGTAAAGGTTCTTTGTCCAGAACTGTTCCCACAAATGCAAGTCTTCCATCTGATAGTAAAACAGTTAAATTGCTCAATTTTTTTACCCTTCTAGAATTAGAGAATATGCATCAAGAATTAAGAAATATCCAAACCTATCTGGATACAAGTGAACTTTTAAACAAAGGTGATTTCATGGAGTATCGTCAACAATCTGGTGCCTTGAAAAAAATTCAAAACACAATGGACTCTCTTAAACCTAAAATAAACAAAATGGTAACTGAAAAAATGATGATCAACTTAATTCACCCTCAAGGACCTGAATATGTTGCTTTAATTGATTCCATTTGGGCTCATTGGCAGGTACTTCGTGAATCTTTTATGAAACGACATAGACGTTGGTGGTTTGCAAAGGAAACACGAATCCAATATAAGGACGCTTGTACTCAAATAAATACGTTTCTTGAAATGGCTGAGAAAACTCTATCTTCTAGTCGATTACCAACTGGTGAACTCAATATAGAGGTTGCTAAAAAGGAAGACGAACCTTTGCGAAAAGCTTTCAATGAACATGTTCCTTTTTATGGAACTTTCCAAGTAATGATTAAAAAAATCATGGCTGACGTACCTTATGGAGTAACTCTCAAAGAAGAAATAAGTATAATCGATGAAAGATGGAAAGCTATTGCTCGAGAATTGGCCTGGCGCAAGGAGCGTCTCCACAATGAGAATAAAAACATGAATATTTTATCTTATTGGAACCAATTGGAAGCTTGGATTGAAAAGGTTAATACAACTCTTGAAAAATTGAACGGGAAAATTGGAAGTTTTGAAATGGCAAATATTCTTCAAAATGAAGTCAAAGTATGCTGATTTTTTGCAAATTTATCTCATGCTTTAATTTCTGTTCTTTAAACAAAAATTTTCTCTATCATTTCAGTTTTTGGAACAAGAACTACAAACCCAGTGGCTAAACATGATGACCATTCAATTAGCTCCAACAGTCATTATTGAGAAAGATGTGGATAGCATGGAAAAAAATTTCTTCAAAGTAAGCAATTATGGTTGATGTTATGTTTAAACAAATTGCTAATTTAACAACTTGTTATAATTCATTGTCTTTAATTAATTATACCTTTGTCTTTATAAATATATTTAGTTGATTGTTGATTTACCTGAAGCTCGCATTTCACTCGATAAATATCTAACTAGCTTTAAAGTTGTCGCCCGAATGTTAGATGAGGAAATTGAATGGACTTCTCGTCATGTTGAGGAAGAAATAGACACTGAAAAGCCAATTCCAGATGCTAATGTAAGTATCTTCTTTTATTTTCGTCCTTTATTTGAATCGATAACAAAATATTTACTCAGAGCAATCAAACTCACAAATAATCTTTTTTGTTTATCTTTTATTTTCCTTTCTAACGTTGACTCTCTTTTACATGATTTCAGACCCATGAAACAAATTACGAAAAATTGATTGTTATGTTACAAGAAATCGAAAGTGATGCCAACAAATTTGGACACAAACCACCAAGTTTTCTCAAAGAAAAGATGGATTGCCTGAAAGCTAAACGCGAAATGCTTCAGAAAAAAATGAGATTAAATGCTGAACCAAGTTCCAGGGAATGGTTCACTTGGCTCGATTCACAAGTTGATTACATTTGTGAAGTTTTCCGAGATTGTAATGATGAAATTATATTGGATAAGTTAAAAAAGATCGTTGATCGAATCGAGGTGAGTTGATCAATTTTCACCCTTCATTTAAGTTACTATCCCGTTATTTTAGATACCAAGAAAGTGGTAAATATTGGTTGGATAACAACTGAATGATACATATTCAGAAGTACATTTATTTGAATAATCCAACCAAATTTCATGCATATCATTGTTAATTTTAACGACCATATTTACTCCTCTTGATCGCTAATACTACATAATTTAGTTTAACCAAGCTCATAAATATTAATCTAGATCTGATGGTGTATTCAAAAGCGATTGTACGAATTGGCTAACCTAATGATCTTCCCTTTCATCCCTTAACTCATTTCTCTAACTCATCTTATTATGTTGTTCATATCGACTCTATTTGTTAACTCACTCTTTGTTTGGTCTCTTTCTTTATCTCTTTCTCTTTAACCAAGATAATGGTTTTTTATGTCCTTTGTTGATTCATTTTCGACGATAATCATCATCATCATCATTATCATCATCATCCTAGGCATCTTTTATGTTCTTTCAAAAAAAAAACCGAGAAAAATAGAGAGAGAGAGATAAAGAATAGAATGGAAGATCATCAAGAAAAAAGTTATGCTATTTGATAAGTGATACATGTGAATGAATTTTTGGAACTCAAAGTCTAACCAATTGATAACATTCAGTACTAAAACTTACCTGCAGTCTGCAAAATAATTTCAACTTTGATCAATTCATCGTAAATTGCATTTGTATTATATTTTTATTAGTTAGCCAGTAAATCTTGAAGCAGATTAATTTCATTTCATGTTTCGTTTTGATTTGGTTCGTATACTTATTCGCACTTCTGAATGACCAGTTCTTTTTCCTTTCCGATCTTTACTGTGAACCCGACTCTTGGATCGCTTTCTAGATCGATTTCTAGATCCACTTTTAGATCCACTTCTAGATCGACTTTTAGATGGGCTCTTGGATCGATTTCTAGATCCACTTTTAGATTCACTTCTAGATCGACTTTTAGATGGGCTCTTGGATCGACTTTTTGCTCGATGTGTAGCTTGTTTAATAGTTTGGCTTTTTGTTCGACTTCTTGTTTGGCTTCTGTTAGGACTTGAATGGCTACTTTCCGATTCTCTCCTTTTCATGCGTTTTCTAACTGCTGGTGTTGCCACTCGTTTTATTTTAGGCTTACTGTGTTCAATATTTTCATGAGGTTCTCTTATTTTTACCATTTTTCTTCGATCATCTGATTGATATGAAGATGATCTTGATGATCTTGATGAACGAGATGAGCGAGACGAAGCCCTTTTGAGGATTGGTGGAGGTAATAATGTTGGAGATGCTCCTAAGGTTGAGAATATTTCAGCTATAGAAAGTTCATCCGCGTTTGGAACAATACTATTTGCTCCTTTGATAATATTTTTAAAGATTAATTATTAATATTTTTCAAAATTGGTCACAGGAATTTATTACTTACTTTTACTCATTGCATGATCGTCTAAATCTTCAACTGACATTGGTCCTGATTCATGTTTTTTAACTGATAACGACTTTGACTTTCTTTTCCGTCTTTTGGGCATTTTTGATTATTTAAAAATATTCAATATAAACTAAATTATCTCTGAAAGAGCCAATTATCCACAAAAATGACCAAATTGAGATTAAATTTATTAAAAAATCAACTTTAGTATTCTGTTCAGTTTCGTATCTGAAGCTACAATTAACTTGCATTTGATGATCTTCCAATCAAATCCATAACAATCTAATACGAGTTTGCTCCTTATCGATTGACTACTTATGTGAGTCTTGTCATACTTATCCAAGACATGAAATCATCCAGCATCCAGTCTTAACTCATTCATCCTTTTTACACTCTTTTTTATCTTCCTGACTTTATGCATTTTCTGTTAGATTTTTCTCACTTTTCTATCGCTGAATAATTTTGACAATTTAACGTCATTCATCGTTGATTTGCTATTTTTCACAGCAATTAATTAAATCATGCAAAAATAACTCTTGATTTTATCATTACTGACTTGTAAACTTTACTTTGTCAAACTAAAAATCTTGTTTGTTTATTTTTTAACCAGAAACAAATTGATGATTATTTTGATGAATCCAATGAATTGGATCAGGAAAACTTATACGATGAGGTGAATCCTGAAATGGAAATCATGAACAAAAGTAAGTATTTTTCATTTTTCTCTACCATTTTGTATGCTTTGCATTAATTTAACTTTTAATTTGCTTGAAAGTTACCGAAAGATTTTTAATTTTGCATTCAATATTTTTACAATTTAGTCTGATTTATTTTATTACTTATACAAAGTTGATGAACAATTAACATCTACCTTTTGTTTATGACATTTTCACTTTTTTGCATATTTTCCTATTATTTTAGGTCATTCTAATTATAAAAAGATTCAAACTCATTATTGTGTTCATCAAATTATGAAGTTTGTCTTCTTAAATTTCAGACTAAATTGTAGTTAATTTAATAGCTATCTTCCTTAATTACTAGTCCATGACTGTTAAAATGATTAACCTTGGTTAACTGTTGTGGATATAATTGGGTAGAGAATGCTGATTGCTAAATGTTGAATTATGATTGTCAAATTAATTTTACAGCAACTTTAATTAATTGTATTACATTTTATTGCCCTTTTGCAGACTTACCAAATTGTCAATGGAACACTCTCAAGGAAAAAACAATTGCCCTGCAAATCCGCCTTGAAGCAAATTCTGGTGATGAATTGAATCAACTTCTATTATCTTTACGAGAATCAATTGAATGGGTGACCAAAAAGAGGACTGAATTTAATTCATTCGGTGACATCGAAAGTGATCTTGTTTCGTTATCAAAACATCAAGAAGATTTAACAGATTTGAGACTCTCCCTCGAAAAAGAAAGCCCAATTATAAAGACAGCTCTTATGTCAGGTCGATCTTACCTTTCCAAAAAAGATCCTCAAGGTATTCATTTCATTTCATTGTTTACCCACAAAACTGTCAATAACCTGTAAATATAGAATAGACGAGCAAGAAAAAAGTCAACAAAAACAATCCAAATCCTACTTTTTCATGATTATTTGACAATCATATTGAATAATATTTACTTGAATTCAAATACTTGAATAGAGGTGCAATATGAAAAAGTTGATCGTTTCTCCAACCTTATGCATCTTTACTTTGACATTGCCTTTCAATCTTATTTGTCTTTCTCTTCTGGACAATTCCTCTAATATAAAAAGCATGATACGATAGAAATATAATATAAAATAAATTCCTAAGAAAATTCTTAAGATGAAATTATATTCATTTTCGTATGAACCATTCAACATCAAATTTAATTCGACATGGTTTTTATCCAACAATTTTCACACCTAAATCTTTTCTTTAATTTTTAACGCATTTTCAAAAATGTTTGAACTATCAATCATTTCAATAATTAATTTATCATTAATTTATTTACAGCATTGAATGAGCACAGAGGTCCGCATGAGGTCAAGAAGACTGCTCGAAATATCCATTATGAAGTCGAGAAGTTGAATGAAAAATGGTCAGAGCTGTTAAAGTTAACGGATGGAAGGCAGCGTAGACTGGACGATATTATGAGGGTAAGAAAATTGATTTTTAATGAACCGAACTAATCAGAGCTTTAAATAATTATTAACATTTGAGCTTTTTGGTAAATTATTTTATTTTGAAAATTAACTTGAAAATTTAACGTAAATAGCGTTTCATATTGTTTTCAATTACTCTCGATTATCATCATTTTAATTTTTATTGTTTTTGTTTAAATATTTACAGAAAATGATTAGTCTTCAAAGTCAAATGGATGAGCTTTCAGTTAAACTCAATATCGCTGAAATGACTAGCAGTAAATGGATTCCAATTAATGAAATTGCTGTTGATCAACTTCACGATGCTTTGACTGAACTCCAGGTTTGTAATTGATAAACTTTTTTCCTCATCCTCATGGATAAATTATTCATGTTCATCTTATCAATAATTGAAACACATTTTATTTTAATACAGATCTTTAAGGATAACATTTATACTTTACAAATGTTTGTTGATCAAATGAATGGATCAGCCACCAGAATCAGTGGATCTCAAATTTTACTCTCCGATCTTGTCCTAAATCGCCTGGAAGAATTGAATGCGCGTTGGAAGTTAATCCAAATATCTATTGAAGAAAGACGTAAAAATATAGAGCAAACAGTTATTGATCACAATTCAGCACAACAACGATTCTTGAATGCTGGAGTTGAACAACCTTGGGAACGAGCTGTGGCTTTCAATAAAGTCCCATATTATATAAAGTAATTTTCATCACTTTACCCTCTCAAATTGTTCAATCAATCTTAATTTATCTTTCTTTTGCTTAATTTAGCCATGCAACCGAGACAACACACTGGGATCATCCAAAAATGACTGAAATTATCAACAATTTAAATGAATTTTCTGAAGTTAAATTCGCAGCTTATCGAACAGCTATGAAATTACGATCTATTCAACGTCACCTATGTCTAGATTTGATACATCTAACCTCATTGATTAAAATATTTGACGAGTGTGGACTCAATGGACTAAATGATAAACTAATGAATGTACCAGAAATAATTGCATGTCTTCGAAGTATTTTTGAAGCTGCAGCTAGTGGTGATCAAGCTATTGTTATTAATGTACCTTTATCTATCGACTTATGCCTTAACTGGTTACTTAATTTATATGATACGTAAGCAACTTTTTTCAATTTCACTACAAATTCACTCTTTTTACTCATTGAATTACTTTTTATTTTTATTTTTAGTACTAACAGAACTGGATTCATCAGAATTTTATCTCTAAAAGTTGGCCTAGTTACATTATGCAAAGGTGTTCTTGAGGAAAAGTATAAATGTAAGCATTTAAAGTCAATACTTAGAGCTCATAAAATTGATCTGACCCATCTTTTCAATCCTTATAGTTATGTTCAGGTTAATAGCTGATGATCAAGGACTTGTTGATGAACGCTCTTTAGGAATATTATTACATGACTTGATCCAAATTCCCCGACTGTTGGGTGAAGTCAACTTTTTTGGTGGGACCAATGTTGAAGTCAGTGTTCGAAGTTGTTTTGAACTGGTTAACCGTAAATCTGATGTTGACTCCGATAATTTCCTTGAGTGGCTTAACCGAGAACCTCAATCTATAGTTTGGTTACCTGTACTTCATAGATTGGCTGCGGCTGAAAAGGCTAAACACCAATCTAAATGCAATGTTTGTAAACAATTTCCAATTATTGGATTTCGCTACAAGTGTTTGCTTTGTTTCAACTTCGACATTTGCCAAATATGCTTTTTCTCTGGACGAACAACCAAAAACCATAAAATAATCCATCCAATGCAAGAATACTGTTTGGCAACAAGTTCTGGACAAGATATTAAAGACTTTACTCGAATTATCCGAAACAAATTTAAATCAAAACGTTTGAAAAGACATCCAAAATATGGTTATCTGCCTGTCCAAACAACAGAAAATGATGACAACGAAACTCCGGTTACTCCTGCATCTCACACTCTTCAACATCCAGATTCCCTTGAAATGCACTCAAAGCTTGAAATGTACGCTAGTCGATTGGCTGAAGTTGAGCTCGATAATAGTCCAGATCGAAATTTTGACAGCTATGACGAGCTGTAAGTATCTTTTGAGGATTTAATATAATTAGATCGAGTCATTTTCTTCAGTCTTTTATTTTAAATATTTTGCTATCAATTTGACTTCACCTTTCTTCATATGATATCTCACTTTTTTTTAACATTTCTTTCATGCAAAAATCCATTTTACTCACCTAAACTGTTTATTTTTCATTTGTTGTAAAGGATTGACGAAAATCAGCCCAATGCTCAATTCTCTCAAGATTTTGGTGGAAACTTACTCAGTCCTGGGCAGATCATTGCAACAGATCAACGAATTGAGCTGGAATCTATTATCAATGGTTTAGAACAAGAAAATAGGTTAGTATTAATATTTTATTGACCAATTGCCTTAAAATTAACCATGGTTGACTTGCTCATTGATTTTTGCTCCTAATGATATTCAATACCCTCTCTAGTTCAATAATCTATCAATACCTTTGAACAACAACATAAACAAAATGGCCAGCTTTTTTTAGTTCATCTCCTCAATATCATACTTTAATCTAATTTTTTTTAATCCATTTTAGGCAATTACAAGCTGAGTATGAACGCTTGAAAGGAAATAAGTCGAAACAAATAAATGGCAAAGGATCAAGCAATGTTCATAGCGATTCTCATCTTTACTCTACTATTGGATCTCTTACCAGAGGAGGAGATATACTTACAGTTAAAGCAGAAATGGATCCATATGCTTCTTTAATTTCAAGTCAAGAAGATAACCTTGCAAACGAGGCTGATCAGACAACATCGAAGTTGGAAGCAAAGCGAATTTTCCTCGAAGAACGTAACAAATGTTTGGAGGCTACTTTGAAGAGATTAAGGCAGTTGTTAAATAAATTTCCAGAACCTACAAGTCTTTCTAATACCTTACGATCAACTCACAGTGATTACACTAATCAGAAGATATCAACTGGTCGTTTACAGCATTCAACCAACAATAGCATTTCATCTTTACGAGTCAATGGTTCTTCTGGCTCTCATCATTTTCTCGATAATTACCAAACTAACCTCGATAACCCAGACCAGACCAGGTAGCTGATGAATTGAAAGGAAGATAAAGAATGTTGTTAATATCGTTGGTTAATCTGTTAAATTATTTTAAAGAAGATATTCCATTGCAAGTTAATCGTCACTTCCATAGTCACAACCAATAATAGTAATCAATAATTTAGTATAAAGTTGAAGTATTTTATTTCAACCCACAAGTATCACCATCATTTTTGCTCGCCTTGAATATTGCATTTTCATTTACTTTATTGGTTAAAGCTACTCTCAATCCAGTTCCAACTAAGCAAAAATTTATCTTCCTGTTCGTACTTCCACCAAAGTTTCTACTAAAGCAATATATTACATTATTTTACATGTAACTATGTAACTAGATTTATCAAAGTTATCTAATGGTAATCTAAATTAACAATCTACTAATTACTTTCTCCGTGAAGATTGCTAATTTTCATACTAAACTGAACTGAAAAGTTAACTTGTAAAACAGTACAACTGAGATTGGACAAAATATCTGCATTTAGGTTATGTTGACTATTGGCTTCTTTTAGTAATCTATTCATTTTACATTTCAAATTTACATGTATTTATCTTATTAATAGTCTTATCAAAATGGACGCAATCATCTAGTTCAATACCATTTTGCGATCAAAAGACAGCATTTTGTTAAAAAAAAGGTTTATTTACAAATATATTGACTAAAACCCAATTTGTATTTACCTCAGCCCCTAATACATCATTTTCACCGCAGCTTTAAATTTTCTTATCATTTACCTTTGTATCATTACTAATTATTTTACTTTAAATTGAATATTAAACGAAAGTTGCATTTCTTCATATTTACAATAATGAATCCTTTTGAATTAAAAAAATTCTTGAATAATTGTTGAAAGCGTTTTTGATTCAATCAAAAACATACTCAATGATAAACAGCGCGAAAGTTTGACCCTTTACCTTTTAATATAAATTAGTCAATCATCCAAATACTCTCATTATATTGATAAAGTATTGAATCTATTGAGGTGAGTGTATTAAATTGAATTGACTTTTGTTTCCTTTTGTTTTGATTAAGATGTTAACCTTCTCCATGGAGATAGAACTGAATAAACCTGAAAATAGTTGATATGCTTTATTAGCAGAATCATTATGGATGAAATAACCTTTTGTCTGGTTAAATATAAATTTCTTTTTGTTTGTTACCATAAATATGATTAAAATATTCAATTATTATTATTATTATTATATTCTCTAATAATAATTCGATGCAATTATCAGGTAAGCTTCATCAATCATTAAATTTTTGACTTGGTTTCGTCTTAAACCTTCAATTACTTCTCAATTAAAAAAAGTCGAACAGTTAATGGCGACTTTATTATTAAAGCAACGAATCAGCTCATGTCTTCATTACAATCCATCTCTATCTAGATACTGTGGACAACAATTCTGGTCAAGAAGACCAAAGTGAACGAGTTGCCTGTCCAATTTGTACCAGGAAATTTCTTCAAGAAAGATTAGTAAGTAATTTCAATCAAATCAATTTTATATCATTTCTAAATTGAATTGAGCTAGTTTGAGTCAGTCGAGGTATCAAATAGTTAACTTGCTAATTCATTAAACAAAATTTATAAAGCTAAGCTAACATTTTGCTATTGAGATGAAAATCGATCCAAATTGATTTTGCCTCGACTGTTGACTCAAGAGTTAATCTGAACAGTGTTTTTGGTTTCAAAGTGTTCTGATTATCTTCATCTGATTTTTCTCATTTCCTTCTACAGGCGAAACATATTGTGATATGTGAAAAACAAAAACAGAAGAAAAGAAAGATTTTCGATTCTTCCAAGCAACGAGCTCCTGTTGATGACAAAGGTGATCTTCTCATTACAGTCCCACCAAGTCCACTTAAAGTGAAAGGAGGGCGAGGAAATGGTCCAACCAGTAACTCTAAAAAAATGGAAGAAATTAATTCAGATGTTAATGGTGAATCAGACAAAAATAAAAAATCCAATTGGAGAGAGCAACATGAACAATTTATACGAACCATTCGTGAAGCAAGAGGCCTTAAAGTTGAACCAGAGCCATTAGAGGACGATGGTAAAAAACGGATGCCTCCAGGTTACGTAGAGTGTCCATGTTGTAACCGTAGGTTCAGTAAAGCGGCGGCAGACCGTCATATACCTTGGTGTAAAGAGCAGAAGGCTCGAAGTATAAGATCACCAAAGGCAAATAAAGAGACAGCCAATAGAGTGAAAGCTCGGTCAAAGTATCGTCCAGGATTGACAAACATCAACAACTCAAACCAAACCAAAAAGAGCCAATCAGATGGTGAAAGTGATAAGAAAGATGATCTCGATGGGGAATCAAATCTCGTGATACAAGGTGTTGGATCATCTCCTTCATCTTCCTCAACAGCCGATTCAAGTAAATTGTTTTCACCTCGAGTTCGCAAGAAGACTGTGGGTGGACAAAGATATCGATCCCCTTCTCGGAAAGATGCTCAAAATGGTATTAACAATGGTAAAAGTAATGGCATCAATAATATAAGCAATAATACTCCAAGTAGAGTGAAAACTCGCTGGAAATCTGAAGATGGACTAAGTAAACAGGTTCCTAAGACTCCAGTGATGAAGTTCAAAGAAAAATTCCCCAACCATGTAAGATCTTCACTTGATTCGATTACAACCAAATTTTTGGCTAACACTGAAAACCCGGCTGAAATTTTACGTAAACCTGAAAATATAACCGGTCCAATGGTACCTAAAACAGTTCCTGGTGTACGAACTAGAGGTTTATCACCGATGAGAGACGGACAGTTGTCCTTAGAGTCACAGGATTTAATTAAGATTAAAGGTGGAAATGGTGTTGCCCCTTTTAGTGACAATGATAGACTTAAAATATTTGATCGTCTTGTATTGAGCAATGGTGAAGATAATCGTAACAGTACATCAGGAAGCTCTGAGTCAGGCTCATCACGACCTTCTAACCATGAGTCAATTGAATCTAATGAATTGATCCTTCCTCGCTTTTGTCATCAATGTGGAACCAAATACTCAACTCAATTGGCTAAATATTGCCATGAATGTGGATCAAGAAGGTTGGGAAGTGGCGGTCCTTTTTTGGTTAGTTAACTATTAATAATGTGTTCCTCTTCTTGTTGGTCTTTGTCTCATTTTTTACACTTTCATTTCATGATAGATAACTGTTCCTCTTCTCTCTCTCTTTTCACCATAATTTTTAGTAAAATATTTTATATTTCAGGTCAACTTGAAAAAGTTGACTCTTTGACTTAAGAACTTTAAAAACTCAGCTCGAGAAGATAAGGTTTGATGAACTAAATTGTCTAATGAACTTGATACTTTATTTGATTTGTTTTGTTTTGGCTTGCTTTTGCTTTTGCTTGTACCTCTGTTAGCTTTCCTTTTTAATTTTTCAATTTTATATCATCAAGTTAATTAATCTCGTTAGGAAATCGATTTTTCATAGTCACCAGTTAACTCTTATTCATTAATTTATCATTGTGTCGTCTTTTGTCAAAATTTATAGCTTTAATCATGAAATAATATGAATTGATTTGTTACGAAAAAATTATTGGCTTTGTAATTGGGTTTTCAGGATCAATTCACGGTTTGGCTCGATAGGCAACCCAAGGATGGTTTACCCAATACTGGATAACAATTTCATACTTTACTGGCAATTCAGTAATAAAAGTCAATCACTTGATTGTTATGAGTTGTCATTCTTTATTAATCATCACCTATCGTTGATTATTATTGTAAAAAGTTAAATACGTTGATTCAACATTAACCTAAATAAAGACAAAAAATTTCCGTTTCCAGATTGATTTCGTTTCAAATATTAATATTTCAATATGTATTACTAGACCTTCGGATGAAATATTTTCCCTTTTAAACCCTTTACCTTAAAATCTTAAACTAGGACGAGCACTAAAGATGACCACCAGTATGGCCATGCTTCAGTTTTAGCGTTAAAAATTGAAAAACCAGCCTCAGAGTGGTTGAATATAGAAAATCGGAATCTGATCGCTGATCACACTTCGAGCCTAATAATTTCTGTTTCAGTTGCTATAATTAAGGGACTAAAACCATTTCTGACCGTAAAGAATATTTTAGATACATTTTCATCACAACAAAACTACAAGATCAAGCTGAGGGTGAAATATTTCTAAGCCCTATTAGTATCAATTAAACAGGTAAGGTAAATTGTAAGTTGCAATTTGTATTAATTTAGGTTTCACCTTGCAAGATTCTTCAAGGGTATCGAGAGTATCAAAATTATCGTTAGAAAAGTATTCAAATTAATGTTTGAGATGATATTTATTGAAATATTTAAATTTGATTTTGATAAGAAAATAAACTTTTAAGTTTTGAAAGAGATCGTTGTAAGTTATTCAAAGAGTGGTAAAAAATGCCAATGTTAGGAAGATTGAGTAAAAATTTAAGTGATTTCTTCCGATTCCAGATCACTATCGATTAACAATTGTAAGTATTAGTAATCTCCATAGGCGCTGTAAGCCGTATTCAATTCGTGTTTTAGCTCAGGTAATAAACTTCTCTCTCATCATACTCTTCGTCATCTCCATACGGTTCATAATCGTGATCATAAATATCCTCTTCATAATCTTGAAGATCATCTAGATTTTCTTCATTGTCGGCTGTATGACAATACTCTTCCTCTTCATCTGATTCGTCATATTTGCCGCACTTTTCTCGGGTTGGAAAAAAGCTCGGTACGATTCTGGTGCCCTTATATACGATTACTAATTCTTTTGAAGCCAGTCCTTGATGGACAAGATCCCAAGCGTAGAGCACTGTCTCAAGAGTGACTCCAGGACATTGATTAACAGATAAATGCTCCAGTGATCTGCAATGTGTGATAAGGTGCATCGCACCTTCATCAGTGATCAAACTTCCATTAATTTTTAGTTCAGTCAATTTTTTGAGATCAGCAAGTGCTCGAGCAGACTTGTCACTTATCTGTTGAAGATATAGATTTTAATTAGTTGGTAACAATATAATAAAATACAGAAACCTGCCAATAATGTGATTTTGGCATTGGCAGGCACAAAATTTTGTGGCGAGTTAAGCGAGTGGTAATTAGTGTCAGGTTTCTGTAAATTCAGTTTACCTGAGATCCTTCTAAAGTTAATTTAGTTAAGTTTGGCAAATATTCGGGAAGATTGGCTATTGATAGGTCAGTCAATTTTTCAGTTCCACATAGGCTTAGTTCTGTTAATTCAAGACATTTTTCCATGATTGAAAGCATAGCACCATTATCGAGATCCTCAAGTTCTGGGTAGAATCGTAAAACGCGCAATTTCTTCAGGTTACCCAAAAGTCTGGCTCCACGCAATTCAACTGTGCGAAAATTAATAATAGCTAAAAAATCGATAAGTTGGATTTTCATTCTTGTCAACTTACCTTCAATTGAAGATTCAACTTCGAATACTTCTAAATTAAGAAAAGTCGTGCAAATAATTTTCAATCCTGCATTGGACAAAGAAGGTGCTAACAATGTTTTTAAAGTCTGAGAGCAGTTTTGTCCAAGCAGAGAAAAAGCATCTGTAACAATCTAGAAAAATTAATTATTATTAGAAAACTTGAAATTTTAGTAAAATCAGATCAATGCGTAAGAACTTACCGATGAACAACCTGAAAGATCTAAGTAAGAAAGAGAATTCAATCGATAAAAACATTTTCCTGTGATGTTATCTACTCGACTAAGAGAAATGGATTCCATATCGGGTCTTAAGAGTAACAATTCACACAAACTTGTCTCACTGACATCGTTACATCTACTGAAATCGATTGACTTAAGCATTGGACAAGCTCGGCCGAGGTTCGCAATATTGTATCCGCTAAGATTTTTATGTTTCATGATCAATTTTTCAAGTTTGGGACAGAATTGGCCAATGACATCAAGAACTGTTTCATCAAAGTTGGTAGCTGTTTGTTCAAAGTTGAGCGTCGTCAAATTTGGACATTTGCTGATAATTTTGGTTAGAGTCAATGTATCAAGATCCTCATGTCCTGCTTGTCTCCATACATTGAAAGAATTTACGAAGGCCAATAATTTATTCGAAGCCCAAGAATGCTTGATTAGGTCATTCCAACGCTGACAAACGCGTTCACATCTCGTTTTATCACGAACACTCAAAAGTGAGAAAATAATAAGCAATGAATCGTCATTCAAGTCATTAATAGTCTTTATTTTCTTTTTATCTTTCCCATCCATCTGTTCGGTGATAGTTGTAGAATCGGTATTCTCCGTCATTTCAATAATTTAAAAAAAAATCAATAAAAATGAAATGGAAATGGAATAAAAAACGCTTAAAAACACAAAAAACAGCTGAAAAAACACGATTTGTCACACTGTGACTGTTATATATCGAAAAGTACTATCGATTAATCGAAAGTCCTTAACCAGATTTTTTCTGGTTTTTAGATTGACTTTCTGTTGTTTTGGTTTGTGGTTTTTACTTATCCAACCCGATTTTGGCCCACTTTAAAGTTTCTTTTAATATTCTGTTCATTTATTTGATTAATGATGTCTGGTGAACCTGCAATGGGATATTCACGGGACGGATGTGCTCGAGTCTCTTCTCTAATGTCTAGGTGTTTTGATGCCTATGCCAAAGATCCTGAAAGTGACGCAAGATGTTTTGATTATTTGGAAAATATGAGAAAATGTTGTGCTGATTATGGTAGTATTTCAACTACATGTCGTGGATTCTTGGCCGAAAGACGGAAAATTGAACAACCTGATCACCTTGCCCTTGAGACAATTAAAAGGTCAACGATGATTGACAAATTTGAGGATAAAGTGCGTTTCTCTCCAGCCGATAATTTCAGTGTACCTTTGATGTAAAATTATGTTAACATAATTGTTGAAAGATTTGTAAATCTATATTAGGTGATAGCAAATGATATTAAACACGATAGTCCAAAATTTTTCAGAGGTAATAAAAAGATTTCACCATTTAATAGAGATTTCATTGTAAAATTATTAAGGCAAGGTTAAATTTGACGCGAAAATTTGAATTTGGACACAAATATGAGCTTATTCAATGAATCTTAAATCAAATACTTTTTATTAAGGTCAAACAAATTCCAATGGAATGATTTCTTCTCAAGGTTATTATCACCTAGAATGTAACATCATGAGTAATTAATCTGAAGAGGGTTCAGAAACAGCTTCTGTAGTGTATTTAAACAATTTAGTAACAGCCGCACTCATTGACTTTTTGATTTTATGTAATTTTTTCTCCATATTATCCGTCTCAAGAGGTTGTATATCCCCAATGTTGGAGTTAAGATAACATTTGACGAGCTCCAAAATTCTTTCTAGCCTTTCGGCTTCGGGATCTTCGACCGGAGTGATTGTTTGTACCTGTTCAATCACTTGACAGAGTTCCTCCCATCCCGATAATTGAGCCACAAACTTGGAATCTTTTCTAGTAGTAATGGAATCTTGATTAGAGGTCCCGGGTTGATTTGTCTCCATATTTGAATAGATTGTTTTCACTTTAATTAAATAATCAAGCTATTTGAGGATGCACCAACTGATGCTTGTAATTAATTAGAAAGTAAAGAAAATTGATACTTCGAATAACAATAGTCAGTCATTGTTGGAAAAAGTACTTTGTTAATCAAAAAATCAATTCAAATTTGAATTTGGTAGGTTGATATAAAAAATACATGCAAATACATTCAGATAGTAAATTTTGTAATTGTAATTGTTGAAGCCCCCTATTAAGGATCATATTAAGAGTTGATTTAGGAGAGTACTAATTAAGTTATCATTATTAGTATTAATTAAAGATAATGAATAATGGATCAAAATATGTAGTTAATGAAAGCGTAAGCGTTGTAAAAAGTGGCAATAGCGATGGGAGTCATTCCTGCCGTGAAGCCTGCAGTTCGATATTTGGGGTAACCAAGCCAGAAAAGGATTCGAGCAACGAAGAAAAGGACGTTTATGAGGGGAATAACTCGTAGGAAAAGATCTGGAGCCAAATTGGTTGCTAGAATCAGTTGATTGACGAAAACTAGCAAGAATTGTTCCATTGAATTCGTGTGTACTTGTTTAGCAGCAAGGATAATATTTTCAAAGCCTTCAAGGGGATTTACAGCACCAGTGCCGATTCTCCGAGCGATAACAAGAGTTGTAGTGATGAGTAACCAAAATACGTGGAGACTTTGGTAACGGAGTATATACTCAATCCGGGCTCCAAAGTTGGTCAATGATTGCGCTGTAGCTCTACCATGTAGTTTTATCTTGTCGTTCATGACCAGGTAGGCAAGAGAAACTTGTAGAATCACGGAAACGAGTAAACCAAGAGCAACTATTTGTCCAAAGGTTAAATTAGTTGTTGGATCTACACGATTTCTAATTGTCTTTCGGTCATAGCCAATTCTTGGTGAAGGACTCATGATTGGAGTTGAACCAGAATCACCTTTACTTTGGTTTCTTGTAACAGCCATTTGTACTTCTCAATCAAGTGTAATCAAGTGCAATCAAGTCTAGGAGATAAAAAAGGTAAAAAAACTAGATGCATCAGGTTAAGAAGATAAATCAAAAGAGAAGATGATAAAAGATCCCGTGGAGATAATTACTTTAAGGAAACATAAACCGATTTTTCATGATTAATAAAACTAGGAATGCTTTAAAAAACACAAAGTAACAAAGTATAAAAAATGAAAAATTGCAAAATCAAATCTCATGAAATAAAATAAAGAACCATAAATGAATCATTATTTCTAAATATTTGAAATTGTTGAAAACCAACAACAAATGAGGAAAATTATCAAGATTATCAAGAAGAAGAGAGAAAGAAGAAAAAAATAAAAACTTGTTCAATCAAGTCTAGATAAGAAAATAAAGACACATAGACTGAGAAAGAGAGAGTCAGAAAGAAAGACTAAAATTCAGCAATTACTTGAAAGTCATGATAAAGTAAGAAGAATGAGGAGTGAAAAAGAGAGAATCAAACTTAACATACCCAATAAAAAAATGATAATTGCAAAACCAGTGTAGTGATGTGTACTAATTCAATAACACTTGAACCACCAAAATTCACAAGAATTGCTTGGAGTAAATTAAAAAACTGAAATACGATTTAATTAAAAGTTAAAAAGGTTTTATCAAATTGCTGAAAAAAAGAATCCGTTCACTGACAGTAACATTGACAAGCTTCGGGGTTCCAAAATGAAAGAAAAGACGTTAAAATTCAAATGAACACTGGCGCAAAATAAGGTTTCTATGGTTACCGCTTTTGGGATCTTGATAGGGAATCATTTTGATAGTATCGACTCGAGTTATCTGTTTACGATAGTGCCCTCCTCTTTTCCCCCGATATGCTTACAAGTCTGGTATCTTTCTTTCTTTCTGTCTCTTTCTCGTCTCGTCGTGTAGCAAAGCCAAGCAAAGTCTTCTTTATTTACGTTTTTTTTCTTGCTCCCTCGGCGTATCATCACCTTCTCCTTCTCTTCTTATCTTTTATCCCCTGAATTATTTCCCCACTCTACTATCTGTCTGTCTGAATTTTGTTGAGTTGCTGGTGTCTGTTCAGTAGACTCTGTTGCTTGTTTTATCAATTCTGTTTTTTCATTCTGGCAAGCCAAACTTGATTCAAAACATCGATTGTTATTTTTTTTCCCTTCTCTAACTGCCCGATCATCAATATCACCATTTAAACTGTGTTACGGATTACCTGAGTACGAATCTTTTAATTATTGTGAAAGTGAAAAAGACTCCAAAATCTCTAATAGTCTTCATCTTTTTCTCTCTCCTTCTTCTCTATCTCTTTCTCTAGCTCTCTTTCTTTCTTTTCTTTCTTTTTTTTCTATCTCTCTCTCTTTCTACTCACTACTATATGTTTATTTTTGTTCGCTCATCATCTTTTTTTTGCCATTCAGAGGTAATCCTTTTCTAATGTATATTTTCAACCTATTGGATGGTTCTGTCTTGTTTCGTTTACAGTTGTAAAGATGTGAATATCAACATATTGCTCAGTATCGTTTCACATTGGACAAAAAATCAACACAAATTTGGATCATGATGTTCTCTTTTAATCTTTTTTCTTAATCCTGTCCAAGTGATACGTTCCATTGAAGAAGGTCAACGGAATGAGAGTTTTTGGCCCATTATTATTGTTATCAATTTTAATATCTTTAACATCAATTTCATCACTTTTATCATCATCAGCAACATTTTTACCACTATCCATGGTTCACAAAAATGAAATTAGGTTAGTGGCTGAACAATAGTAACCGTCAACACGATCAACTTTAAGGAGCCTGCTACAAATATAACACCCAACTCACCGACAAAAGTAAACCATCATCATCATCCCTCCATCACCATCACCACCACCATCATCATCATCATCATCAACCTCACCAACTACCTCACCTTGATGATCTTATGGATCCCGAATTATCGCGCCCAAATCAATTATCTCCAAATTCTTTAACCAATCTTCGATTGAAAAAAGTTCTTAAAAGCTACCAACAATGTGCTCCTGACAGCTTAAGTGGGCCCAATTATTACAATCCAACATGGATTAATGGGGACCACGGGCTAAAATTTTCTGGGGATAAATACACTAGTAACAATATTGTTGCTACACCATATTCGACGTCCTCAAGTCATAACATTAAAGCAAATAGTAATAATACAAATAATAATAATATTAGCAAAAGTAATAATAATTACCTTGCTAATATAAATACTAATAGTAATAGTAGTAATAATAATGCTAATACTAATAAACATAATAACAATAATAGTTCAAATAACAAAAATCACAATACCTCACCGGAATCACAAGTGTCATCGGTCAACTCTCAACATTTATCGTGTTCATCATCTTTAGGATCAACAAATGGGTTAAGTCACTCTAATGGCCCCAGTTTAATTAGCAGTGGGGAAGGTGGTGGTGGAAGAAATAGCAACAGTAGTAATAATATCAATATTAGTACTGGTGGGAGAGAAAAAGCAAGCAGAGGATCTGGTGAATCACCAACACCAGTCACGAAATCATCAAATTTACCAGTATCATCGTCATCCTCATGCTCACTGTCATCCACATCTTCATTACCAGCCTCAACAACCGGATCCAATCAGATTGCACCAAATTTAAGGATACCACCACCTATTATAATACCAGCCGATCCGAATAGCTGCCAAAGATCAGAGACCATTTTAGAGAATGAAGTAATATCATGTTTTATCGTTGGCGGAGAGAAACGATTATGTCTACCTCAAATATTGAATACTGTTTTAACCGATTTCAGTCTTCAACAAATTAACTCAGTCTGTGATGAGTTACACATATTTTGCTCCAGATGCACCCCTGAGCAGTTAGAAGTCCTCAAAGTAACCGGCATATTGCCTGCATCTGCTCCCAGTTGTGGTCTTATCACCAAAACGGACGCGGAAAGATTGTGTGCAGCTTTACTATTTTACGCCAATCGCACTAAAATGATATTAGGCTCTACATTTTCTGGTTCTGGTGTTGAATTTGATGATTTAGATTTAAAATGTGATGGTTTATCCATTGACATTGAGAAACTTGGAGCAGGTATTCCTATTTGCCATGAATGTTTTGGCTCATGTTCGGGCACTGTTTATACTGATCTGTATATCGAACCTACCTCGCGGTGTATTAAGTGTTCAGAATGTAAAATGTGGTTAACACCTCAACGATTTGTTACTCACATCCATTCATCTTCGGAAAATCATACCTGCCATTGGGGTTTTGATTCGTACAATTGGAGAGCTTATATTCATCTAGATGAAGAATCTAAAGAATATCAATTAGCTGATGTTGAACAACTTGAGGCGGAATTAGATTCATTCAAATCACGTTTTGATCCAACTGTCATTGGATTAACATCATCATGTAACAACTCACCTGCTGCCAATAAAAGGAAACTTGAACAGTCCAACAAAATTCAGACTGAAAAGAAAGATGATTACGATAAACAGGTTAGTCGTGCTTTCGTTTATTTTATCATTTTCACTCCATTATCTCTATTTTTCATTCTCGTGTACATTTGATTTACTATCTAATAGTTGATGACGGTATGAATGTACAAGCAGAAAACAAAAAAAAATGTATTACTTCAATGAGAAAGGCAGCTTATTCACATTTTTATGCTGTAACCTGTAGATGTTTCAAGGTCATTGTTATCCCGTTATTCAGCATTCATATTTATAACTAATTCATCTTTCGATAAAATGAGACTTGATATACACATAACGTGTGTTTACAATTTTACTTGAAACATTGAGTCAGTCTCAATTCATTTCTCTTTTTTTTCTCAATCAAGTCTTGAATTTTATTGTTTAAAAATTATTCCCATTATGATGAGGAAAAAAAGCCGAAACGTCAGATTTTTCATTTTGCATGTTTCAAAATGATTTGCAAACAAACCTTTCACAATTGAATAGTTTACGAGTCTTACAATCAGTTCCCTAATAATCTTACCCTGTCTCTGTCTCTATCTCTTTTTTTCACCATTGATAACTCTAATAATGATAGGTATAAGTATAATTATAATTGTTTGACTCATCAAACCTTGTACAGTAGACAGTGTCAATGTTTCCTTTGAATTGGTACAATCAACACAGACTAGTAATTAAATTATTACTGATATTAATATCGTATTATCGTTATTACCATTTTTTCAATGTTATCTACTGTCTATCTCAAGTTTATTGATTGACAAAAGGCTTTTTGAAGGTTTATTTTGTTTTGTCTTCTCTCTCTCTCTCTCTCCGCTCTTCCTCTCTCATCACGAACAAACCATGTGACTATTAATTTTTTTTACCTACGATCATGAAAATTCTGAACACATTTTCTGTGCTAGAAATGGTCTTTATGAATCAACACATTACAGTTGTTCAATCTATATTACACTCACTCTCACACTCAATCCGTTTCAATTTGCATAATCACAGTGAAAAGTACGGCTCTGATCATGAATCTTGTTATCAATGGACTGGTAAAGTTTGCTTTGCGTATTAAACGAATACTGGAAAAAGCATGAGAAAAGATTAGGGTTTTTTGATGTTTGTTGTTTATTGTTATTATTAGTAGTATTATTAGTGCAGTTTTCAAACGCTCATTATAACATGTTGAAAGATATAATAGCTCTTTCATGGTGTTGCTTTCCTAATCAAACTTAGTCTAATTACTTTACGGCTCAAAAGTCACACAACAATTAGGCCTAAGGTAATGAGCATTATTGGACTTTTAAATGCTTTTACTGTGTGTGTGTGAGGAAAAGTGTACATCCAAATACAAGTAGTTAAAGATCGTCTATTTAATTTTACTTTTTGGTTCCTTTTTTTACGCTTAAAACATTTTGTCTTTCCATTTCTTTCTCTCTTTACTTTTGTAACCTTTTGTTCAATGTTATAATGAGATTCACATTTTTCAGACCTTTTTTCACTCAATAAATTGAATGTAAGCTTTACAAAAAAATAAGACGACTCAGAAAAAAAGCAATTGAATTTATACCATTTGATTTATAATTTATCATGTTTCAATGTGTATTGATTGTACCACTGATCGATAAATCCTTGACTATTATTATCTGAAAGTTTAATGTTTGTTTCTCTAATATTATTATTATTCAAATTTCTCAATTAGGTATTGAGACTGTACTTTATTGTACATTTTACTACTTAATCATGAAAGTGGGTGATTTTGTGTGTACCATCATTACTTATACTTGATTACTTGCCTTTTTTAACCAAAGGTTTGGGTAAAAAATGGCAAAATCTCATGAACAAAACTTGAACTTATATTGTAATACTCTTTTCCAGAGTGATTACATTTTTATGCTGTGATAAATCAAAATGACTGTTGTTTCAATGTGCTTTTTTCCTCATTACTTTGTTTACAAAGTATAAAAACACAGTCTCTCTCTCTCAAAATTACCTCGGTGAAAAACAGAAGAAAAAAGCAGAAGATGATGATGATGATTAAAAGGAGAAGAAGAAGAAGAAGAAGAAGAAAAAGAATGAAGAAAAATAAGAATAAGAATAGTTTCTTCCTTCCTCTTTCTCTTGCTCTCACTGAACATTTTCAAGCAAACATTAGCCTCTCATATCTCTGGAAACCTCTTTTTCATCTCAACATGTTACATCATCCCGTGATTCTGAGCGTCTTTTATACATAATCTTGAAACACACCCGTGAGGCATTATCCTCACCAATTTAAAACTTGCTTCCTTAGACATCTTACTCCTTTTTTTTCCTTACATTCCTCTCTTTTCTCACTATCTTCTTCTCCTCTTCACCGAGCTCCTCCTTTCTTTCTTACCTGGAATCTTTCATGTTCAACACTATCATCATGCTTTTTCCCATCTAATTTCCTTTGCTCTTTCTTTCTTCCTTTCTTCTTCTTCTTCCCTTCATTCATGTTAATCTCTATTCCTCCAGACAAGTTATGTGACTTGTTTCCTATTCTTGCTGAAAAGCCCTTTCAATTCTCAATTCCAAATATATTCTTTTTATAAAAACTTATGATTTTCTAAGGATTCATCATCTTCATCATCACAATCATCTTGCCAACAAACAGTAAAAACACTTCTCTTTCTTCCCGACTTTTCACTCTTTTCTGTTTTATTGGCAGTGGAAGGAAAACATCTTCCCCTCCTCTTTCTATCTCTTTCTATCCTTTCTCTTCTTCTGTCTCCTTTCATCCATATGTATCTTCTTAGGTTATTTTTCCTCCCTCTGTGAGCATCAACACAGTCTTTCCCTCTGAATTTGAGTGGTTACCAAATGAAAATGATTCCTGTGGTACTGCCAATCATCCTAAAGTAATTTCATACTGTGCTGTTGGTTGCGCCATGCAGCTAAAAACTGGTCTAATTATCAAGATCAAGAGTGTGTTTTGATTTCGAAAGAAGCAGAAAGAGAGAGAGAAGAAAGTTGATCAGACTCATTCTGGCCAACATTTTCTTGGCTTCATCATCAAATTTCAATCTTAACTTACAATCTCATGATAATCTTGAATATTCATTGCCAATGTAGATTATTATCCCTCAAGATTGTTTTATTTCTTAATGCCGATAGTTAAATCCAAATCATGTATGAAAGTCATTCTTGTGCTATTATTGAAAGTTGAAGTCGTTTTTTATTTTGTTTTCCTGGTAAAAAATTATTTCCAATATCAATATTTGGAAACACCAAACTCACATGAATCCAATTCACTTGATGTTTGTTCACTCACAATTTTTTTGTTATCTTACATTACAATTTCAAGTGGTTCGTTTTCATTTACTCAAAGCATGATTAGAACAAGCAGAAATTTTTGATCGTTCATCATAAATGTAGTAAAAAAAATCTGTAATCAACAAATCAATTGGCTTTAACTCTTTACAATCAGGTGAATAACTCATCTTTTTCACCAAACTGCCAACTGAATTCAATTGTATACAATTTGCAATGAAATATTTCATGTAAAGCTTGCTAAAAGAGTATTGCGAATCAATTTCACATTCAATTAAAATTATGACAAAAATCGAGAAGATTAATTAAGCTGAATTTCAATAGATTATCTTGTTTCCATTCAAAGCAATCCATAATTCAGTTTAAAAGCAGAAACCATATTTTTAGCTGTTTTCAAATGAATAATTGAAAAGTATTATCAAGTGATTGATAAAAATCTAAATCCATGGATTTATTTCAACAATAATGTGTGAAATTAGGCTATTTAGATATTAAATAGTGATTAAATTATCATAATTGATGATGAAAATAATTTTCAGAACTCTTACATGATTTGTATTTTGCTTTTTACAAAACAACCAAAAAACATTTCGGTTGCAAGGATAACTTTGAAAGCAAAATTTTGCTGAAACTATTTTCATTTTAAAATTTTATCTCAATTTCAAGGTCATTGTTTGATCCCGTTATTTGCTTTTTACCTGTTTTAATACACCTTTCTTGCTCAATCATTCAATACGCCTTAACATGTTGGCATTCTTTCTGTCTAACTCTTCCTCCTTCATTCAATTGATTCTTGTTTTCAACACAATGAGAAGGCCGAAGACTTAAAAATAACAAACATTGTCTGATTGTTGAATTTAGCTTTCTATTTCTATCTGTTCCAGATCGATTGAACAGGCTAAAAGAGTCTATCAGACAAATTTAGCTTTAATTGACTGATATTTATCGTCCATTTTAATACACTTGTAAATCTGTTTCCAGCCAGTCTATCTTGAAATATTGCTTATGTGACAATATATGCAATCATAATTAGTATTTCTAATATTAGTTTAGCTTAACTCATCATATTTTATAAGGATAGGTGTTGATGGGGAAAGATGCATGAAAAAAAGTCTGTATTAGTTAACCAGTAACTGTGATTATTATTATTCTGGTTACTTCATCGTTTCACAGCTGTTAGTTTTCATCACCATCCATTGAATTATCAAGAGTGTAACCGTGAAATATTGTCAGACCAGAGATGTTAATACCAAGAATTTCAGGTTTATTGACAGGAAGTTTTACCTTTAAACTACCTTTAAATTATCCTTAAATTATTATCTAATTGGGTGTAATAGAGGAAACAGATTGGTTTAAATGCTAAAAATTGCATCATTAGCCAACAAACTGACTCAAACAATCAATCAATTTTGAAATAGCGACTTGTATCCAAATCTTAACCAACTTGACCCAGACTTATTGCTCAACATTATCAGCTAATTTACATTATTTATCTTGATTAAGTTATTCGTATTTGATAATCACAAGGTAATATCAGAATAACATTCATATTCATTGTCTGTATTAGCCAATATCTAAATCTCCATGTTTTTCGGGTTCTTTGCACCTGATTTGGGTAAAATTAGGGAACAGTTTGTCATAGATTTGTTAGATTAATATATTTATCCTTCACCTCGTGCATGTAAATTAAATATCACTTTAACATTTGTTACTAATGTGCGCTTAAAACCATTAAAAAGTATGAAATTCAAGTTTAGTTGCCCTTCCTTTCAGCTGAGTAGTAAATTGGTTTAAATTTTTTTAATATGTAAAACTCAATTTTCAACACTAAATTGCCATTTAAAAGTCGGCAAAAAAGTAAATTAATTTTACATGAATTTGAATTGCGTAAATTTTGTAAATGTTTTCACTATAGTATGAAAAAAAGTAGTTACATCATTTGTAAGGTCATCGATCATCGGTCATTGATTTAACTTTTACAACAAGGTATCAAGTTTATGTGAACTTGAAGTTGATTGTTGTTTCCCTTTGAAGGCGCACATCAAGTCTTCAATGAAGCTTGTTTTTATTCTAGGAATATTTTAAATTTCTTTTAATGAATTTTGATTGAAGAATGTCGAGTTGTCACTCATGCATTTGAATTATTCTTCTACTGCTTCACTATTTCAAGTTAATTACTTTTTCTTAATTCAATGTTGACTAAATTGTTATTATTTTTTCCTTGATACAGACAAACAACTTAAATAGAGGCCAGTTACCGGAACCGCTTAAGAAGATTAAAACCGAAGAAATGCCAACAATGAAACAATCTCCCCTCGATTTATTATCACCTCATCCTTATTCATATTTTCCCGTTTCCACCAACTGGACCCCCGATCCGTCTGTGTTCAACTACTGGTATCATCATCCTTACGTGACTCAACCACCAGTTTCAGGGCTGGCATCACTACAACTACCTCAGCCAACCGTTTCTATCTCCACTAATCAACAAAATCATCCTCAACAACAACAATCTATACCAAGAGTTACTGTTGAACACAAAAGTCGAAGTAATGAAGGTAATTTTGATAATCAATAAGTCAATCAAGATAAAAAAACTGTAAAATGAAATACAACTTGAAATACAAGTAAAGGAAAAAGCAAGAAAGTAACATTTTTAAATTAAAACTGCGAATCGTCAGGCAATCTGAAAATTGTCTAATTATGTAACGATTTTTTTCTCGAATAATTTCCCAAAGCTCTAGATGAATCAAAATCATGGATTAATATTGAATGAGTAGACAGAAAAATTGTCTATCAAAGCAACGTTTGTATTTTTCTCAGTCTCTAGTCTCAACTCTCAACAAGTGTATTTCATGTATTACAGTATTTTACCTTGATTTAAGTTTTGTTACTCTTATGAACAAATCAGCTAATTATGATTTTCTTTTTCTTTGTTTTAGATGACGAGCCTGAAAGTAACAAAGTTCAGGAAAAGCATCTTTTCTCCAATTTAGATAAACTGTTGAGAAGAAACAAAATTAACAGGGATCTTAGAGTACAAATTTTTAAAGAAATAGAGAACATACTTGAAGAAGTCCGTTCAACTGGTGATGTTGATATCAAGCCAAGTTAAAATAGATGAAAACAAAATTAACAAATGATTCCATAAGTTAAAAAACACTCATTAGAGGGCATCGTATTCCCATCGCACAGTTGTCATCGATCCTTCATCATCATCACCATCATCATCGTCATCATCATTATATTATTATTACATACTGACCTGTGAACATGTTTATGAATTTTCTGTTAATGTTAACAAAAATTTTTCTGTTATCATTGTAACAACCTGCAAAGAACTTTAGCTTTGCATCTTTTTTCGTTTTCTTTTTTCGTCTGTTACCTTTTATTCATTTCGCCTCTTGCTTTTTCTCTCTTCACCATTTCTTATGGTTCTTTTTCTCTGTTTCTACTGATCTCCTTGTATCACAATCTGTTTTTAATTTAATAAAAAGCAATTCTTCCTTGTATTATATTGCAAAAATTTAAAGTTACATTTGTATTTATTGCGCCAAATTCCTACCATTACAAAAATTCATGTAAATTATGATACAATTCATAGACTGATCATTTGAATCTTTTGAATGATGGATCAAGCTGTCAAACATTAAACGCAAATAACTTGATACTCATATTAATAATTTTGCATTTTTCTTTTATTATGAATCTATTCACAAATCGTTATCTAGTTTAAAAATTTATCTTCAAAGATATTTTTGTTGATGAACTAAGCAATAATATAGATAAATATCATGTTGATTCATACAAACAAATTCAAGCACCAAATGTAGACAATACCGTTCGTCTGAAATAGGAAGCCACACTTGTAAGAGCATAAACTACAGTGTCTCGTTTGATGTATCAACAAGTCCAAAATTATCGGTTGAAAATTGACGCCAATTCCGCGTTGTTTGGCTCTTAATAATTCTTACTACCTCAGCAACCGTGCCTTGATGATGGTGACAATGGGAATGGGAAAACTCAAGACTCAAATCAATATGCTGATATGAGAATCAAAAATCTTCAGTACAAAGTTAGCCAATTGATTTCTGAGAATGCTGAACAAGCTCTGAAAGAAAAGACTCAGTTAGTAAATTTACTCCAAGAAATATAATTTTAAGCAATTTAAAGGAAGCTTACGATCTAATGATTTCTTCCAGTAGATCATCTTTAAACAGATCGCCAATCATTTGCTCCAATCTCTCCTAGAAGCATGAAAACTGAATCACGTTTAAATCAAATTTTACTTATACCGATGCGTATATCGACGATCAAATGGGTAACAGAGATGAAGGCGAGTTATCGTATGATGTGTGATTTAAAAGAACTGAGAAGGACACAATTCTTGATTTTCTAGGCCGCGTTCGTGAAATGGTTGAAAGTGTTCAAATTGAGCTGGAGAATGGCTTGAAATTGAGTCATTTTCAAGATAATTGAGTCGAAATCGAAGTTTTTTTGCTTATATTCAACCAGCTCATTAAAATTGAACCAGCGCATCTTTAAAATAACGGGTTTTCATCGCAGAATTTACGATTTTTTAACTTCAACACAGTTTGAAATGCTTGTTGTTTCCCACCAATTGCTCATCTACAAATCAAAAAATGGAAATGTAATTAAATAAAATATATTTATTGGAGGAAAATTTATTTGATTATCTTTTATAGTGTTATGCGAATTTGGTTTCACAAATAATTTTAATAGCAAAAGTAAACCGGCGTATTGACGATTAACTTACATTTCAATATTTGTTGACAGTTAAATGTATCATACATGTAATTTCATAGTCATGTATTTTCGTTGCTGAATATTGATACTGCTAGATGAACTGATGAAAAATCATTAGACAAAAACATAATGCAAAACCCGACTTGTTGCACTTCAGAGGATTAAGTTTCTCGACAAACGTTGTCGTGATACACTTTTTAAGAAAACAAAAACATTGAATAGCACATGTAAACAACTTGATGATAACTCTGAATGAAAAGATCATTCAGCAACCCTGTAAATTACAAATTACCACAATGAGACTATTTTAACCTTTAAGATGAATTAAAACTTTGAATTTAAAAGTGACATTAAAAAAACTTATCTTTTTATTTTTTAGCTGACTAAGCTGCTTGAAAATGGTTTATTAGCTGAGTAATTTTTGACTAGCTAGAAAATATTACATTGATATCAGTAGTCAAGCTGCTTTCTCTGTTTAAGCTACAATCGATACATCTGTTTCTGTTTAATTTCTAGTCATCTGATTTTTCTTGCTTTCTGAGTTATCTCTCAATCAATTTATTTTGTGAAGCTTAGTTTCCAGACAATTATCTTTATATCAATTGTTGCATTCAGTTACACCTTTAGAACCTTTCATTAATATTTAGATTAACCCATTTTTCCATTATTTTCTATAACACCCTCTCTCAGTATTCCTATCTTAAAATCAACTCGGATAGCCCTTTTATCCGCAAAAAGGGCAATCAAAGGGATTCCTAGGATAATAAACAAGGCATCTTTACATTTATTTGAAATGGCACCTGGATCAAATAACGTTGTTATCGACGCTAAAGACGGTAATCATACGGCAACGGTAAGTCAATTATTTTTAATGGCAAGAATTACATCTACACAATGAATTTGCAGTGTGATGGATTACTACAAGTTTAATGTTTCAATCTCTTTCTCACCTCATTTATAGATTATTTTCCTCCATGGACTTGGGGATACTGGTCATGGATGGGCTGAAACTTTTGCGGCTATTAAACCTTCTTATTGTAAATTGATTTGTCCCACTGCTCCTGCTCAACCTGTCACCCTGAACGCTGGTATGATCATGCCATCATGGTTTGATCTTATGACCCTCACACACAATGGACCCGAAGATGCAGAAGGCATAGCAAAAGCATCACAATCAATCATTAAAATTATTGAGGAAGAAATGAGCAAACACAATATACCCGCGGAAAGAATTTTGCTCGGTGGTTTTTCACAGGGTGGTGCTCTCTCTTTGCACACTGGTCTTCGGTATTCTAAACCCTTAGCTGGTATCCTAGCTTTCAGTTGTTGGCTACCTTTACATAAAGATTATCCTGATGCTTTCGTTCAAGGCAATAAGGAAGTTCCAGTACTACAATGTCACGGTGAAGCTGATCCTTTGGTTCCAAAAATGTGGGGAAACATGACTGCTGATATTTTGAAAGGTTTTCTCAAAACTTTCGAGTTTAAAGTTTATAGAGGAATGGGCCATTCGTCTTGCAATGAGGTATTTTTTTAAGCATCCATATCTTTTAAGATGATTTAATATAATTTATGATGTGTACTAATTTAATTGTCATATTTTTTCAGGAATTACGAGACGCTGCTGCATTCATTTCCAAGTCGTTACCACCACTTTAAATTGATATCTCTCTATGAAAAAAGAGCTTTTCTCAAAGCTATTATGGGGTGCTTGAGTTTATATTGAGCTAACTGTACACTTCCATTGAAAAAAGCAAACTATCAAACAGTCTTCGCAATCATTAAATTAAATGTTCAAAATAGTTTTCTCAAAAGTATGCTGATAATCAGTTGACAAATTTCCTTTTCAACTATTTTTAATCCTCATATCCAATCACAGCATCATGATATGAAATTCGTTCTGTTTTCGTTTTTAAGTCAATTAAATTTCAAATGATTCTATCACCTGACTTTAAATGTTTCTCTTCGTTGAAATGCATTCAATATTTTCAAATAACCAAATTAAAGATTTAGATCGCTGTTCTTGAAAACAAAAACCTCTGACAAAAACAAATCAAACAGGAAAATATTACGGCGTCTCCTTTAAACTCAATAAATATCTCTTTACCATTTTTTTCCTTGTATTATATTGCAAATATTGGAAGTTACATTTGTATTTATTGCGCCAAATTCCTATCATTACAAAAATTCCTGTAAATTATGATATAATTCATAGACTGTTCATTTGAATCCTTTGAATGATGGATCAAGCTGTCAAATATTAAGCACAAATAACTTGATACTCATATTAAATTTTAATTTGGCATTTTCTTTTATTATGAATCTATTCACAAATCGCAATCTAACTTAAAAATTTATCTTCAAAGATATTTTTGTTGATAAATATCATATCGATTCATTTATCATTTGTTTTGTGCTAAAAAAAGTCAAACTGTCCATGAATATTATCCATATCTGTATCCAGTCGAACAATGATTTTGATTCTTGAATCTTAATATTCGAGTGATCAATATTATGGAATATAAATTTCATTAATATAACTGCAATAAATACAAAACATATAATACAAGATCAGGTTAAATTTTGCGGTTCACGCCAATACTATAATCAAATAAGGAAGGATTAGGGAATAGTCCTTCTTTATCGATGTAGAAAGATCCTCTTTTACCCTTAATTTTGATAACCACGAATGGTGCTTTAGCGTTAAGACGAGCTTGAATACAGGAAACATGATTTAAAGGAACTTCGAAAGAGTATTGAGTTCTTGATAAAGGTAACCTATTGAGAGCCATGAAATGCACCGTTCTACCATCAGCTTTTATTTCTATTCTTGTTATTGTCCTCCAAAGAAAATATTTATTGACAGAAAATGCCACAATTCCCATCATCGCAAAAGCTATAGTAATAAGCCAACGATTTTTCAACAGGAAAGGTACTGGACCGCGATGTTTACTTTCCTCGGGAAGGCTTACCAAAGAAACAACAAAAGTTGATCCATACACACAAATACAAGCACCAAATGTAGACAATACCGTTCTTCTGAAATAGGAAGCCACACTTGTAAGAGCATAAACTACAGTGTCTCGTTTGATGTTATCAACAAGTCCAAAATTATCGGTTGAAAATTGACGCCAATTCCGCGTTGTTTGATTCTTAATAATTTTTGCTGTACCCATTTGTTTAAGTTTACAAGGTATAGTCATGACCCTTTTTATACTGAGTTGAAAAATATTATTAACTGATAACATTTTGAACTAATTTAATCCAAACTTTTCAACACAAATAATTTTATATGAAAAAATATTAAAGTCACAACAGTAAATAAATTAAATACAGTTAACCATGCTTTTCATATACCTATTGAGGTTGTTTTGCTTTTCCAGTGCGCTCACATCGCAGAGATTTAGATTTACTCTGAATAGAGCGGGTTTTTTGATAATGCATTTTTCGATGAGAGAATGATTCAATTCTCGTCGGTTTTTTTGTTATTCATTTTTCGGAGATATTGGTTTTGATTTGTCTCTTCAAGTTTTTCTCTTTTCAGTTGGTTATAAATTGTGAATATTGTTTCAGAACATTGGTCATTAAAGAGATAAGTTATTTGTTAATGATTTTTATGAATTTAGCAACAATGTCGGAGACTTGGATTTCCAGATTTTACTGGTTCTTTTCATTTTTTTGATAGGATAAAGATACCGGTGAGAAGGTTGAAATATCAAGAAATTTATGAAATTTAAAGTTTATTATTGGATCAATTGTGTCGATTGAAATCTAGCTTTTCTGAATGATATGATGACTGATCTGTTGCTCTGAGACTTAGATTTCCAGATTTTACTGGTTCTTGTTAATTTATTTGGTTCTTGTAGTAGTATTATGTCAATGTTGTCGGTGATATTTTGGATATTTAGGGTTTTAATTGCTGATTTACCAAAGTTTAGATTTGATTTACAGATTTTACGATAGATTAATAAGTTAAACAGCACCATCTAGGGAATAAGAAAAAAGAAAAAATCGATTTCTTTTCATTAAGCTACTAGTGGATGGAGCTACTTGTTATGATCTCGCCTTTATATGCCTTTAACAGCCATGAGATAAATGTTCCATCACTCAGAAGTCGGCCATTTTACTTTTGAACAAACCATTTTTTCTAGTTGGTTCCGTTGAAATTTTTTGTGTAAATTTTTGCTCTTACATGTTTTTCTGCTCTTATATGTTTTTAGTGTTAAATATCACTATTTAATTGAAATCATCTACAACTTCAGTATATTATTGTATTATGTCATCGACTCCAGCAGAAGATGCTTTTCAGAAAGCTCTTGAACGTGCTAAAGCAGTAGCCACTAAATTAACTGGAAATATTACCGGCAAAAGGGCGGCTGAAGATGATGGTGGAGCAGAGGCCAAACGTCCGCAACTGAGTGACCCTTTTGGTGCTCAATTAGCTGCATCTAAACTTCAAGGACAACAGCAGCAGCAACAGCAGACCCAACATCAGCAACAACCATTACAATCGCCACCACCACAGCAACAGCAACAGCCGCCTCAGCAGCAAGGGGACTCATCCAGACCGCCGATTACTAATGAGTATGGAACTTCTAGGCAAATCAATAGGGAAGTTCCGGTTCCTCCTCAATTCATAGGATTAGTTATCGGAAAACGGGGTGATAGTATAAAATCAATCCAATCAACCACCAATACAAAAGTTCAATTTGACTCTAATAGAGTGGACGATAATGGTTGTAAGATCTGTAAAATCACCGGTGAATTAGAGAACGTGAATCGAGCCGAGAAAATGATTCAAGAGATCATTGAAAATTCTCGTAACATGCAGGTATGTGTTAAGGAAGTCAAACACGTTGTTGAGTTCCGCTTATGATAATTTTGTTCTTCCTCAAGCAGCAACAGCAGCAACAACACCAACAACAGCATTCCGAAGGAAACGTTCGTGAACACCATGGTTATGATCGCGATATGAATCGTGATAGAGACCGTGATCGAGGGGGTGACAGAGGAGGTCGAGGTGGTGGAAGAGTAGGGGGAGGAGATAGAAGAAGATTTGAAGGAGAAGAAGTCGTTATGAATGTTCCAGTGAATCGTGTTGGGGTAATCATTGGTAGAGGTGGTGAAACCATCAGATCAATTAAGCAACAATCAGGTTGCCACATTGAGACAGATAAAAATTCCAAAGGAGTTATTATCATTAGAGGACCTCCAGATCGTATTGGAATTGCCCAGCAATTGATTAATGAAAAAATTAATAAAGATACTCGTCACAATGACCGAGGAGGAGGAGGAGGAGGATATGGGTATGTTTCAACATTGATTTTAAATTTGAATTTTCTTATTGATTGCTTGAATTGTATTCCAGAAGACAAAGTGGTGATGATAATAGAAACAACCAATATCAGCCCTATAACCAATCTCAGATGTACAGGTACTGGTTTAAATTCTTTTTTCCCAGTTTACCATTTCATTTCATTCCTCCACCCTTAGACTATCTAAGGTTTGCTTTTCTCGAACCTTTGATCAAAAAGGGTGGATAGAGAAAGTCTGTATTGTGTATAATGGCAATCCTATGCCCGTTTGTCATTAAAGGGTTAAATGCAGTTACAAGCTATCTTGAATATTTATCAACATTTCTATGTATCAAATTACAAATTAAATTTTCTTTTTTTATCTTTTAGTAATAATAGGCACTATAATCCCACTCATCAACAAGCACCACAGCATCATCCACAACAACCAAGTCAACCTGCTCAGCAGCAATACTGGCCTAACTATTACTACCCCGATCCATCTCAAAATTCCACTGATAGTAAGTTTATAATGGACGAAATTTGATACCAATCTGCGCCGACTTAGAGCTCATTTCATATTTCTGCCGTGAAATGGGTGTCAATCTGTGCAAGATTAATTTATCTTTTAGTAACCAATGTCTGGCTTTAAAAGCAATTTAGATGTAGAGGTTATCCTTTTATCTTTTTTGTTTCATAAGGCTTGGTAGGTTACCTCGAAGTTAACAGATTATCTAATATTTTTTTCCACTTCACTTTTCATTTATAGCAACAAATCAACATCCGAACTCTGCGGCGTGGGCAGCCTATTATGCGCAAACTCAAGCTCAGCAAATGGCCTCAACTATACCAGTGAGTAATTCAATGTTTAATATTTTGAGTAATCTTCGGCACAACAGTTATATTCAGCTCTCTTCCCATTAATGGGTTTCAGCTTTAACTTTGTGCCAAATTGATTCCTCGATTTTCCTGCGTCCGTCTTTATCAATTTTGAAAGTATTGGGCTTCGTATGACAGGGACAATCATAACTTTAAATTTCTGTTTTGTTCTTTTAGTCAACCCCCGGCACTCAAAATGGTAGTGAACAACCGCAACAAGATTATACTGCTCAATGGATCCAGTATTATCGTATGTATGGAATGGTTAAGGAGGCTGAGATGATTGAACAAATGGCGGAACAAATGAAGAAAAGTGCTACCGATAATGTACAAATGTAAATTTGAAGAGTATCTGAGAATCAGGAATTATTAATGTAGTTAAAGATCAATATTCAACTTTTAATAATAATAATAATAATTGAATACAAAGCCCTTGATGTTGAGTTGAAAAGGAGTCAATTTTATTTCGTCTTGGACTCAATTGATATGTTTTTTTAACTTGGTATGTTTTGATCATGACTTTAACTGTTAAATGCTAAGATTAATTTTTTCGATACTTTTTCTTTTTATTTTAATTTAGTTGATTGTTGATGACCGATTCACTGGTATGATTTAATTGGTCAACTTGAGGCACAAATTTTAGCTAAGATCCAGAACAGCTTCAAAAAGCCATGTCAATTATAATCAGATTCTTCTGCATGGTATGTTCATTAATTTGTTTTATTTTTTATAGTTTGTTATAGTTTTTATAGTGCAATAGTTTATTTGTTTCTGATCGTTTAATAAGTCTTTTAAATGTATTCATTTCAATAGACGAAAGTTGAAAGTACAATCACATCTGGACTCGTGCATCTCGGAATTGAAGCATATCTCTCGTTTAATGGAGAGATCGGAGAAAAATTTTGTCGAAAAAGAATATCATCTGTATTGTTCTTCATACCTTAAACTGACGCTCTTGTACACAATCATCTTTTATTTATTATACATCTGTAAATACCTTTGTGTTAGCAAGAGATGTTCAATTAAAATTTAAAATTGAACAATAACTGTTCAGTTCCCTTTTTCTACTTTGTATTCTTTCGTATTTTCTACACATCAAAATCTAATCAGAAAATAATATGAAATTGAAATTTTATTCTGTCAATGTTTCATTATTTTTCAGTTAATTATCATGAATTCCCACTAATTTATCATTGTTGAATCTTCAATCAAATATCAATCTTAGATCGAAACTCATCCTTCAAACTTCCCTTAATTGTCTAAAGATCTCACTATTTTTAAATCATCAATGTATAATTATTTTTATTTTAGTTTTAATTTTAAGTAATTAGCATCATGTTTTTTATTGGAAACTATGTAATCAGTTATATTCAGCTCAAATTTCCTATGAAATTAAGTTGGCCAATAATTGGAAATCCAGAAAATATGACTCGTAGATGGAAATCTTTTGTTCAAATCAACATTGAACAACAATGCGACTCAAGTCTGCGAATTGTCGGAATTTTTATGAGCAAAAAGTCTCCATTAAAATTATTTTGTTAAGTTAGTTGAACTGCCATTCTTTTGTTCCTCTGCTTTCACCTTTTGATTGACAAGTTTCCCTTATTGTAACTTAACCAATCAAAAGAAATGGAAACCCGTAAATTAACAATAAAGGTGGTTGCTCTGCTACAAAATTGATCATCTTCAGGTGTTAATCATTTCGGAATTGCTTTGCAGTTGAGTAAAATGAATGAAACATTTTTACCGTTTCAATTTCACATTATTTTTTCATATCAAAGCTAAATAGTCGATAAAAAACTATGTTTAGTAAAAATTATGTTTATCTGAAAGATAAACGGTTTCCTCGTTTAATTGTTATCAAGACTCGTCAATTCAACAATTCAACGAGATTTTTTACAGAAATATGGCCCGTTCACGAGGATACCCAAAATAACCTTTTATATATCAAAATTATGCTCATGTTATTTGGATTAAACATGTTTCCAGTTAGCGGTCTTTGGAGTTTATTCAATTATATATTCTTATTATCGAGTATAATCTCTCAAGTTTACCAATTCTGTTGGTCAATTGTTTTATTCACCTATTCAGATGATCCAATCAACTCCGTACTGTGGACATTCCAAGCAGTGTATGCATTCGCCATTAGATTCATACTTCTCCGTCGAGCCAAAAGAATCTATTCAGCGTTGGTTGTTATGACTAATTTGGTTCCTTTTGGTGAAAATAAATTCCGTCGTTGGTCCATTATCTGTCTCCTATTAACGTTGTCAACCATGTTGTTTGATTTTCTTCGACTTGTTATTTGGTTCATTTGGGGTCCAAACAAGGAATTGATTGACTTGTACACCAGTATTTTGAGCGATTTTGATCTAAATCTTCCTCTTCCAGTTGCTGCTTGGACTGATTTCTGGACTTATTGTTATGCCACAATTGGCTCTTTAATTGTCTCCAAATCATTTTATCTATTTACATTTCATCTTGCCTCTGAATGTTACCAATCTTTGTATACATTTTGCTTGGAGTACACTTCTGACCCGAAAAGGATTCGCTACATTAGCTTGATGTATCATAAAGTGTACAATTTGAAAGATGACCTTAACGAAGCCTTGAGTTCCCTGCCATTTTTCTGGTATTCACAGATTTTTTTTGAGACGACATCACAAATTGTGCGCAACACCACCGATATTTCTACATTGGACTGGTCCAAAGTGTTTTTCCGTTGGGGCTCCTATTTAAATTTGCTGATTATCACAATTTACATTACTTATCAAGTTGACAAGTTTACTATAAAAGAGATTTCAATTGTTGGTAAAATTATTCAATTGTTATCGGACACAAGGACTGCCAATGAATGCAAGGCTCGCCAATATGCTGTTGATAGATCCATTCTGATTGTCCAGTTAATACAAACACCAACAGTCATTCCAAGTGCGTGGAACTCGTTCAATATTGATCGGAAACTTCTTGTTTCTTTTTTTGGTGCTGTTGTCCCATTTTCAGTGATGTGCCTAGAGTTTCAGCAAATAATCAACAGATGATCATCAAAATTATTGCGGAACAAGATGTAATCATTTGCAATGTGAAGCAATAATCATCTGCAGACAAAACTAATCCAATGACAGCAGATTTTATCCGAGTCTCCTGATAACAAAAATTTGATCGATGATGAATGAATTACAGAATTTTAATACAAATACAAAATAGACAAATGTACCGAATGAAATTGTAAAAGCAGGGAAAAATGATGGATTAGGTTTAGCGCCATTTCTAGCTGCAGCTTGTTCCATCTCTCTAGAACTAGAGGTAAAATGGTCACAGGTACGTTAAACATTGCCTGTATTTAAAAAAATTAAATCATTAATATTCAAAGTAACTTCGAAATAGATAATTTCATATTTTTGAAAGAAAAATTTATTACGAACTTTCAGTTTCTCATGATTCTTTCTCCCTTCTAATTGTAATGTAAATAGAGGTGTAAAGTCAGACAGTTTTATTGAAAAATTATTTAAGTCCTACATGTCTGAATATTATAATTATAATAGTCTAATATGAATAAAAGGGTAGCTCACCTTATTCATGTCATTCAAAAGATAAATTTACTATTCTGAGCAAACCCATTCTTATTGAGAAAATTTATAAAAATTAATAATTTCTGTGAATGCTTCATGAATATGAATTAAATTATTTAATTATCATGAGTAAAGAGACTCTGTATTAATTTATTTTACATGTATATAAAATGTGACAAGACAACAAAATTTCAGATGATTTTTATATAATTAAGTAAAATTAATAATAGCGCACATAAGTTGTGCCATTAGTTATTGGTTTATGCCCATTCAATAATAAACTGTTATTAAGTAAAGCATTACCATTATGATTAACAGTTCCGTTCATTGAGCCGTTCATTTTTGAGTAAACAGGTAAACTGTGTTTAGCTGCATTTTGTTCATGTTTTGCTCTATTATAAAGTAAAACACCAGTAACAGCTGTACACATACCGAACATATTTGTAAATGTGATTGGATTTTTCATCGTGATTAAGCTAACTATGATAATTGCAATTCGTTTGGAACTATTGGCAACACTGTAAGTTAACGGTGAAACCAATGAAAGAATGGTAAAAGCTATTATGTTTTGTAAGAAGGTGAGAAAACCGTCTATAATGAGATAAGCATAGAGATGATGGGGAATCTCCGTGGTTGCTTTAAAGATGGAGAAGAGGTCCATGTAAATCCATGATGGTATGGAGATAAAGAAAGCATATTTGGCGAGAATCGATAAAAGAGCCAAATGATGGAGTCCAGGTCTTTCTTTCATCACATTTTTTGAGAAAATATTCAACAAGGAAACGATGAATGAAGAGAGTAATGCGAAAGTTAATCCAACTAAATTAAAATTAAGCTCAGTGACAGTTGCGATTGAAACACCGGCTACAATTGGTATGATTGATAAATAAACCTGGGATGAGAAAAAAATAAAGGAATTAGAAAGGCGATTAAACTTGTTGGTTGTTGCTAAAAACAAGCAATTTCATTCATAACGATCAGTGAGAAAAGACAAAATCAGAAAAAGCTGAGTTAAAAAAGCAAGGGAAATCGGAAATAGATTGAAACCAGTTTACGATAAAGGAAGGATTCATGAAGAAAGGCAAAAAAGTAAGAGTAAATTTTGATTAGGTTCAATTTGATACCTGTCGTCAAAATTTACTGTAACGCAGAACACGTCTGAAATAGTTGATTGAGGCACTTTTTAGATGGATAACGCTATAGTCTTTAAAAATGTTAATTTAGCTTGAAGCACTGAAGCTTTAACAGTTTTACAAGCTGTTCGATACTAATAAAATGATTGTCCAATTAAATAATTATAATTATCAAGACAGAATAACCAGATGAATTCAGCAACCAGCCTGTCAATACAGGAAATTGAAAGGTTCTTACTTTGGTAGTTTGTTTTTCTCCATTTATCAATCGAGATAAAAATATCACAAATAACGGCATTGTTGATTTGACTGTGAAATGAAAAAAACATGTAAGTTAAACGGGCCTGAACGAAGTCTGCTTCAATTATGGCTTACCTGTATGTGAATAGCTTATTGGAACTTTCCAAATTGAAATGTGAGATGATAGGGCTGCGGCAAATTTACCCAATGCTAAGGGCAAAATCATCCGCCAGAAATACCTTCTCTCAAATGTAACTTGTTTTTCACTTGCTTTGAGGTACATCAGGATAGGTTTCAAGAAGACGTAAATTGAGGACAATTGTACAATAGATACGGTCATTGGGAATGGAAAATGGGTTAAGATGGTTTTGCTAACAATTGCATTGCTTGATGAGACGGAATACCATAATATACATAATATCACAATGATGAGCTCATTTTTTGGCAAGACTCTCATTTTAAGGTTATAAAAATGAGATTGTTGAATATATTACTAAATCACCTATTTAAATTAAATACAAGCAAATGGATAACCAACAGAAACCAAGACTGAACGTAGATCAATCCAGTATTTGAGTTGGATTAGTATTCACAATAAAATAAACATTTTCAACAGAAACTAATCAAATAAACGTTAGGTAATCAGAAAATTACCGGGTATTTTCACAAGATAAGAAGATGAAGACATGATGACTTTTTATTCCACAATAATGTAACAAAATGGTAAAAAACAATTAATTCGGTGAATTTTTAAAAATCTTTGGAGATATCAGGGGCTAGACATGATTATTTCTCAATAAAACTGGTAACTTATTAATTAACAATAACGATTTAACGAGAACAAACAAAAATAATAAACCAAGATGTTTTATAAATGTTGCTTACCACGTAAACCAAACATGATCATTGATCATTCTTACCTTGCACAGGCGCAATTACAGTACTCTTACCTGCTTGCTGTTTTATCTAATGCGCTCTGTATTTCAATCGTAACTCACAACTGTCAATGACAGATTCAATCGTTCACAACTTCGTGTCAAAGCGCTTTTGAATAAATACGCTTCACATATTGCATATTTCTGGCCTGATAAACCTAGTTTTTCCTGCCAAGTACTCCTAGCTAATCACTAATATTGATAAAACTTCAGTGATTAAATTGGTGAAAAAATGTTGGATAGGATTTGGTCATCGCACCAGAATGGGTTTAAAACTATGAACCAAATCCTCTCCTAAATCACTTTGATAAATTAAATCATCTATGGCCAAAAATTTCTTTTCCTAGATACTCTCTTGAAATTCGCTACTCTACGGATCCGGTAAACGACCAGATAATTTTCCTTAATAATTGAACACGTGTGATTAATTTTCCTGTTTAATTGTGCTTTAATTGCTTACTAGCCTTTTATGATTGTCAACAACCATTCAAGGTTGAAATGGCGATTCTTTCAAATTGCACAGGACACTGAAACACAGGACAGGAAATTAAACTTGATTTTTCAATGAAACAGTGACTAGGGACCGTTTAAAAATATTATAAAATAAAATATAATAAATGGACAACTTTGGTATTGTTCACTAGTAGACCAGCTGATTTCACCTAATCTTTCTCCATGTTAGAGATTTGAAAGGTTGAACTTTGCTTATAAATAATTTAATTCTGATGAGTTAAATCCTAAACTAGATGTAGAGTTTAAACTCCTTGTTCAACATTTCATAGCCTTTCTTTCTTTCATTATCTCTGGAGTTGTTCAAAACATATGATGAACCTGGTTGTCTATCCTGTTTGAGTTGTCTTTTTTTGATTTTAATTCCCTTTTTGTGTACACTTAATTATGGATCATCTGCACAATGGGAGTAAAGTAAGGAAAAGGATAATCAAATTAACCATATTGTCATCTGAAAGCCTGAAATGAAATGGAAATAATAAGAAAGGTTAGTCCTAAATTCATTATCCTCTTGGTTTTGCTTGCAATATCTTTGTGTTAATTTCCTATCCTATCGTGTTCTGTTTTATTTCAAATGGCTACGTCAAATCATTAGTAGATCAAGATATGATTGAATGATAATTCACATGGTGATAAATAATCTGGCGATAACACAATTGAACATATCTAGTTGATCACATTTGATGAGTTTCCCTTTTCTCCTGCTAGTTTGTCTTTTTGTTGAAAATTATAATAATCCTCTTCAACAAGCGTTTCTATTTATTTATTTTACTATTTTCTACTGTTATGGAATCTAGTTGTATTTTTATGAAATGGATTGTGGTTTATCGATTATTTATTAATTTTTTTAATGGCAGCTCATGTGAAAATTCATCTTTACATTACCTGTGATTGTGATGTAAACTACTTTTCCTTCTGATTTCGACAGCTCAACTTGCCACTTACTAATGAACTTATTGATAGTGATAAATCAGGTGGATATAGTTCTCATCTACTACTGATCATCGATAAGCTAATGTTGCGCTAGAACAATGTAAATTCAGAGTTCTCGTTCAATCAATTACGTGGAATAAATAATAATATCTTGTATTGTTTTTAATTTCGTTTCCAGATCTAGTGTAATCCAGATCATTTCATCCGGATTAGCAGAATGCTGCGAATTTTCAGAAAGAGAAGTAAAATTCTCTATGTAACCTGGTTGCTGGGATTAGTGTTTTTAACTGGATCATTCTACTATGTGTTTTCATTCCGCAATGCTTCAGAAAAAGATCGACTTCAGAGCAGTTTTCGTCTCACTAGTGAAATACATACGCGGTTACAAGAACTGGAAGGTGGCCTAAAAGAAAATCGTATTCTTCTCGATGATATCCGTAACAATATTGCACAAGTTTCAAAATCTCTTCACATTAAATTCTATCAGCATCCTGATCAAAAAGTTTTAGTACCTTTAAAATATTGTGAGAAATCAGCAGGTAAGAAGATTTTGCTTTTGTACTCTGATTGCTCATATGCGTATCTAATAATTACATTTTATTTTTTAAAGAAGAGGAACAAAATTACAAGAACGGTTTTAACTTAACGATGGAAGATGTTTATAACATGAATAATTTTGAAAATGTTAATGGAGGAGTTTGGACGCAAGGTTGGGATATTCAGATTAACCAAAGCCGTTGGATTGAGGATAAATTGAAAATTTTTGTCGTGCCACACTCTCATTGTGATCCAGGCTGGTTGAAAACGTTTGACCAATACTTTCGCGATCAAACCCGGCATATATTGAATAACATATTGAAAAAGCTTCAAGAGGATCCAAGTCTTAAATTTATTTGGGCAGAGACCAGTTTTTTTGCTGCTTGGTGGGACATTTTGAAAAGTGAAGATGATCGAGAAGCAATAAAAACTCTTTTGGATAATGGACAGCTAGAAATTGTTACCGGTGGATGGGTTATGAATGATGAAGCCAATACCCATTATTTTGCAATGATATCTCAAATGGTTGATGGTCATGAATGGTTGAAAAATGTTTTAAATTATAAACCACGTTATGGCTGGGCCATTGATCCTTTTGGTCTTTCACCAACAATGGCCTTCCTGTTGAAAAAAATGGGTCTCAAAGCAATGGTTATCCAGCGAGTTCATTATTCTATCAAAAAATACCTTGCCCAGAAACAATCACTTGAATTCAAATGGCGGCAATATTGGGAAACAAACAATGTACCCAAAGATGATATCTCTTGTCACATTGAACCTTTTTATTCTTACGATGTACCACACACCTGTGGACCAGATCCAAAAGTATGCTGTCAATTTGATTTCAAACGTTTACCACCAAACAGATTACACTGTCCATGGAAAGTTCCTCCTCAAAGGATAACCGATCAAAATATAGCTCAACGTGCGGCAATGCTTGTTGAACAATATCGTAAAAAGGCTACGCTTTACAGAAAAAATTCCCTTCTTGTTCCATTAGGTGAGTTTATTTGCGTTTCAGAGTATTTACTCACAGCTGTATAATGTAGCTTCTTTATTCTTTTCCATTATATAGTTGACTTATAATTTGTCATCTTTTCTTTCCATTCATGCTATCACTACGTTATCCCTTTAGGTGATGATTTTCGGTTTGACAAGTTGGTTGAATGGGACAACCAAGTAACTAACTATCAGAAACTCTTTGACTACATCAATGCCAAAACGGATTGGAATATTGAGGTTTGTTGAGATAAATAATGAAAATTTATCCATCGATTTTTTACATCACCTCACCCTTGTATTGTTATAATAACAAACAGTCATTTGCATTCATTGACATTTGTTTTCTTTCTGAATTAGATTAAATGGGGAACTCTATCTGATTACTTTGAATCTTTTGATGATTCTGATTTGCCTGCACTTAGTGGAGATTTTTTCACATACGCCGATCGTGATGACAATTATTGGAGTGGTTTTTACACTACTCGACCTTACTTCAAGCGTTTAGACCGCATCTTAGAAAGTTATGTTCGTGGAGCAGAAATACTATTCTCTATTGGATCAATGCTTTCTGATATTGATGCAACAGTCAAAGACAGATTGTCAAATGCCTTAAATGTAGCTCGTACTAATTTAGCCATTTTTCAACACCACGACGGTATCACCGGTACAGCAAAAGACCCAGTGGTTAATGATTATGGATTTAGGTAAAAAGTGGTTTTAAACATCGTATTGAACTTATTCAACTTGATTTTTAAAATTTAAAATTTATCAATTTTTTAATCCTTTTTATTTTTCTTCTCCTTAGAATGATCACTTCTCTTCAAAATTGCCAAGCCATAATTAGCACAATGAGCTTCTACCTTTTGCATCTTCCTTTAACCGAACAAAACACTGTGCCATTAACAATGATCGATCTCTTTCCAAATCATAATTTATTATTGCCCATCAAAGATGTGATACAGATTAATGACCAGTCACCTAGGTAAGTGAAATGAATACAAATATTATAATGTTTTATTTATACATTTTTTTACATATTTTACACAGACATTTAGTAATTTACAATTCACTTGGTATGCAAAGAAAAGAGCTTATTTGTATATTAATACCCAAAAATATCTCTAATTGGATTATACGAGATCATAACGGAAAAATGGTTGAAGAAGTACAAGTTAATCAAGCTTGGGATTACACAACACTTCTAGATGATATTGCTGAAGCATGTTTCTTTGCAGATCTAGAACCACTATCATTAGTTCAATACACCATCGAAAAATCTGACACCAATTCTAGCTATGAATCGAGTACTAATTTTTTGTACAATTTTCCTGACGATCCAAAATCTCCTCCTGCTGCCATGGAACTAGAAATGGAAGGTGTCAAATTACTTTTCAATGGAGCTGACGGAATGCTTCGTAAAGTAATCTTACACCAAGGAGATTTTTTCAAAACTCTTGATTTACGATTAAAATTTATGTTTTACGGGACAAGAGCAGGGAACAAAAAGGTTGAAAAAAGTGGCGCTTATTTGTTTCTTCCTGATTCAGCTGAAGCTCAAGACATGGCTTACTCCAAGCCCTTAATAAGAATCACTGATGGACCATTGGTTAGCCGAATGGAGATATTAATTGACAATGCAATGAAATTAAGACATCAAATAACATTAGTCCGAGGAAAACCTTATTTCGAGATTGAAAATGAATTCCATATGGTTAAAGGTTCCTTTGATAATAAGGAACTTCTGCTGAGATTTTTCTCTGATGTTCAAAATGATAATACTTTTTATACAGATCTGAACGGTTTTCAGGTAAATCGCAATCATTTCTTTTGTTTTCTTACCTTTTGTAATTGTATCTAATTATTTTTATTTTCATAATCAGATGGTTAAACGTAAATGGTTTGAAAAACTCCCGGTTCAAGGAAATGTTTACCCAATGCCTAGTCTCATGTACATAGAAGATGCTTGGACCCGATTAAATATACTTTCAGCTCAACCCTTAGGCGTAACTAGTCAACATCCAGGAATGATTGATATCTTCTTAGATCGTCGTTTACTTCAAGATGATAATAGAGGGGTCGGACAAGGTGTTACCGATCATCGACGAACTCGTGAAAAATTCCGTGTTGCCATTGAAAATCGAGGCCTAAATTCACTCAAGCCAACAAGCCATGTACAGCGAGAGCTGTTAAAACTTCTCAATGAACCTTTTCTTATGCAAAGCTATGCTTCCAGTAACCATGGAGAGGTACAGTTTATGCCTTCTTCATTACCATGTGATGTTCACCTTCTTAACTTTCGAAGCGATTTAAGTACTTTGAATGAATTTTATTTATTTCTCCATCGTTTTGGTTCAACCTGCGAGTCTCAGTGTCCATCATCTCACCCATTCACTTTACTTCCTCATCTTTCACGCAACATTATCAGTGCTATTCAGCCAACCATGTCCTCACTCAGCCTGTCATTGAATCATGTTTTGAATTCAAATCTCAACATTTCCAGTCATCAAATTAATTTGGACCAAATGGACTTTGCTGTTTTTTCACTAAAATTGAAATAGAGTATAATTTCAACAAAAAAAGGATTGCTTTAATTTGCAACATTGTGACTCAAAACATCATTCAAGAGATTAATTTACACAATTTTCAATTGGTAGACTTTCATTAATTATTATTAATTTAACTATCAAGTATTTTATATGATAAAAAGTCTGTGATAAAAGTTTATCATTTTGTTTTAAATTAAAAAGTGCAAATTATATTCTAAAACTTTCCTCGTTCATATTTAATGAGCAACCTTTGAAATTTACTAATTATTGCTCAAATCATCATAGTTTAATATAATAAACGGATTCACCATTACTATTGTGCAAAGAAAATGTCTTTAACTCCACAACCAAAATTTTAATAACAATATAACAATTTTATCATGAATGATGTGATGGTAATTATGTATATTAATTCATGCGTTGGAGTATTTTTGAGCAGCAAAATGGTTCTCAGGTTGATCTGAATACACACTTTTAACAATCAACAAATTCATTTAGATCAAACAATACAGATATGTAAAGATATCGGAGAAGCTTCAAAATTAATGAAATATCTTGAAGAGTTTAAACTTTGCTTAAAATGGCCTTCAACTCGGTTTTCGTTCGTCTTGATCGATTGGTTGAAGTATTCGCATAAACAGATACAACAGCAAAGCGTTGAAGAATATAACTAACCCTGTAAATTTATATTTAACCAACCAATTAGTAGCAGCAGCTAAATGAACAGCAGGTCCAGTAGGTTGGTTCATTCGAGCTTCCCTAGCTTCATGAGCTAAAGTGGCTACCTTTTCCCTTTCCCATCCCGGTAACATTGGAACCTAAAATAAATTAAATAAGATAAATTAATTGATTTAAAAGGTACGATTGACCGATGAAAATGTGATCACCTCATGTAAATCATCTTGAGGAAGTGAATGTTTCTTTTTTCCAGCCATGTTTCTTAAAATAGCTTCTTCTTTAGCTGTTGAATCCGCAATGCCTAGACCTGCGGTTATTTCAGGCAAAGTTTGACGTCTCTCAAAATGGATTGGCGCATCAATTAAAGCATCTGCGAAAAAAAACAATCCAATTTAAAACCATGGGACAAGTAATTGAAACGGTCTCAACTTACTGGCTGTACTTTGGTTGTTTGGTTTTCTAATTGATGAACCACTTCGTCTCAGTCTTCCTTCACTATCCATTTTGCTGTTGACATCTCTATTAGGAGTGACTGACCGGCCCATTCTGTTCAAGTCGCCCGTTGATATATTTGTAAATTGTTGACTTAATGGACGACGAGGTTTCTCAGTATTAGGGGCATAATAATGATTAAAATGGTCAACGAAGGAACCTGTGTAAATAAAGAAAAAAATACGAAACAATGTTTACTAGAAATGAAATAGCTTCACTAATCAGAGCAATTGTATTATTATTAGATGTTATGAATTTTGGTTAAATCATGCATCAACATAGTTTAACAGGCCAAATTTGCTGGTTAACCATAATCATCTGATGATTCTCGAGTAAATTAATCTCGTAAAGTTCAACTAATCATTAGTCAATTTGAATGAATAAAACAAATTCTGTACTATGATTCATTTAAATGATAGTTAATAAAATCTAAACCACTCAGCGGTAAAAATGAATTGAAAATAAAAGATTGATAGAAATTTTAGGAAAGGTGAAAATAATTAGATTTGGTTAATTGTGCTCCTACCTGCTTCAACTGTTTCCTTATTGTTGAATATTTTTCTCGCTGGTTTAGGTACCGGTGATTTTTCCTTATTAGGTGGAGCTGGTGAAGATGCTCGTGATCTATTTGATCTAATTGTTTGCATATCGATTTTAAGAGTGTGACCAGAAGGTGACATTGGACGGTCAATGGGTGATAATGTTTGCTGTTGTTCGAATTTTTCGAGTTTTGGTGGCTTTTCTGGTTTTTCACTGTTACCCATTATACGTTGTATAAAAGAGGAACCAAAAGGTTTTTTGACTGTTTGTGGTTGTGGGCTTGGTGATCTTCTCGCTAAGTTAGTGAAAGACGATGAAAGGTTAAGGTTGGATCGACTCTGAGCGGGATCAATTCTAATCATTGGTGTTGGTTTAGGTTGACTTTTAGTTGATATGGGTCTAAATACTGTGTCTGATCGATTGTCTGTTAATTGCATAGTTTTAGGTGAGTAAACTCTCGGAGAGTATCGTCCATCCAAATTAGTAGAGTTTGTTTGATGATTAAAAGTAGATTGATTGAAAGGTTGATCCATAGGATGAGCTCGCTGTGGTCGTTTAGGTTGACTTAACATTTGATCTGCCATTCGATTCTTGTTCGTTTGTATTCTATAAGAAGGTGAAGCATTGGATGAGCCAAAAATCGGCGATTGTGATCTTGGAGTTACAGGTTTACGCCTTGGAGGAGCTGCAGGTTGTTTTAAGTTTGCTGTTTGCATCAAGTTGTGTTGATTGATTTTGGGTTTAATATTTTTTGAAGATGATGCTAGACTGGCCGAAGGTTGAATCATTTTTGATCTCAGGATTGACGATTGGGCCATTAAATCAGTTGGTTGATTCTCAAGAGATGGTCTCTTAAGATAGTTTGAATCAGGTGATGAGATTGGTTTTCCAGTGGATTGATGATTATATGGAACTGGTGTCGATATTTGTCTATCAATTATTTTAGGTGGTACATTGTAGTTATACTCAAGACTATTCAAATTTTCTGGAACAGGCGATCTAGATCTATTAATTTGTGGATCAACCTTAGTCATTCCAGGCTGAGTATAATTCGGCGACAACCTGTGCTGTTGATTACTAACATGAACTGTTGGTTGAAATGATTGAATACTAGCTTGATCAAAATTGAAAATATTTCCCTGAGTCTGTTTGGCCTCAAACTGAGCTTGATAATTGTGTCTTGAGTCTAATTTTGGTTGCTGTTTAGTTTCGTTTCTCATTGAAAATGGTATTGGACTTGGTGACCGAGGTGGTGACACTGGTGAAGGGATTAAATTTACATTTGGTCGTAAAAAAGTTTCTCCGGTAACATTGAACTGATTGCTTTGTTGACTAACTCGTGATTGTTCAACCAGATTCTGATTTGCTATACTTTTAGAGTTCATTTTATTAACAGTTATCGGTGATGGTGCAGATAGCTGTTGTCTCGCTGGGTTTGAATTAATCAAAATTTGTTGTCTTTGTTCAGCCAATTCCATCTCTTGTCTTTCCATTAAGCTTCTTTGGTTATCCATTTCTGTCCTTGCTCTCATTATATCTTCCTCCATTAGCTGTGCCCATGGATCAGATTCGGCTTCTGGCGATTCCCCAACATCATGAGAGTAAAAGTCAATCTCATCATCTTCCCAATCTTCATATTCATCATCCTCTTCGCACTTATAAGCGCCATTCCTTTCCTCATTGTAACCTCCTTTAGGTGATTTGCTTCGTTCAAATTCAAACACAGTTTCTAGTTCATCAGATTCATCTGCACCGTCATCACGTTCATCATTCAACTCTTCATCCATGAAAGGTATTCCATCATCTTGATCCAAAAGAGTTGGACGATTAACAACTAACCCGGTATTACTGTTATCAGATACACGATTTTCATCCAAATCATCTTTACTCTCCTCTGATGGATTTGTCAATATAAGTCGAGGTTTGTTTAAAGATTGTTCTGGTTGTTGAATGTCTTTGAAATCATCTGGCTGATGTTCATCTCGAGCCTTGGATTGAGTTGAAAATTTATTTGATACATTGGTGGACTTTTTTGAGGAAGCTGTTTGATCTGATTGTGATGGAATCGAGTCAAGCCATTTAGGATCAGCTGAATAAGGTCTTCGTGAGTAGTTTTTATCATCAGGAGGGCAACTTGATCGAACCGATGCCTCTCTTGAGTGTGATCTTGAGCTTGGTCTTGAACTAGTCCGTATATCTCGAATCAACTCCAACTGAGCTTCTAATTGTTGAATATGTTGCTGTACTCGTGCCTGTTGAGCGTGTAACTGCTCTTGAATCTTTTCACGGGAAGATGAACGATGTTTAACTTGCTCTAATGATGTTGAACTGCCACCATGAGTGTTTTTAGACGATGTTGACCGTGATCTTGCACGAGAATGTCCACGTCTTTTAGCATCCTGGGAAGTATCTCGAGAGAGAAGCAACTGTTGAGTCAAAAAATCTTGCTGTTTAGACAATCTTTCAATTTGTGATTGTTGAGAAATAATATGTTGAATTAAACCTTCAGTTGATGCAGAAATTGGTTTCAATGTGTAAGCTGGTGTCTCTGGCTGTTGATGAATTTGGAGTTGAGTTGTCATTGGTAAATGAGGAACTGATGATGATGCCACTGATAAACTGCCAGACTGGTTGTTTGATTCATTTGGACCCGGAGTGGAAATAAGTTGCCCTTCATTTGTTTGATTATCGAGAGATCGTTGTTTCCTAAAGGATCTCTGTCTTCTTGGAGCTGAGTAAATTGGCTCTTGATTGCTTCTAGTATTACTTGTCTCGTATCTCACAGCCAAAGGAGGTCGATCATTAGATGAATTTAGTGGTGATGGAGTATTATTAGTATTGTAATTCATTGCTGTTTGTGGTGTCTGATCTGATGAACTTATTTGAACAACTGGAAGTTGCATTGAAGGTACGAGGTAACTTATGTCCGAAGAAAGGTGTCTTTTCAATGGTTGCCTCAAGAAGCCAATGTAATGATTGAAGGCGAATGCATCTTACCACAATTAACAGAAATCAACGAGAAAAAGTTAGCTTTTTTGCTGCAATTCATGCTGATAATCAGATATAATAACATGAATATTTCCTATCAACTTGTGGATAAGTTGAAATCCAAAACTAAAGCTACCTTGAAACATGCAATTAATGTTAATAAATGTTGCATATTTGTCAATAATAAATCACTAATAAAAATGTCTTTTAATGAAACTATTAAGTATTGCTGATTTATTAATATAAGCTAATAAATGAATTGTTATTTCAAAATCATTTTTGATTGTCGCTTGAAACCCAAAGCTTTAAGTTAAAGATCACTTCATCGTTTTTAGACATTTTGAATTTATTGAGGCTGGACAATTTAATAGTGACCAAGCGTCTTTATCATCAGATGATTAATGATTGTGTGTCAACTTATTATTATCATGATTAAGATGAAGATCGACTCAAGTCTAAATTTGAGTTTTCAGTGTTTTGCCAAAAATCCAACTGACTTGTGAGTCAAGTGAGAAACGTAAGAAAACCAAAACAAAAAGACAATTACCGGCTAAAATTATAATCATAATTAACCATTTATTTAATGTTGTTAAATTTAATTCGAGAAAAGTAAATTATCAATCAATCCTTACCAATGAGTGAACAAAAATGACCAGAAATTACAGTTCAAAGTGAAAGTCAGTGAAAAATGAGAAGCCAAAATTGATGTTGTTGGGAAACATTGGTCAGGCTTAAAGGTATCAAACTTGACATAATGATGTATATGACTGTTAATTTGATTATTTTGAACGAAAGTTAATTAGTTAATGGTGAATGTAGTGATTTAGTAGACTAATTAAGGATAAAAAGGGAAAAGTACGTAAAATATGGAGATGCACTTAAAAGCTGTAAATAAAGCGTCTAGCTAAAATAGACTCACCTCTGTCATATTTTTGACTCATTTGGTGTAAATCCTGTCCCGATCTGCTGATATCTTTACGATTGCGTCTCTTTGGTACTTCAGGTGTATTTGATGATCCACTTTTAGGTGTAAACATTTTGATGTCTGTTGGCTGGTTAACAGATTTAAAAGCAAGTCAAAGTATAGACGTTTTAGTCTGTGTCTTGAATGGAGACTCGGTGTGTTTTAATGACCAGATTAAAGAGACAGTTGATTATGAGAAGCTAATAGTGGGCAATTAAAAGTTAATCATGGCTAATAACTGTGGTCAAATGCTTGTTTGATGGTTGAAGGTTACTGAAGTTGAGTGGATTAACTTGGACAGACAACAAATGGATTGATTGCGAGGCGCAATGAGAGACTGGATTTACAGTCAATTTTATCAAAGGTGACACTATTTACAAGGGTGAACCTAAATTGTTGATAGAAAGTGTAGATGAGTGAATGAGGAGAGAAATAGCATGATGAGAAAGATGAGAAAGAGTAATTGTGATGAAGATTAGGAAGAGAAAAATTCTTATATGAAAATAAAAATAGTTTTTTGGCAACTTCAAATTTTACTTTCAACTATTCACTTCTTTATCCACTTCTTTGTGTTTTTTCATTCTTAACGCTGCGTAAACATTTAAACATTTTCATCATTAACTAGCTCTTAAATACTGTTAAACCATGCATTATCATCTTGTCATCGAATCAGAATATTCAAAAATGTTTAATTTTCGCCTCAAACAATTCAAATAAAATAGCAAAAATCAAAACTAATGATGACATCAATTGAGCATCTCAGCCACGATTTTCTTAAATTTCACTCGACTTTTCAAATGGATACAATTTTAATGATTTTAGTCTCAATAACTTGAGTCAACAATTGCAAAGAAGATCAAAACATTGAAAGCTCAATCGGGATCGATCTCGACCTTTTATTATTTCGATCTGAAGATCGAACTGGAAAATCATCTCTAATGCATCAATATTATTAGAGGTTACATAATTATACACTAAAATGCATACAGAAATTAACATTCTAGCTTCTTGTGTTCGAACAATTTATGTGAAAAGTGAAAAAGGTATAAAAGGAGAAAGGTGAAAATCGTCGCAAAATGAACGCTTCGCTTTATCCTTTCTCCTCTAGATTCTAACCATTTTGCTTGACTTTCAACTTCTTTTACAACTCTAAGCAAAATCAAGCAGAAATAATGTTTGCAAAGTGCAACCATTCATAATGGATTCAATTCACTTCCAAGCACTGAGTTTGAATTTCTTGCACTGAATTTATTTTTTACCATTTTGTATTTCGCACATAAAAGATACTTTTGATACTTATGAGTTTACGCATATTGAAATCAGATAAATCAATTTCCACGCTGAATTTTAAGTTAAGCAATTCAGTAAATTGACAATCAAATCTAATGAAGCACAATGATTTACATGAAAAATAATTTTAATAATCCACCAAAACCCTGTAAACATGATTCACATCGATAGATGGCTGCACGATGTATGTTAATTTGTCAAATTTGGATTTTTATGGTTCCTTAATTTTAAATCCAATTTGCCTGAATGGATAAGCTTGACCTTTCCGTTTGCGCTTCAAGTAATAATATAAACACTGACTATCTGTCAATCACGACAAAATTTGTTGACCTTTACGCTTTCAAATATCGTTGAAAAGCTCGAGCACAAAAATAAAAACTGTTTAAAACATAAAGATTGATTTAGGGCATAACGACAAAAGCCGAACTTGGAAACACAATCGATTGCAATAAATTTTTGAATCAAGTTGAAAGTAATAAATTGAGACCAAGCTTGTGATTTTAGGTTGAGTAATTTTAATACAGTGATGAGTTTGTCCAAGACTTACAACGGGTCACAGTTAATGGTTTAGGAAAAGTTTCAAAGATTTCGATTCGAAGTCGATTCGTCGCCAATATCATCAGAATTCTTGAAAATCAAAATCTCCGATGATTAAATCTATTCATATAATGTTAAGATTTTCAATGAAACAATTTCTGTTGATTCTCATTTCTTGGTGTCATTATTATTTCCAGAGGTAAAGCTGGCTGGAAAGTAATTTCATACAGAATCGGAATATTTCCGTGTTTTCGAGTTGATCTTATGCTAAATTTACGAATGATTTGAATTGTATAAATCTTGAGTTCTATCATTGCATAGCGCAATCCAATACAGATTCGTGGTCCATAACCAAAAGGTATGAAAGATGCTTTTGGTATTTTGGAGACATTTTCAGAGTTCCATCTATCAGGATCATATTCATCTGGATTGGGATAAACACTTGGGTCATGATGGCAAGCTAAACATGTTACACCAACAATGGAACCTTTTAGAAGTCTTTTATCCTTCACCATGATATCCTCTTCGAGTACTCTTCCAGCACCATTGACAGGAGGATTCAACCGAAGTGATTCTTTTAAACATTGGTCAAGATAATTGCACTGGTTTATTTTATCCATATCATCTACCGGTGTATCATCAGGGAAAAATTCAATGATCTCTTGATACAGCTTTTCTTGTACACCTAAATGATTGCCTAAAATAAAAGATTGAGTTTGAAACAATTATTGCAGTATTCAGGGTTTATTTTGAGAAATTTGTGCAAAAACATTCTAATAAAATCAATGTCATGAAATTTATATCAATATAAAGTTTGTTGCCAGAAAGAAACATTCACACAATTGTCACATTTATACACAAATTGGCGAAAACGCGTAAAAATTGATTTCTTTCAAAGTTAGACTCTGGTGGTTTGAAGGGACGTAAAAACTGAGTCCATTTGTTGGATTTAAATGCTTCTCCGATCGACAACTTTCAAGAGAATCGAGTTCCAAATTGAAACTTCGATCAAATTTTGTACAATAATGGAAGCAGATTTTTTGGTAAAACTCATAGTTTTACTCATAACTTTTGATCATCAACCAGAAAATAAAATATCTTGAGAAATAGCATTTTACCTTTTCTGTTAAACAGATAAGTTCGATTTTTAGTTGAACGCACCGCATTCTATGACCACAAGAGTTAGCAAGCTGAAACATATAAATTATCCATAAAAACTGACCTTTCACACCTTGGGTTAAACACTTTTAACAATTTGCCGATAGTTCTCTTGCTTTTGGACATTAACCCAAAAACTTTGAACCTCTGTATTCCGAGAATGGCATCACCTACAATCGTCAATCTTTCACCAATTTAATTCTTAGCTAATTACTAATGCAATTCAATTCGCAAGAAATTAATTAGCGCAATTTGAACATGGTTTTAGGGTTTTAAATGTATGAACAACAGCTTATTCAATAAAACAAACTCATCTCAACCTCTTTCTTGGTAAATAAACCAATTTGATGGTTAAGACTGCAAACGAAAGACAAAGATTACTGTTAAAGTCTCGAAAATTTGAGTAAAGAGTTGAGACTTGGTCGGGTTAGTAGGGCTAGAAAAACTGAGTCCGAAGGTGCTATTAAATAATTTATCCGATGAACGGTTTCCGAGAAAATCGAGGACGAAATTGCAACTTCGATCGCTTTTTGCTCAGCTATGGAAACAATTTTTTCCGTGTAACTTTCACTACAGATACATCTTTTAACGACTAACCAGAAAATGATCTTATTTTGAGAAATAACATTTTCGGTTTCTGTAAAATAGATCAAGTTCAATTTTCAGATAAACTGATGGATTTCTGTGACCGTAAAAGTTAGGCAGTTGAAACTTAGCATGCGTCGATAAAAATTGATGGCACACATCCAGCACCGAATCCTTTTTTCAATTTATCAAAAGTTTTCCTGATTTTGGACATTAACCCAAAAACTTTGAACCTCTGTATTTCGAGACCAGCATTACATACAATCGTCAAAGATTGACCAAAAACTAGATTCCATTATGGGTTACAATATGTGGAAATATTAAATTATTCAAGATCTTACGAAAAAAGTTAGAGCATTGTATTTGTTCATGTTACCAGATTTATTAAGATAAATAGTTAATCAAACACAAATGAAAATTGTCAGAATAATATTCATAATTAATGAATGTGCTTGAATTTTGTTCGATATTCAATCATCTTATATCATTGCCAGTTATGGAATCTAGTGTTTGGTTAGAGAATAGCGAATGTAGGTGATGCCATTCTCGAAATATCAAGGCTCGAAGTTTTTGGGTTAATGATCAAAATCAGGAGAACTATTGAAAAATCGAAACAAATATTCAAAACATGTTGCGAAGCAACAATGTTTACGAACAAGTAATAAGTTTCAGATCGCTAACTCTTAAGGTGACAGAAAGCGTCCGGTTTAGCTGAAAATCGAACTTGATCTGTTTGATAGAAAATTAAAAATTTTATTCTTCCAAATAACTTATTATCGGGTTGATCATTAAAGGTTACATCAATAATATGAGTCTCATGAAAAAATCTGCTTCCATAGTTGTGCAAAAAGCTTTGCAAGTTTCAACTTCGAACTCGATTTTCTCGAGAACTGTTGATCAGAGAAACTTTTAAAGCACACAAATGGACTCAGTTTTTATGTCCCTACAAAAATACAGAGTCTAAATTTGAAAGAAATATTTTTTTACGCGTTTATGCTCATTTGTCTTGAAGTGTTTGTGTCAATTGTGTTGATTGTGTCTTTTTTAGTTACAACTCAATATAAAGAGAAATTAAAATCTTACCGAGATTGAATAAAAGCCAACGTAAGGCCACTGCAGTTGTTTCATGTCCAGCTGCAATGAGAGTCATCATTTCATCGTGAAGTCCTTCTCTATCTACTTTGTCTTCGAGTAAATGGACAAAATCTTGATCTTCTGGTCCATTTGGTGGTGAACTTTCCAAAAGCTGCTTTCTTCGATTCAATATTTTATGAATCATTTCTTCAGCATCTTCCATGGTCTTGTAATAAATTTTGCTAAACTTGAAAAATTTGAAAAGCCAATCAAACTGATAGAATGGGTTCGAAACGCGTTTAACTGAATTTTTTTCCACTGCACTAACAAGTTCGATTAATATTTTTTTATCTTCAATCAAATCATCCAAAGGAATACTTGCAGTCGACTTTAAAATGATGTTCAAAGTACTTGTATGTATTTGATTGACCAAGTCCACAGGTTTACCAACTTCACCCTCCAAATGTTGAGAAAACGATTCGACTTCTTCATATATTGCTTTAGCATAGCCTTTCATCTTTTTAGTCGAGAAAAAAGGTTCAATCAATTTTCGTCGAACCTTCCAAATTGCAGGTTCTGAAGTTAACAGTCCAGATCTTAGACCCATAAATTTATAAATGTGCGGTTTCTTCAACTGTTTCTTGTTCAATACAATCTAACATTATAAACACAAAGAAAGTAAATAGTTTTCAATGATCAAAGTGGAAAGCAAAGTCGAATATGTTGACTTGATATTGATCATTAGACTATCAATTGAATATGAATCGAATCACTTGCTTATTGAAATTTCAAATCACTTGTGATACTCACAGAAATTCTTACAAAATTTTGAAAGCGAAACACTCACATTCTGTTTCGATCTATAGTAACAATTGCTTACTTCGATATTCGCTACAAAGATTAAACCATATTCAAAGTTAGATTTAGATGATGAATAAATGATTAGTGTTTTACTTTACCTCTACCGCTTCATGACCTGAAGCAAAGACGACTGGAAACATTGAAATCCATAAAACTGTTAGGTTTTGATTTGGGCCAATAATTTTAGGGAAAAATTCGTACAAATTCACTGAAACATGAAACATTGAAACCATTATGCTTTGAAATGGTCCGCTATGATTTGATCACTTACTTGCGAGCCTTTTAGTTTCGATGGGGAACGGAAAATTTGGCCAAACTTCCTTCCCATGGCCAAAAAGCCAGTGTTTTGGATAACAATGAAATCCATGATAATGAATGACCATTCGAACAAAATTTAGAGTAGGTTTCAATAGATAAACGTAAAGAAAATATGAAACTATTGAAAACAAAACCAATTTCATTGATTCAACACTAAACAATCCAATGGAAGCCATTGTAAATTTTGAAAACAAATGCAATTTAATTTGGAGCTGTTTGATATAAAATGACAAACTCAACTTCTGGATTGATAAAACTAATCAAAATAAGTTTTCACATTCAAATTATGATTTACTTGATTGAGTTTATTGCAATGTCACGAGAAACGGTAATTAAATTTAATAATAATTGCTACTCATGTTTCGAAATCACTCGAAATCAATGATTTGTATCAATGGCCCATTACCATATTCACGCGTATAGTGGCACCGCGCTAATAACCTGTGGATAAAACTATGTTACAGTCTATTCAATCGGGAAATTGTAGGGAAATATCAGGAAAAAAATTGCTCAAGACTTACTAAACATTATTCTGAGGGATTTCTTGTCCAACTTATCCAGTAATAAATAAGCAGAATCAAGAAAAAGGCGAAAACATTTGACTCTGAATATTGACGAACGTGAACGAAACTAATGCCAATAGACTATTTGATGTTAAAACATGTACGAAATGGTTAAAAGAAGGTTGTTACTGAAAGAAACAGCTAAAAATTGTCACATATGCACAAATTGACACAAATGGGCGAAAACAGGTAAAAATCTATTTCTTTCAAAGCTAGACTCTGTTGGTTTGTAGGGATAGAAATGCTGCGTTCATTTAAGAGATTTAAAAGTTTCTCTGATCGACAGTTCTAAAGAAAATCGAGTTCGAAATTGAAACTTCGATCACCTTTTGTACAATCATGGGAGCAGATTTTTTCGTAAAACTCATAGTAATGATGTAACTTTTAATGATCAACCAGGGAAAAAAATATCTTGAGAAATAGAATTTTACCTTTTCTGTTAAACAGATAAGTTCGATTTTTAGTTGAACGCACCGCATTCTATGACCATAAGAGTTAGACTGATTAAATGAGACTTGTTATGTCGATAAAAATTGTTGCTTCACACCTTGGGTTAAATACTTTTAACAATTTGACAGTAGTTCTCTTGATTTTGGACATTAACCCAAAAACTTCGAGTCTCAATATGCCGAGAATGGCATCACTTACAATCGTCAATCTTTCACCATTTCAATTCTTAGCTGATTACTAATGCAATTCAATTTAAAAACTTTGCATTAGCGCATTTGGTCTTGATTTTTTGGGTTTCAAATGTATGAACAACAGCTTATTCAATAAAACAAACTCATTTCAACCTCTTTCTTGGTAAATAAACCAATTTTATAGTTAAGATTGCAAATGAAAGACAAAGATTGCTGTTAAAGTCTCGAAAATTTGAGTAAAGAGTTGAGACTTGGTTGGTTAGTAGGGAAATAAAAGTTGAGTCCGAAGGTGCTATTAAATAATTTATCCGATGAACGATTTCCGAAAAAATCGAGGACAAACTTGAAACTTCGATCGCTTTTTGACCAGCTATGAAAGCATATTTTTTCTTGAAACTTATACTACTGATGTATCTTTTGACGATCAACCAGAAAATGATCTTATTTTGAGAAATAACATTTTCTGTTTCTTTAAAATAGATCAAGTTCGATTTTAAGTTAAGCCGATCGTTTCCTATGACCGTAAGGGTTCGAAAGCTGAAACTTATTATTTGTGTACCAAAATTGTAGAGTAAATAAAGACAGAGAGCTAAAAAAGGTATTTCAAAGTTGAACGCTAATTAATTTAGCAATCAAAAAGATGAAAAATGTTTTGTTGATGTAATCAGAAAACATTTTGATGAATTAACCATGAGTAGTTTGTGGAATGAGATTTACCAGAAGTAAATGTATTAAAGGAAATATGTTTTAAGAAGAAAAGTATCATTATCATCATTATCATCACCATCAGTAATTGAAGGAAGCAAGTGCAAGTGTTATCCTTAATGACATATACCTAGACCTAGATTTGGTAAGGTTAAAAGGTCTTGGGACATTGAGTGAGAGTCTGATGGTGAAAGAAGAAAATGTATGTTGATCAGGAAAGATGAAGATGTATATCATTCTGAAGGAGAAGAAGAAGGAAGATTCAATTGAGACAATAATAAAATGAATGCTTTGAGAAATGCGTTTTATTGGAATGGTAGGAAAGCGAAAGAAAAATTTTTCCTTTTGGAATGTTGATTATCTTGAATATAAAAGTTCTTTATGGATGAAGAGTAAATTATGTCGTAAAACGCATTTACCAAAAACAGATGAACAAGAAATGATGATGATGAAAGAAGGAAACGGTTAACGAGAGAAGAGATGATTACATGATGATGATTAAGATGGGTTAGAGGAGCGCGTGAGGAAAACGGCGAAAATTAAATTAATTAATAAAATTAAAACCAACCAAGAGAAAAGATGAAGACAAACAAGAACCATTTACTAACATTTGTAAGTGATCAAAAAACGTTACATGATAATATTAATATTCATGCTTTAGATTACATTTTTTGTTATTTTTTTTCTGAACTTAACTAATGATTCTTGGGTTTTCTTCATCTTCTGGGTTTGGGTTTTAGGTTTTAGGTTTTAGGTTTTAGGTTTTAGGTTTTAGGTTTAGATTTACAATAGCAGGGAGATTTTGTTCACAATGAAAAAACCATTAGACAAGTTTCATACAATGAAACAAAGCTAACCAAATACAATGTGATAATGATGTTGTTGATAGAGGCAAATACATGGAAATGATGAGAATAATAAGGATGATGAAATGGGATCCACATCTTGTTAGTCTTTCTGTCTTTTCTCTGTCTTTTCTCTCTACTAATCCACAAATTCATTTTGTATTGCACAACTAAACATTAATCATTAAGTTTCCATTGACACTTTTGTTGTGTCGCTCTACAAGGCCTAATTTGGTTCCTGCCGAAGTGGGTAAAAACAGGAGAAAACAAGAGTCTCCCCTCTGAAGCAACCTTTCTCTCTTCCCGGAAGTACAAGGGGATCATCATCGTCATCCATTGCTTTTTTGCCTCCGCTTTATTTTCCTCTTCAATATCTGTCACCAGAAAAGCTTTGCTTGTTCCATCTTTTTCTTTGCCTTCAAAATGTTGTTTATCTCATTCCAGCAATCAGGTCATCATCACCTTCGTTTTCACTTGAATCCATAACATCTAAACGAGGATAGAAAAGAAAAGCAAAAATTGAAAAATCACTCGAAATTTTTAGGAATTTTGTTTACATCGATTTGAAGGGAAAAATTATTTAGCTTCAATCTTCAATCAGTCTCAATTTTCCCTCTCTGTCTTAAGCTTGGAAATAAAAGTTACTTTTCTTCATACTAAATGTTAAGGGAACCTTTGATCGTCTAGTAAGCAAATTAAACAATAAACATTTTGATTGCATATTGCACCCAGTTATGGCTTTATCTGTATTAGTTAACCATCCAATTACACAGATAGACAGCGCGTTTTCAAGTACAGTTACTTTAATTGTCAGCTTAACAATTAAATCTTGCTCTCTGAGTCTATTGCAACAATAATCACACAGTTAGGTCCTAATAAAGTAAACTCAGAGATAATTAATTGGATTTAATGATGGTTTTGCTTGATGATATCAAGTTATGAAAAGGATATACAGTTAAATAAAAAGTGAAAAGAGCAAAAAAAATGATAAATTAGCAAAAAAAGACGAAACTTCATCAAGAGCAATTTATACTCATATGGTAACTGTATTATGTGATGAACAGCAAAAGAACGAAGAAAAAAATTGAGAAGAAAAACTCAGAATATTTTAATTTCTCTTATTTACTTCATCTTTTGTGCTTTTATAAAAGCAATTCTGTGAAAGTAGAAATAAAGTTCAAGTAGGACAGAAGAGAATTTGAATAATTTGCTTAAACAGGGAAACAAAACACATTAATAACCTGCTCAGACTGACATTTCAATCTTTTCATCGTTTATTTTTCTTTATTCTGTCTACCTTTACAATTTTATTTGCTCAACTCATCTTAACTTGCTCTCAATAAAAAAAGAAGTTGATATAAAAAAAGCATCAGCTGATATTGCGCCCTACATGCGAATGTCACAAGAATGAACAATTAAATAAAAATAAGTCGACTAAGTAATCATAGACAATGATAGACAGAGAGAGTGTAAAAATTCAACAATGATGAAGGTCAGATTGCATAAACTCTTTCCATGTCGCCTGTTTGGCGATGAAAATAAGAATAGATGTAAAAATAAAAGGAACAACTGAAGAGCTAAGAAAAAATAAACTAATGTCAACATGATATCAAGCAATGACAACATTTTTCGGGGGAAATTTCATGATTATTTAAAGCAATATGCATTGGTTAATCTTTCCTCTCTTTGACAGGTCCTGCTTCTTCTGGACTGGATTAGACAAGACCCCCCTCAAACTAGCCACTAGAAGCTACTAGATTAAAAATCAAGTTAACTCACTTGTTTACTGTTTACTGTTTCTCCTTTGGTTTTCCTGTATTCCTTGTGTACAAGTCCAATCAACACCAATGCCAAATCTAGAAGAAGAAAAGAACTGATGGTTATTATATTGACTATAATTGACAGATTAAAGTGTATTATCATAATAAAGTATTTACGAGAGACCATTGACCTTAAAAGCCTGTAAACAGCAAAGGAGACCAGTTGTAAATAGGGAAAACAAAACAATGGCTGGTCCTTCCTACTCCTCCACGTCTGCTGGAAATCCGTCCAAACGAGCGAGATTTGATGTCGATGAAAGTATACTTTTGGAAAGACGGTTAAAAGATTCCCTCAAACCAGGACTTGATTGTGTTATAATTGGTATTAATCCAGGATTATCATCAGCATACCATGGACATAACTATGCTGGTCATGGTAACCATTTTTGGAAATGTTTACACGCCTCAGGTATAATTAATTTTAAGGCAACATATCAAGATGATGACAGACTAATTGAATATGGCATTGGTTTCACAAATATTGTTGAAAGGACAACAAGAGGATCAGCTGATTTAAGTAAAAACGAGATCAAAGAAGGAGCAATTATGTTGCGTCGTAAGCTGGCTCTCTATAAACCAAAGGTTGCTGTTTTCAACGGCATAGGTATGTAAACAAAGATACATGATTCAATGATTTGTTTGTCCATTTTAAGCTGGTATTTGGTCAACTTAACTGCCCACCATTTTATGATGATTATCACATCTTTGAGTAAACCGTTTCTTGTAATTTTCAACCAGGAATTTATGAAGTTTTCTCTGGAACCAAAAATTTTCCTCTTGGATTACAAAGTGAAACACTGGACCAGACACTTGTTTTTGTTATGCCATCCTCGTCCCCTCGATCCTCAGCTTATCCAACAGCTCAGGCCAAGATGCCGTTCTATCTTGCACTGAAACAATTACTAGATTCAATCAAAGCAGATGAGTTCAATCAATTGGATAAGTCGAAAGTTATTTTCCCTCCAAAAGTGGGAAATAACAGTAACAGTTTTATATCCAGAGATGGCGCTGCTAGCTCCAAGCAAAATAACGTGTTAACCAGAAAAGTTTAGTTTCAATCAAATTTTCAATTTATTAAATCTAATTTTTTTCAATCTCTTTCAGGACGTGGGTGACCATGAAAGTGACACTGATCAACCAATTGGCTCTCACAATGATACCAGTGATACCAGTGAAAGTACCGTTGTTCTTTCCCGTTATTTTCTAGATACAAGTGACGATTGATTTACTGGTAAGATTTGCTGTTGGATATGGAAAAGCCATGAGAAAAAAACTGTAAATAAGGAAAGTTAACCTAAATGGAAATTATAATTTATTAATTTTAACCGCAAATAAATGGCAATCCAACGTAAATATGATGATCAACAATCACGAGTGAATAGGATAAGGAAGGAAGTAATGAAGTAAAAATGGAAAAAAAGAATCTACTTAACCATATACAGCCAAAAAAGGATCCCAATACAATTTTTGTTAAACAACCTGTTTTGCTTATTACCATTATTATGATGATTATTATTGCTACATATTATTTACCCAAGACCAACTTTATCTTTTCCAATGTTATTCTAATCTGGTAAAATTTGATTCACGGTTCAAGCGCAAAATTTGCTCTTTTCTTCTGTGTTTGGTGTCATTCTGCCTGCATTTTTTCACGATAGCAAAATATTTAAGTGATATACTGTCCTAGATTTGTGATTATTTACACCAGGTTTGTACTTTAAACACCATCAACCTAGGAGAGCTGTGAGGAAGACTTGAGATTGTTGAGGTGCCTCAATTGATTTTTATTTTTCTCTTCTCTTACATTTTTCCTTTCTTTTCCCCTCTCTCTCTAGTTTCTCATCATCTTACAACCAGAGGAGGCTGCTTGGCAATCTACCAACAACCAAGCTTACAATCGAACAGAGAAATGTTGAAAATTGACAAATAAACAAAATATCTACACACACATAAAATGTACATACAACCACACACACAAGCGAGAACTGTTTTCCTCTCATCTTTACTTTTGATCAACTTTTCAAATTTTACGATTTCCTATCGGAATTTGAGAGATGGAAAAGAAAGGAAAAGAGAAATCCAGAAAATTTAAAAACCATGAATAAAGGAGGATGAAAGGAAATTGGAAACAAACGATATTCATTAAAGAAAGCAAAAGATGAAGCAAAGCATTTTGCTTAAGTCAATGAAAAATTTGACAATGAGAATGGATTAGTAATCAATGAAGGTCACCCAATTATTAAGGACACCAGAAAACGAAGGTGAAAATGATATACGAGGTTAGTGTGTTTTTTTATTCTGATGCAAGTTGAAAGCTTTGATTATCTCGAACTCACCCACAAAATACGCTCACTTACGACATTGTTATTACACGTTACTTATTATACTATTATCTTAATTTATTGCTAATACAATTACAATTTTTTGGTCTTATTCTTGCAGCATTGAATGCCAACACCAGTAAAATGCCAATATGCAGACAAAATACCAAACGAGGGGAAAAAAAGGAGCAATAAAAATGATTATTCCATTATCTTTAGACGCATATTTCCTACATTAGCCTCAATCAGCTCTGTGATTAGGCCAAAACGGTGGTTGGACGAGGTCATTTGATTAAAGAGGGAAAGGAAAAGCTGATTATTTCTGAAAGTAAAGCAACAGAGCCAATAATGGTTGGAAGAAGAGGAAAAATGAGACTACAATTCGTGGAAATATTGGAGACAAAAAAGTTGAATAGAAATGGAAAGATTGATTAAACGTAAAATCCTAAAGACGTAAGCGATTGTTTTCCAAATGTCGTAAAAGCGTCTCGATTGACGTTAATTTTATTATTTCATTAATTTCATTCTCTTTTTTTTCTCTCTCTCTTTGACACACACAAACACATGGATAAACACACGCAAGAAACACACATTAAATCTGTTTTTATCGTTGACACTTTCATCAAATGCTTCTGTCAACATTGAAATGCAAAAGATAGTTAAAATTTGATCAATCGAACCTATTATTCCAGTTAATTTGAGCTTTTTGTGTATTTATGTGTTAGTGTGTTTGCGTGATAATCTTTGTTACGATCATGAAGAGAGAGGAAAAAAAAGAAAATCGTTCGTTCAGAGAAAAAGCAAAATGTTAAAGAAAAGAGTCAAAACTTGAAACTGTGTCAACTTGATCTAACGTTTTAATTCGTCTTCTCTTTTTTTTCTTTCTTCTCTTTCTTTCATAACAATTGACATGAACAGAAGCAACTGGAGCAAATAGTGGTTAAGAAACGTCATCTCATAACTGTTAACTCTCACACCCACTCAACTGTTACAAAGCCTATCCAATAATAAATTCATTTACAGATTGAACAGATGGGGAAAAAGGAAAGGGAAGATCCAAGAGATTGAAACGTGTTTATGCATATCAACATAAAATGTCAATTAAAAGGAACTAAACATTTTCAATGAGCGACAAGATACATTACATGAATATGCATGTAACAGAAATACGCAAATTTCCCAATCACAATAATCTATCAATGTTGTCCAAAATTGGATGCTTTTTCACTGGAAACCTGTTCATCAAAAAAAAAACGTCAACCAATATCAAACCTTTACCACCATTCATCATTATCAGGTACTTTACAACCTAATAACAATCATTTGTATTGATTGTACCAAGTGCAAGTTAAATACCAAGAAATGGCTAAATACAATAAAGATACCGAGAAGGGCAATATTTTGAATCATCTTGAGCTTATCATGATTACCAGGACATCTCAATTTCTGTCCCTGTTATGATAAATCTTTAGGAACTTTTGCTCATTTTTGTTTTGTCTCAAGTCTCAAATTTAACCTTTAAATTGCGAGCAAATTCAACTCGACTGAGACTAAATTATAAAATTGATCAAACCTGTTTGTGCTTCTCGTTAAATCAAATCAATATTAGCTTATCATCGCTTGCAAATTAACCTTTATTGTTTTCATTTCTTTGATTGAGCAACTTGCCATTCATTGTTGTTGCTCTAATTGTTGACTATTACTACTTTTATTAGCACTTAATTGACACATTCTCACACTCAACATTGTTTACCTTTAACCGATACCAGCAAAAACAACAACAACATTAAACCAAGAAAACACCAAACTTGAAACAACAATCGAGTGAAAGTGAAAAACAAATTAGGTATAATTTAAAGTCATTTTGTGAGGGAAAACAAATAAATTGCATTGATATAAAAATACAATTCAATAGATTGTATCAAAAATGAAATGAAAAATATCTTTTATTGCTTGCATTTGGTTCAATCAAAAATCATCCCAAATAGTTATTTAAAATGTAACTAAACCCAAATTTACCGTTCTTTTTTGTTTACTTTCAACTCTTTTATCCCTTTCATACTTTAAACAATGTAACTACTAAACAATATCATCATCATCATTATTATTACCATCTCTATTATAAACTCATCAAGTTGTCACTTAACAACAAAAACCTCAACACACTAATACTACATTGTTTTTCCCCCGTGTTAATCAGAAATCAAATCATCACATGATAATAGATTGAAAGAAACAAATTTACTAACAATGTTTCTCCTTCATTTTTAATTGTATCTCCATTTTTTCCCCTTGTCACCAATGTACCTGATTGTGCCCCAGCATTGCTAACCGGAACCAAGCTCAATGAATGGAAACCCTGAAGATTGATCCTGGATTGATGATAATTATGGCTGATGATAAATGCTAATGGTAAAGATTGACAGTTACAATTAGACTTGTGCCACTAAATATGCAAATACACATTTAGCCTTGATTAATCTAATTTTTTTTCTAACTTTTTTTTCCACCAGCAATTCAATTGTCCTTAATCATTGGGAAAAACTTGGAACGCCACTGATGATGTTTTATTAACCCGTAAAGAAGGATTGATCATTATCAATTGGATGTTAATTCATATTAGTAACCTTTAATTGTTAATCTACAATCCAAACTGCATAAGCTGTAAAAACTCACATGAGAGGGAGAAAGTTGATCAACTAATGATAATTCAAGTTTCATGAAAGGTGACTAACTATTAACAATACAATTCCAGTGAAAGTCTCTCAATAATTGCAATAATAACTTAATTTTTTTATCAACTCTAACTGTATTACCATTGATGGTATTAAAAGAGATGATATTTATAATTTAGTAACAATTAGTAACTTTTTTCTCTCTCTTCTTATTTCCTTTTTTAGGTTGGTTGGTGCAAATGTTGGTTTACCTGGAACAGTCAATGCATTTTAACACATAATAACAAGACGAAACTAATGCACTTGCCATAAATCAAGGCATCTTCTTGGGATTCAGTGGAAGAAACCATTAATCATTTTTCAGTCTGAACAATCTGTTAATCTTTCGGTCTACCGTTGATTCCATTTTGTCCTGATTTCAGTTTCCTTTTTTTCCCATTGATCTTAAATATATATGTTTAACCTTCGTCAGGTTAACCTGATTGTTTATCATCTGGGTAAAGAAAAGGAATCGAGATTGAAATATTTTACAATTTAACTGACATTTCCAACCATTTATCCATGAATTGTCAACAATTAACATGTAACCTTATTTTGTTGCTGCACTGATCTTGCCTTGATTGTAATATTAATAGAAACTGGGAAGACGACATATTTTAAGGTTTAATGTACTTTGGTAATACATAAGTAAACATGTAAACAGTTTCAATTGATAATTGTTGTTATTTTATGGAATTTCAATCGCCCATTATCATTGAATTATCATCATATGAGTGCTCTAATAGCTTGTAATTTGCCTCCGAAAATTGAACGCAAAAATTATAACAATTATTACAAGGCTCATGTGATTATCTCAAGTGCATAATATGAAATACCAAATGGAGAAAGAAACCCAAAAGAGATTAAATTTTCTCTTCAACATTTCTCTTTCTTTTTTTCTGTTTTTCATCTTCATCATGACAATTATAATCAACTTGATCCCAATCATATGTTGACCTTTGATAGGTTTACTTATCAAACCTTAATGATATCTTAAAACTATCAGCTCAATTATTGCAGGTTATTACAATAAGAGTAACCCAAAAGTACCCAAATGATTGCTCTCGCACAACCTCAACCAGACTTACCAGCCTTTTTTATTGAAACAGATTTTCACTTTTTTTTACAATTAATTCTGTACAGATTAATTGTAATCCTTATTGTTGATCAATTGATCAACACTTTATTGAATCACAATTAATCTGGATCAAGGGCAAGGTCAACCTGATTACCTTTCAATGTTTTACCTATTAAAGCTACTGAAATGAAAATGAACCATTGTAACCAGATTTAGGTTTTTGGTTTTTTTGTCACAATTAAAACCTATTTTCTCACCAATCAACTTTAATTATAAATTGTACTCATTATCACTAATCACTTGATTAACCTTATCTGGTTAAATGTCTGTGGGTTTCTGTGTTGATTCACATTGAATTTATAAATTGCTAATTGAATTGGTTTCAATAATAAGTAGTTATTGTTTAAGTTTAAGGTTCAATTTGTCGCGTCTATTGATTTACTTGATATTGTTTTCCAGTTAAATTTAACGTCAATTGATGTTGCCTCTTTTTTACGTCTAATGTTCAAAATAAGATTAATCGTTTAATCAGCTTGTGAGTAAATTGCGCATTGTTTACCTGATTGAATTAATTTTGGTGTAAACTCTGATGACAGGGGAATCAATGGTAATCATTTTCATTACAAACAGAGGCAAAAAAAGAGCTTTGTTTTTCAATCTGAAAACACCTTTGCTTTAACTAGACTAATCAATAACTAAGGAACTGGAAGTAAATTAATGATGAAGAAAAACGAAACAAGGCAATAAAGGTAATTGTAACCACAATAATAGGAATAGATTAGCATTTAAGTGGATAATAACAAGTGAAACTATTCTTGGAATCAATGAGTTGTGCTAAAAGACAATCTCATGTATTGTTTACAGGGAAAACAAATGCTCATTCAAATTTTTACCTTTTCTTGAGCAAAATCTAAATATACATATTTGGGTAAAAATTGTTTTGATTATCATTTGAGTGGAAGAAAGTGAAATATTAAAGGTAAAATAATGTTGACTGGAAAATAATGATTTATAGCCATTAATTGTGAGGGGAAATTGTCACTAGATTTGTTTTCATTAACTGGTCTTGTTCAGAGATGATGAAAGTGAAACAGACAAATTAAATGTAAAGGTTCATCTCTGATGGTGATGAGCATCATTACATGGTGAAAATATGGTTGTGATGTTAATGATGACGATGAAAAGGTTGAATTGTTGAGCCAATGTCAATCTGCGTCTTTGAACCGTTTATTGTAATATTTGTAGACGCATTCGCTGGTTTTTCTGATGTTCATGTTTTGTCCTTGAATAACAGGGGAAATTCAGAGGATATGGAAAGAGAAGGAGAGAGAAAAAAGAGAGAAAATTATTCTTGAAATTGCATTGAAAACAAAAGAGACTCTGATTTTGATTGGTGATCTATTGACATTTACAGGGGAAAATGATGAAGATGTTCAGATTTTACAATTCTGTCCTTAGAAAGGCAAAGATGAGTTGTTATTAATCTTTGTGTTTCTTATCATTTCACTTTCTTTTGTTACACTTATCTTGTCCAACTTTTTTGTTTCATCAAAATCATCATTTTCATCAAACAATCATAATTGAAATGAAAAAGCTTTCTCTTATCATGTTAAGATGATCATCATCATCCTGGTTGCACTGGTGGGAAAAGAGGCTTATAGATATAAATATTGACTCCATTTGGATCAACATCTTGTTACTCATCATCATCACCATCATGATTATCATCGCTTTTTATCTTGAAATATTATCATGGTTTGGGTTTGTTTGGTTTTACTCATATTGGTATAATGGTGAGAAATGGAAATGGATTAAGATGCAAAAAATGAGAAAAACGATGATTCATTGAATTTTTAACGATAAATCAATTTTCGCAACTTAATTAGGATACACTGAGAACCAATATTTTAATTTATTGGGTAAAAACGGAAAATAAAAACAAAAGGTTTATGATGAGGAGGAAAAATTAGTCAACTCCTACTTTGGTTTCTCATTTTTTGCCCTTTTCAAGAGGCATTTTGGGTTTTCTTATGTGAAAACACTTTGGTTGTCTTAACAAAAATTTCATTTCTCACACTTTCTTACATTTTTAAGTGTTCATTTGGCTGTTGTTGATCATGTTGTTGCTTGTTGCTGTAATATTTTGTCTCCTTCTCTTGATTTGCCTCCTTCAACTTCCGTGGAAATCTTCAAGATGAATCCACCCACGAGTATGATTCATAGTTTTAATATTATTTGAAGCAAAGTCCATTCTCCAATCAATTTCAACTTTTCTCACACTAACTGCTAATAATAATATCACCTCATGGACAGAGTGAAAGACAGAAAAAAACCACACCATCATCACCATCATCCAGCTTCACCGTCATCACCATCACCATCGCCACTGCCACCAATATCGCCACCAACGAAGATGACAGTAAAAATCCAAGGGAACAATTTCCACCAACTAAGAGTGTAAATGATTCATTTATTGCTCTTTCAATGACATTTAACCAAATTACACCAACCAGCAGAAAACCAGAGAATGGAAGAGAGAGAGGAAAATGTAGAAAATGATTATCATGTTTCATTTTTCATTTTATTATTGATGAATAAAATGTCCTCATCTGAAAGGTACCAGGGTGAAAGAAGGAAAGAGAGAGATGAGAAGCGGTTCCAGTGTTTTCCAGGTTTTACAATTAACTTCCTTCAACCCACCCATTGTGGTATCACTTTATTCCCTGTCGTATGAGGTTTCCAAATATTGGTAACATGGTTAAACTCCCTCTTGATTTCAATTGGAATCTTTCAAATATCAAGACATCTTCAAGAATTTCCGGTCACACATGTAAACAAAACAAAAGGCAATATAATAAGATTAAATAGATCCAATGGTAAAATGGGTTAAACAAAATGAAAAGAGGACATAAACAAAAGAGAGACAAGAAATTGTTAAGAAAAATATAATAGCCTCAAGGAAGGGAAAATTTTTGGATTAGGTACGAAAGGCGAAGAAAAGAGCAAAGGAAATGATTTTTAAGATGATTAAGAGACAGCCAGAGGAAAGGAAAAAAGAGAGTAAAAATATGTTTCAAAGAAAGGGAAAAGTGAAAAGAAAGAGAAGATAGAAAGAGGAAAAGAAACCCGCCCAAACAAATCAATCAAATGTGGCGCTTAAACTCAACATTAACCAAAGATTAATGTTATTCTGGAAATGGATAGATGGAGTTAGTAGTCAGTTATAAATAAAGTGAATTTCATGAAGAAAGTAGAGTGAAGCAGAGAGCAACTTCGCCAGTTTGGGTTAACTTGCAGTGAAGTGAGTTTGTGTGTACTTTTTTCATCTTTATTTCATTTTTCATCATCAACATCAACATCGACAAACAAACACACATACACACTTTTTCTTTATTATTGTTCCAACCCGGATTTGATATTTGTTATTTTTATTGTGTATATTGGATGTTTAATTGGATGATTCAATGGATCCTCATCACGAACCATTTGAAAAATCTTATAAAGTTGGTCCACTTTTAGGTAAAGGTGGTTTTGGTACTGTTTTTGCCGCTTTAAGATGCCGTGATGGTCTTCCCGTCGCTGTTAAACATATATTTAAAGAAAAGATAGTCGGTTGGGACACAACCGTTGGACCAAACAGGATACCAATGGAAATTAGTTTACTAAAAAAAGTGAACCATATAAGTGGAGTAATCCGTATAATTGACTTTTACGAGAGATCAGACTCTTTTATTATTATAATGGAAAGACCAGAATCAGCAATGGATTTATTTGATTTTATAAGTGAAAAAGGAGTACTCGATGAGAAACTATCTCGTGTATTTTTCCACCAAGTTGTAGAGACTGTAATTTCATGCCACAAAGCAGGAGTAATTCATCGTGATATTAAAGATGAAAATATTCTCGTCGATCTTGACACATTAAAGCTTAAGTTAATAGACTTTGGGTCTGGTGCTCATTTAAAAGAAGGTTATTATACCGATTTTGAAGGAACCCGTGTCTATAGTCCGCCTGAGTGGATTAAAAACAATAAATATAAGGGTAAATCAGCAACAGTCTGGTCCCTTGGTGTTCTTCTTTACGACATGGTGTGTGGTGACATTCCATTTGAAAAAGATGAACAGATTTTAAAAGGTGAAATAAGATTTCCTCGTCGTCTCTCTCGTGAATGCCAGGATTTAATTTTAAAGTGTCTCTCCAAAAGTCCAATGTTCCGTCCATCATTAGATGAGATTTTAAAGCATCCTTGGATGAGTGTCGACCTTGATGGCTGCACCACCGTGTCAACAACAATTCCAGTCAATGGTAACTCAAGGAGATCCCAAGCAACCGTTGACGATTCAGACTCAACAAGCGGAGAATCACCACCAAGCAGTCAATGCAGTATTTGACCACTCTTACAGTTGTAGATACCCTTAAATTGTACCTTAATTTATCGCATTTGTACAAAAAACCATCTCTTCCATAATGCAAATTATAACTACTCTTGTCTCATAAAAAAAGACTCAATCTTGTTTAAATCATTTCAATCAATCGTGTTTTACCCAATTTCAAGTGATATTACAGTGTTTTAAAAGACCAGTGAATTTATAAATCTTGAAGCAATCCCTTCAAAAAAGGTGTGTATGTGTGTTTGTGTGCTTTCCATGTTTCTAATGTTCTGTTTCTAGATGTGCACATTTATCCATTTATTTATACTTATATCTCTATGTATTATATATATTTCTTGTTATATAATACTATATATATATGAGTATGTGTATATCAAGCTAACCGGGAAACAGACGATCGATGAGAGCCTCCAGACAGGGTATGGCACGCAATAGCAAAGCAAATTTTGGGAAAAATAGAGGGAAAAATAGAGAAAGGGAAAGAGAAACAGTATGATGATGATGATGAAGGAAGATGAAGGAAGAAAAGAGTGAGATGAGACTGCATCATTACGGGTTTATCGATCAGTTCTTTGAGATGATGAAGAGGAGTGAGAGCCTGTAAAACAGTAGAGAAAGATGATCAAAGTCTAATAGAAAGGGAAAGCCTAGGAGTAAAATAATCAGAGGAAAGAAGCATGATGATGATGAAAAAAGAAGAAGAAAGTGCTCGACTGAACATTACAGGAGACAGAATAACCTTGGAAGAGCTTGATAGAGTGGAAAAAGAAAGAGATGAAAAGAAGCTGTTAGTCGAATTTTATCTTCTTTTTCTTTTCTTCTTCTTCTTTTTTTTCTGTTCGACATGAGCCTTCGTAAGGTCATTCAACTTGGTAGATCTAAAAGAAAAAAGAAAAGACGATGAAGATGAAGAAAAAGAAGACAGAATGAAAAGAGAACTGGAAAAGGGCGGGTTTTCTCTTCTTTTCTTCCTCTCTTCTCTCTCTTTTAGCTTCACTTTGTTTCACTCCAAGCCTGGTTTCTCGGCTTTCCTTGGTTTGTTATTGTCAGTAACCAACAAGAAGCTTGAAGAGACAAAAAAAAGGATATTTAACTTGAAATCAATTTCAAGTCTCAATTTAAACATATTTCAATATTGATAATGAAATGTCGGCAAAGGATGAAAGACAATTAAAATTTGTTGTAGAGACCGATTTTAGGTTATTTTGTTGCATCCAAATTTGAAAAGGATATGATGAAAAGGGCGGGAAAAGAGAGAAATGGGAAAAAGTCTGTCAAATGTTGCCTTTCTTTTCCTTTTCATGTTATACTTTCTCTTCAACAATCAGACCAACAATCATCACAATCATCCACACCAACAACAACAACAACATGCTTCAGCAGCTGCTATGAAATAAACATATTTTAAGTAAGAAAAGGCAAAAATGCTTATCTGGACTTTAACCTCAAACCGAGAATTGGGACATTTTCTTGTCCCTTTCCTCTCTTTCTTTTCTTTCTTTCTTTCTCCTCTTCCTCAACTTTCCCCTGATTGTCCTTTAAAAAGGTAAGACCAAGAGGCTCATGACCCAAGGTCAAAGGGAAAGAAGGAAAGAAAAGTTAAAAATCGAGAAAAAAAGGTCATCTTTTGTTGTTGGTTAAGAAACAAATAGAGGAAAGTTGAAGACGGGTTATGTTTACATCGCTAAAGGAAACTTTTTGTCGAAGGTTCACCATCTTCATCCTGATCATCATCCACATAATCATCATCTTTTCTCATCTTCTACTTCCTTTTGGCCCTAATAACATGATCACCTGTCCAACCTTGAGAGGAACGAACCTTTAAATTTGTAATATTTTGGCGCCAACCCAATACATATTGGTAACTGAACGAATGGATCACTTTTGTTTCCTATGAATGATGGACTAAACATTGGACAGAAACATGATTAATACAATTTTAATAACAATAATTATAGCAACAGTAAAAGAAAGGAAAAGAAAAGACAAAATGATTAATGAAAACGTAAAAACGTTGGTCAAATAATAGTAAACAAGGTAAAAATGATAATGTAGATGAGGTCAACAACACATGAAAAGATGTGTGTCCCGCTGGTTAAACTTACCCAGTAAACTTGTGGGGTCATTTAAGAAGAGAGTCTTAGACGGAACACCTTACCTTCGTCGGACAACTGTTGACCAGTGAACACAGAAACATAAGAAGAAGAAGAGAAAAGCGAAAAAAATAAATTCTTTTCTCTCTCTCTCTTTGCAATAACCTTTAGCCAATAACTGTGAACCCAAGCCAGACGCGTGTGTTTAGCTCAGGTTAGGCCAAAAGGTTGCCACTAAATATAAATGTATCTGTTAACATCTGCTTACTTTATACCTTTACCTTTACAAGACGCAAGTAACAATCAAAGGTTATAACAGATTGAAGCAAAAGTAATGTTTATGTTTGGTCAACACGCGATTTGCACGCGTTTAAAAGCACATTTGTTACCAACTTTACAATCTTGACTAGGTAACCTTCTTGAGTCATCTTCATTTTCATCACATTTCATGAAACACTGATTACTCGAGTAACGATAAAAACAAAACAAGGTGCGTAGTAAAAGACCTTTTTCAAGGTTTCAATTCATTCTTTTCCTTTCTACTTTTTGTTTTCATCTCTTTTCCTTTCTTTCCTTTCTTTCTCATTACTCTGTATTTCCCCCTGAAAAAGGCATTGGACTTTCCAACATTGTAAACACATGAGGAAAACACAACAGCAACAAAACACTTCACTTTTTACTCGTTACGCATTTTTTAGGGATTTTAGCATTTCTCACATTTTGCCTTCTTTTTTTGAGCTACTTTTTTGGTTATCTTTTACTGGTTGCTATTTTACTTTGAAACTGGTAATTCAACAAGTGATTGATCGATTGACTCTAAATATTATTTTAATGATCACCGTCAACTCACAGTGTACAGTTTAAAGGCCAATTAAGGTGGACACTTATGGACAACAAAAGCAAACCTCTCATTGGCAAATCTCTCAATCATCTTGATTAACTTTTAATGAAACCCAATCCATTGAACAAAAAAACATGAGTTTCACACATGATTTAAGGTTTGCTTGCTTCCTGTTGTATTGTTATTTAAATATCAAAACTAAACTAACACATTATTAGCAGCAATTAGTTGGTAACAACAATTTAACCATCTTTTTCCCATTCAAATGCGATTAAAGAGATTCCAGCATTTCCTTTAATCTGTTCAACTGTTGACCAGTTGTTAAGCTCAATTGTTATCTTAATCAGGCAAAATCTATAATCAACTTGTTAACCCGAAAAAAAGACTAATGTTTAGGACACTAACAAGTGACCAAAAAAGCCAAGAAAAAAAAGCCAAACAAGTTGAAAACAAAAGAAAAGTATTGAAGGTAAAATGTCCAGTGAAAAGGCCAGGTAAGATACAAAAGGATTTACGAGCAAATATTATGGCAGTTTAAAAATACCCGAAAACCCAAAAATGTTCAACATTCCAAGGAGCATTAGAAGCCAATTTTCAATTTATTTATCTATTGGCAAGTCCATTGTTTGAGTTGTCCTTAATTATCGCTTTGGGTAAAATATATTATCATCATTATTGTCACCATTTTTATCACCATTACAACCATTATTATCATTATTGCCCTTGTTATTGCTCTTTTCAGCTGATCAAGGCAGGACATTAGTGTTCATCTATTGACCGTTAAAGGCATTCCTGTTAAGGTAAATTGATTGAAAAGTTAACTTTAAAAATCGAAGGTAAAATATTGCTGGAACAGTATTGAATTGATGGCCATGGAACACCGATTTTCTTTTCTTCTATCAATTAACTCAAGATTATCATTTTTTTCATTCATCATCATCGTCATCATCATTCAATCGAGTGGCCTCGTTGCTATTCAAGGCTGTTACTCTGTCAGAACCGGAAAACTTTTTGTGATTTTTTTTTCCTTTCAATATTGAACAATTGTGAATGTCTTTAAGCAAGACAACAGCAGCAAAAAAGGCGTCCATTCCAATAGTCATGCTAACGACAATGATCAACAATTAGCAACAATTAACTGTTGACCTTATGGGATTTTCCTGGTTGATCATTTGATTTCAATTATCAATGCAAACACACTTTTTTTAATATCATTATCAATGAAACACTCATGACTTTACTGTTTGAAGTAAATGCAAGTCAACAAGTTGGATTAACTCGGGATAATCAGTTGATCAGTTGACAACCATGTACCAATTGAATTGTCACATCTTATTTCATCAACTTTCATAATCACTTTGAGTAAAAAAGCGAACCCATTTCAACCGAATTTTCAATTAATTTTTTTCATTCAATTTTCGTCTATTTGTTACATTGTAATTGCCTTTTGAAAGATTAGTTGAACTGCTAATCAGTTGGTTACAATTGATAGGTTTTACCCTGTTAATCTCATGAATGGGAGGAAATGATGGAAATATGTTGACAAACGTTTGAAAGTCATTTAATATTGTCTGGAGCATTTTCATGATTATAATAAGTTTACAAATGTTAAGATGTGTTTAAGCCAAGTTACTGACAAGGATAAGTAGCATTTGTCTGGTGAAAGTGAAAAGATGCTGATGATGAAGATGATAATGATAAGATGAGAGAAAGTATGAGAAGACGAAATGGAAAGAGTAATCATCTTCTTGATCATCATCACTTGAATATTTTGTACAGTAATCAAGACGATTCTTGGCCCACAAGAAGATGCATAAAAAAGCAACATCTCAATAAATGGAGCAACACACAAGGCAAACGATGCAAGATGAAGATAGAGGATGAGAAAGATGTGGATGAAGACAAGACTAAACAAGCAAAGTTTGAAAGTCGCGTCGTGCCTAAGAATCAACATTTTCATCATTTTGGCAACCAAATCTCTGTCAGACATGCCTTTATCATCTTGATCCTCATCTTCTGTCTCACCCATCTTCCCCCTGAAATTCCCATAGAAGAGAGACATTTTCAAAAGTTATTTTCTTTCCAAGACATTTTTCTTCAATTGAAGATGAAGATGAAGAAGAAGAAATAACAAACCAGAAAACTTTGCCTTTCCATTGTTCATTTTTGCTCCTCATTT